TCCATTTGGAAGAGTTTGATGATCAGATCGCATGTGCAAAAGACTTTGAACAACTCCTTAAAAGCAATGTTGCCTTGGGTTGTGGGTATGACCACTTGGAGCATCATGCTCTCTGACCCCACCATAAATGAGATCATCTATTGGTTGAAGTCCACCTTGATCTTCCACATGGTTTGCATCCACTTGAGCCCTAGGACTACATCCACATTGGCTAGGGGGAGGACCAAGAGGTCCTCATGTATTGTCATGTTAAATCTGATGTGGTCTATTATTGCCATTCTTTCCTTCTCCATTTCTTGGATTCCATTTTGTATTAGTTTCCATAGTGGAAGAAGTGAGAAACGAGGACTCTGCAATCATCAACAATTGGCATTTTAGCCTTTGGGTTGAGGTTATCCTAGGCTTTAGAGCACATGTACTTTGTGAACTCAGTTCAAGAGAAAGAGTAGGAACAATGGCTCAAGGGAAAGAGAATGTCAACACTAACATGGTTAATGGAAAAGACTTCAAATTTTAGTAGATAACTAACCTAAAATCGGTGAAATTTAATCTCTGTGAAGTCTACATTCTCTACAAGCAAAAGAAGGTTTCCTTCTCAAAGTTTGGAATAACTTTTACGACCAAAAGGTTGAAGGTAATTCACATCAATGTGCATGAACTTTCTTCAGTTGCCTCACTTAGAGGTTGAAGATATTATGTTACATTTTCTAATGATTCAACTTGGAAGATATGAGTTTTTTTTTTTAAAAAAATCATACTTTTATAAATTTTGAAAAAATAAGTCAAATTGAGCTTGAGTTCAGTCTCCAAGTTAAATATTTATGATCAAACAATGGTGGTAAATATAAGAATGAAAATTTGAACAAATTTACCTAGAGCATGTGATTCAAATGAAGAAGAGAGTTCTAAACATGTCATGATAAAATAGCATTGTTGAGAGAATGAATAGGATTTCGAATGAACAAGACAAGAGCATGAGATTACATGTTAAACCATCAGGATCCCTATATCATCGACTCTTAGAGTTCTAGACCAGAAAAAAGGTAAACATCTCTTACACAAAAAATTTCAAATTTCATACTTATGTGCATATGGATTCTAAAAATATAGAAAATCTTCAGTTTTCATTAAATATGGAACTGATGAATGACTATGGATTTTAGGATAATCAAAACTAGAAAATTATGAGAAGCATGAATGTTATATTCAATCAAATGGTCTTATACGGAACCAAAATATCATCAAAATCTGATCATGAATATTTCTCAAAGTAGGTAGAACTTGAAAATATTTTAGAAGAAGATTTAGATACAAGGGTTCAGATTAACCTTAAAAATTAAATTGAAATTGAAAATGTAGGATATAAAGATATTTCTACTAGATTTAAACTGTAAAGGTTCTGGAAATTATGAAGACCACTTATAATTTACACGTCCTTTCTACATTATTTATCAATAACTAATTGTGGTGAAGCTAAGTCATATTTGAAAGCTATGAACACTTAGAACTCATTCAATTGAGAGTTAACAATGTAAGATGAGTTAAATTTCCTATATAAAAATTAGACATGGAAACTAACTCTATTCCCAATTAGGAAGAAAAAAATTCACAAAAATTATACATTTGAATTTAAGACTGCACTTAGATCATAAAGGGGGGTTGAATTTATTTATTTGTAATTTTTATTTTGATGAACTCCTAAGATCTTTGTTCTTCTCCTTTGAATAGTAAGTCATTTTATTTTTCTAGATCTATATGTTTGAAACTCATGATTTTTTTCTGTGGTTTGATCCCCTACATACATTCACTTTCTAAAAATAACCACATTCTCAAGTTCCACTAAGTCAAACATCCCAATCATAATCATTAATTGTCAAGTTCAGTGTTCACATAATTTCTATCTTAATTTTTTTTCTAGATTAACAACTCCTAGTGGCCAAGAGCTGATCAGAGAGTTTAGTTCTCTTAAGTCATTAAAAAAAATAATCACAAGTTTATCTTGCTGGACCATTATATGCATGATGTTTTTATGAAGAGAAATAATTTTTAGATCAATGAAAATATCTAAATTCCTAGTTAAAAATATAAATGATATGAAAATATTCAAGTATAATTCAAAATAATAACAATAAATGTTCATATGAGAACTTATTAAGTATACTCCTGACCCATGATATTAATTTAGTCTAATTGAGTTCTTATAATATGAAGAGTTATTATTTTGTATAGTTCTATGGAAACTATTAATATCTTTAGAAATTTTTATGGTAAGCAACGTAATGATTAAGACACTCAAATCAATAAGATCTTGTCGAGAAAAATATTGGTATGAAAGCTTACTCATTTATCTATGAACCCATGATTTTACATCATAAGTTTTGAAAGGTTTTAACCTCAAATTAATGGAGTGTATTCAGATTCTAAATTTGTGTTAAACAGAATTTCCTGATTAATATCAAATATATACTAAAAATCGTGTTTATTATCTGAATCACTGAAATCATGATATGATATATTGAGATCATCAATCAAGATGTGTTCTTGAGCATCACACTTAATTTGAGATAATTTGGATAATTTTTGAATGTTTTATTATGACATTAATGAGACATTTTACGGATTTGGTACTTAGAATAATGGGTGGTTAATGAATCAATATGAACTTACATGATTCGAATATGAATGTTAAGTGATAAAGGAATGGCATATTGATTTCTCTTGAGGATATCCGAACCATTTAAATAACATGTATTAGTTTCTCAGGTGTTTGAATTAGTTATGTTTTAGAGAAAATAATCGTCAAAAAATCACAAAGATCTAAAAATATTTTTGTATGATATTTGCCTATAAATTTTATTGTTTTACAACGGTTATATTAAGATAGAATGATTATCTTTTTCATCTCAACAAACTCAAGCTTTGCGCTGCTAGAGTATTGAATTGCATGAAGGCATTAATCTGAAGGTTTGTGCTGACAAGTTTAATTGCATGAAGGCATTAATCTGAAGAGAACTGCTAGAGTATTGAAAGATCCTCCTCAACCTGTTTGAAATTTAAAGAGCCTTTAATCTATATAGTCAACAATCCGACAAGAAGGAGACAACGACTACAAGAGCCGTGAATTTAAAACAGAATTTCAAAGTGAAATTCTGTAAGAGCTGAGCCTAGTAATTAGCGGTGTGTGATCAAACAATCATAGTAAATGAAACCCAAGTACATGATTGTTCTTGGAGAGTGGACATAAGCAATAAGCCGAACCACTATTAAAATCCTCAACTTTATATGTGTCAAAACTAGAAAAGCATGCAAATCATAAAAAGTAAAGAGGAGTTAAAGATATTGAAATATAATTTATTGAACATAGATATAAGAACGAATCAATTTAACCCCCTTTTCTTAATCCTAGTGCAGATCAAATCCTAAAGAATCAATGCTTTGTGGTCAAAGCAGAGTGGGAGAGAGAGATGGGTGTGCATGAGGCTTAGGGGGCTTTTATAGCTATCACTTGCCCCTTCAATTACTGTTCGAAGAGGAAGAATAAATTCAATACAATTAAATCAATGAATGGTATGCATAATCAGTCGATGCGGATTGGAACTAGTGGCCTCCTATCTGATTTCTCAGGGAACTCCAATTCCCACCCAAAATGCACTCTAGTATTATATCCCCTTCACTTCTGATATTTCTGACCATCACCACCACCAGAACTACCAACACCGGAACTGCCAACACCACCAGGGTGGATGGTGAAATGAAGAACCAAATTGTTAATCAGTAAAGTGGCAGTGAGCAAACGGTGGGAAGCAGCTGAACACATATTCTTATATACCAAGTTAATTAAACTAACTGTATATATTTGTACACAATGTTCAACAATAGGTAGGTTATTCATAGCTGGATGGCTTTGAAGTCTTCTAAAACCAAATTAGTCTCCAAATGATGATTCAGTTAGTTCTCCTCAGGGAGATGCTAACTTTCCCACCTAATTTATTTCATCCTTCACTATGACTTGATCCTAATTTGGAGCCTTATGTAACCAGAGTAAGCCAAGTGCCCTCCTCAGCCTGGATGGCCACTTACATTTCCTCAGGCCGATCCAGTGAACATATTCAATGCGTATTTTCTAATGTCGTTGTTGTCCACGTATCAACTTTGCGATAACCCTCTCTCTCATGCGTTGTAATGAAGCCCTGGCCGGCCCGGTCCCTGGCAGACTCAGTCGTGATGTCATGACCCTGTTAGGACTCACCTACTGTCACTGACGTGGGCAGTAATGGTGGAGTCGGTGGAGAAAATATGTGAAGAAGAACGAAGCATGGCAAGATTGCCCATGTCGCTATCCAGACAGCTTGAGAGATGATGAATTCATCACCAGTGAAATTTCGAACTTCTAATCCGCCTTGGTGAACTTGGCCTACTTACAGGGATGGATAGAGGTGGGGAGAGAAAGAAGAGGAGGCACAATTGTACTTCATCGACGGAAGACTTTAGATAAATTTGCCACCAACGAATGAGCTCAAATCCGTCTCCGTCTTCACCAACACTGTCGATGACAATAAGCTGCTTTTTCTTTTACGAGTTTAACACCTTCGCGTATGAGAGAGAGAGAGAGAGAGAGAGAGAGAGAGATAAGGGTGTTTCCGCATGGAGCCACCGCTGGGGAAGATTTTCAAACCTACAACCATCTTGATGGAACATGCCCGTGAACTGGAAGAAGTCATGGGCGTGGGCCATGAGCCCGCTTTGGACCGCGACAAGTCTCAGACCGATTCACACGACAATAAAAGAATATGTTATTTTACTTCTTTCAGTGGTCCTTTGGATCAAGCAGGCGCCCGTAACCCCTTCGCCACCGTCCCTCAACTCCTATAAATAGGGGTGCTGCCCGCTAGTTCGCAGCATCAAACACCAAAGCTCCGCAGACAGCGGGCAGAGGAAGGGTTGGGCGGAGGAGGTTAGGTTTATAAGATTCCGCGACCCCTCCAAGGGATCGTGTAGCGATGACGCCCATGGCGGCAGCCCTGGCCCTTCTCTTGGCCTTGAGCGGTATGGTGGTGATCTCTGCTGACAAGTACCCGTCCCCTTCTCCACCGCCTTACCATTACAAATCTTCACCACCTCATCCACCTAAGGAGCACTACCCTCCTCCTCCGAAGAAGCACTATTACTACAAGTCCCCCCCACCGCCCTCTCCTCCCAAGCACTACTACTACAAGTCCCCCCCACCGCCCTCTCCTCCCAAGCACTACTACTACAAGTCCCCCCCACCGCCTTCTCCTCCCAAAAAGCACTACTACTACAAGTCTCCCCCTCCACCTCCTCCGAAGAAGCACTACTACTATAAGTCTCCCCCGCCACCCCCTCCCAAGGTGCACTACTACTACAAATCACCGCCGCCACCACACAAGTACTGATAACGTCTCTACTGGGGTCATTATGGCCAACGGTAGTGAAATAAGAGCCAAAGTCATCCCTACTCCATGGCGCAGGGTACTCTGGAGTGGATCCAGAACCAGGCAGTTATTGGGCAGGGAGGAAGACGAGTGGGAAGTTTCTATAGAATAATGTGCTGCTGGACTCAGTCTGGCTCTGTGTGCATTGTTTCGCCAGAGGCTGTATCGTTTATTCCACATGCTCTTGTTTGTCAGACTTACTAAATAAACTGTATTTGTCATACCTCTCCACTCTCTCCCTCCCTCTCTCTATCTTTATCTATCTATGTATCTCTGTCTCCCGTAGGAAAATGAGCTACAAATGGAGTGGAAATACACCCATATTTGAGGGAGAAAAGGAGCTGAAACAGAGGAAGAGAGGAGCTCGTGGAGCTAGAAAAAGTCCTAAAAATAAAATGCCTTAAACTATTTTCATTGGAGGAGAGAGAGGGTTTTATATGGGGGAGAGAAGAAGGGCTAAAGATGCCCGGCCCACTTCAGCTCCACATGTACACGACCCTCCAAGTCGGTCTAGAATATCCCATGTCTTGTCCCTGCGTTTTAACGTCTTTTCTTCATTTTGACTGTTTTGCATTAATTATCATAATCTTCCTCTTTCTTAACCCTGTCGTAATCTAGTGCATCGTCGTCCCTCTGATTCGGCGAAACAACACCCCCGACTCCCCGTTGATCTTGTTGATCCTGCCGGCTCAGCTCGATGCTTCACCGCCGGTCTGGTACTCATCCATGGCAGCGCTGCCGCAAATGGATAAGAAAACGAGAAAACGCAGGCGAAGGCTGATGTGATCTTCGCATCCCCTAATCGCTTCCAGAAAGCCCGACGGGCAGTACGCTGCAGAAAGTCAAACAATGGCAAGGGACCACCAACCAACGGCAAGGACTTGACAAGGTATAGCCGTTCGGGGCGCCTTGCGGTCAGAATGTCCTATTTAAAAGAGTCAAGATGCGAAGGGTTTTCCAGCCCTCTCGATGTGGTCACCGTTTTTGAGGGAATCCTCTTTCGAGGTTTTCCTTAAGTCTTTTCCTATTTCCTAGTATGTGATCCTTTAGTTTCGTTCTATCATTAATAAAGATCCTTTTCCGTCTTCTTCTGTGGTCAAGATACCTGTTTTGTCGCACTGATTTTCCAGACTCGTCATATTGGTATCAAAGCCTCATGCTGCCCAAATCAAATGATGAAGTTGGACAACTGGAAAAGAGGTCAACAAGCTCTGTCAGGATCTACACGATATCAAACATGATCTGGCTGTCCTCTTAGAACAGGACAAGACTGTCGCCCAATAGCTGGAGTTTCTTGTATGGCCAGATGCGGACAAAGATGAGGGTGAGTCTGGTCGAGTTAGTCAAATCCCATTTTCGGTCAAGAGGGAGGACCGCCATTACGAGATTGGCCACACCGCGACGACTTAACCCAAGGGGAACCATACTATGGAGCCCTCAAAGTCGAAATGACCGTTTTTAACGGTGAAAATCCGGCGTGATGGTTTTCGTGCTGAGTTATATTTTCAGTTCACTGGCTGACTGAGCCTGAGAAATTAATGGCCACGGGAATGAGCCCTGAAACCAAAGCCATTGTCTGGCTCCAATGAACGGTTGTAAAAAAATCTTTCAAAACTTGGGAGAACCTTCGCCATCAATTCTTATAGTGTTTCAGCGACAATCAGTCAGAGTTCTTCGACTAAATATTTTTTGGAAATTAAACAACATGTTTCTATTGTTTTAATGGGAGAATATCAAGAAGAATTCAAGTTAATTGCCGCAGCAGTTTAGGACTTTCTCAAACCAATCTTCAAAAACACGTTTCTCAAGAGAGTAAAGTGACACGTTTGAGCTGAAGTTTATCTCTTGAAGTTTGTAGGGCGCAAAGCACTGATGCAGACATTGTAGAAGGTGGAAGCACTGAATTTTGCACTCAGATCTCTGGATGGAAATGGAAGAGTTAGAAATTTCAAAAGTGTCAACTATGATTCAGGAAACCAAAATTATTTACTTCGGTATCAAAAGGTCTTGAAACTTTTCTTGGCCGACAAGGAGAACTCAAGGGGACCAAAGACGAAGCCAGTATGATTCATGAAAGACAAGCTCTAGAAAAGATCAAGAGGCCGACTCCGATACCCTCAGAATTTAAGCCCAATGCACTCAAGGCCTGTGCTTCTTGTGTAAGGAGTACACTCAAGGGCATTATTTTTGGCACAAGTTATAAGTTCTAGCGATCAATGAAGACCCTCTTGAAGTCTGGAGTCATAAAGAAGGGAGCATATCTCTGTCACACAACCATAGAAAGAGACTTGGCCTACATAGAGCTCGCGGCAAATGCCATTGTGAAGAATCGTCACTCTGCACCTTCAAATTTTGAGACTATATCAAGGGAAACTTAGTCACGGTACTCATGGATAATAAAGTCGTATATAATTTATCTCCAGACAGATAGCCCACAAATTGAAGCTTCCAATGACAACAACACCATAGTTTCAAGTAATAGTCAAGACCAGAGACAGAAAAAAATAGGGGATTGGTAATCACTAATAGTAATCAAAGATTTCTTACTTCTTCTAATAGTATAAAATGAATGAATACTATGAAAACTATAAATACAGATCTCAATATGGAGTAATGCCTTTCTACCACTTCCAACAAACCAACAATATATGGTTCTTCAAGATGACTCCAAACCAGAACAACAAGGTATTGCCTTTAAAATATTGTCGAAGGTTATTATGCAAAAGAATGAACTCCTAATTTAAAATCATTGTTCCACACTAAGTCGTCCCTATACAACAATTTAAGAACGACAACTCCATATAATTTCTTTAAGGTATTCGAGGAGATAACCTAACTTCTACCCAAAAGAAATAAATTGATCGTGTAATTATTTTAGAACTCAACACTAAACTCATAGATGTGCAGCCATTTTGATACCCTCAAAATGTATATCATAGACATCATTTGTCACTCCATCAGCATTTATTCAATATCAATGCTTCTGATAAGGAAGAAAGATGGCATGTAGCATTTTTGTGAACACTATCACATACTCAACAAACTCATCATTTGAGATAGATTTTCAATCCTAACCATTTAGAAATTACTCTATGAATTCTGAGATCTATCAAGGTTGGGATATCATCAAATTCATATCAATAAATAAGACATTTTGAAGATAGGCACAAGGGGACACTATGAGTTTCTCATCATGCCATTTTGTATTTTCAATATACTAGAGACCTTTCAATCTCTCATGAACCACATCTTTTGAGAGTTCATTCGAAAATTTGTTCTAATCTTATTTGATGACATCCTTGTTTTAAACTCTAACAAAGACATACACATGTAACACCTATTTCAGTTTTTTTCTCTGCTCTAAATATGTTAGTTATATATTAATCACAAAATGTGTTTTTGGATAAGATAAAATTGAATATTTGAGGCACCAATCGCTACTGAAGGTGTAGCAATGGATCAAGGGAAGATACATGTGGTGTTAAATTAGTCATCCCTTACAAATCTGATACAACTATGGAGATTTCTAGGGTTGACGAAGTATTACCACTGATTTGTAACAATATGGCCTTATGGTTTGATAGCATGACCACTGACCTAATGACTTCCAAAAGAATCCCTTCCTTTAGGGTCATCTATTGAGGAGGCTTTCCAATGTCTTGAGAAGGCATTAATGACAGCACCAGTGGTCTCTCCCAAATTTCTCAAAGAAGTAGAGATTGATTTGTAGAAGTAGTACTCATCTAGCATCAGCAACCAATGATTTTATTTAATCCAAAATTTTCATCCTCAAGTGAAGTAAGAATGATATATGAGCAAGAATTGATGTCCATGATATTGGTCATGTTGAAAAAGAGATATTAATCATGGGGAAGAATATTTTTCATCTATATTAATTAGCACAACTTAAAGTACTTCTTGGAGCAATGATAGTGATGCTAAACTATCATTGATGGCTATCAAAAAACAATAGTTTTGAATTCGAGATTACTTAATTAAGGCTGAAGCAAAAAATTAAGCAACAAACACATTGTCTTAAAAACCTAGTGGCATGTAACTCCAATCAACTCAAGTAAACGACTTAAACTTGTTTGATCTGGATTTTATTGCATAGGAGAATCAAACATATTCATAACTTAAACAAATCACTAGCATCGTACAACAAATTTCAAAAAAATCTTCAATTTCAACAAAAAATTCAAAAAATAGGGATATCTTTTCTAACATCAATGACTGGTATTGTTGAAGACTAACATACACATACCTATCATTTTACATGAATTTCATAATTCAATAATAAGGAGTCATTATAAGTTCCTTTAGGCACACAAATGGATTGGAAAAAACATACAAGCTTGTTCGATTTTCCAACAGAACAAAACATATATTTTATCCCTAACTTTCTTTCTCCAAAAAAGCCGTCCCAAAAATAAATTGAGATGATATTTTTCATAAATTTTATTCAACGAGTACCAACATGAAATGGATATAACATAATTTTAGCCATTATTGATCAACTGAGTTAGTATTCTCAATCTCTTCTCTCAAACTTCATTTTACAACTAGAATGTGTCAAAAGATTTTCTCCCAAATGTTGTTCATTTACACAAGTTTCTAGCCTCATCCACATGAATTGAGACTAGATTTTTTTAACTAATTTATTGAGGTAGATGTTCAGAATGTAGGAGACTCTTCTTTGTTGAAGCAGTCGGTATTATCCTCAAATGAATGGGCAAATAAAAGTGATAATCATGGATGTGAAACCTACCAAAAGGGGTCTCACAATAATCTGCCCCAATTGTGGAGTAAGTGGCTCAATTGGGTCAAATTTTAGTACAATGCCAACCATCATCCTTTGACAAGTACCACACCCTTCAAGATGATCTATGGATGGGATCCCTTAGCACTGCTCTAATATTGGCATTCTAAGGCAAGTAGTGACATCATGGAAAAGCACATTGAAGAAAGGGATGAAGCTCTAGAGAAACTCAAACAATGTAGGTTCATATGAAGGCTCATGCAAACAAGAACCATCATCATGTGCACTTGGATATCCGTGACTTAGTCTATTCTAGATTGAGGCCTAATTGGCTTCAATTTCTCACCCATAGTCTTCACTTTTTACTTATTGGCTCACTGTCATATTGACTAGAGTTACCACCAACCACAAGTATTCATTTCGTTTTTCATGCATTCAACTGAGGAAAGTCATCAAAGGTGAAAGACATACTCATCCTCTGTTCATAAAACTATAACACATCATCTTTATTTGATAAATAATATGTAATTAATATAATTGATGTATTAAATAATTTTAAATGATATATATTTAATGTGAAATAAAGCCAAATATATTTCAGATTAATTTCATGAAATACATGTTCAATGTAAGATTTTTGTATGTTTTTCTTATATATATTTTTAAATTATTTTTTGATTTAATCTAATTATAATTAGAGTTATGGAATCCTAGTTGGAGTTCATTTTTTTAGATGAAACTAACTTTTGGTGATTTTTCATAATATCTTTGAAATATGGGTTGATCTCTAGAGATATTCTAAAGCCTATCAAGGAAGTCCATTAAGAGGCCAATTGGGACACTTTATTTAATTAAATTAAAATGATTTGAGGAGAGAGAAATGAACAAAAATGGGTATAAACGAGGAGCAATTGCCAAAGAAATGGGCAGAGAAATGGAATCCTAATTCTCACTGAAAATCAATCAATTATTAAACAAATTGGTTCTGCTAAGTGATGGATGGGAGTGTTCTTCTAGTTCTTCATGAATTTCTAAAACTATTTTTTGATAAAATAATGATTTTTACTTTATTTAGAATTCATTTTCTCAATTCATTTAGATGATAGGTATATGAATCGAGGAAATGATTGATTTTTAGGATGTTTATTTATGATTCCACTTGAATTAGTTCGTCTGCTCATCCTCATTATCAAAGGGGGGAAATCTCTATTTTTAATCTATTTATGTCTGATTCTTTACATTTTTCGAGTTCATAGTACTTCTATCTTTGTTTAAGAACTAGATTATGCAACAAAAATTGATTGATTCATCTCAGATTTTGAATTCATTTGTCTGCCTCATCCTCAATGTAAATGAGAGATTTTTTATTTTTACTGTCTTTTAATTTCGTTTTCTTAATGTTTGTCTGCAGGGAATCAACTCTAAACTCATTTACTATCCTCAATCTTCCTATTTTTGTATTTTATTTCATCTAGTTTTCTTAATACACATCGTCCATTTTGGTGCTATTAGTTCTGTCTGCCAATAGAGTCATTTCGCTCTCCTCTCGTCTCCCCTCTTTTCTTTGTTAATCATTAGGCTTTTATTACATTTTAATTATTTCATACAAAACCAAGCTAAAAATCATTACATATCAAAGATTTGACACTGAAAAGGGAGGGCTAGAGCTGATCAGAGCTGATCAAGTACAAAATATATTTTCTTCTCCTGCAAGTACTTTATAAATGTGAATTTAGTTTTATAATTTAACACCTCTTAATACAACGACTAGTAGACAATCAGACATCTAGGAGACATGAAAAAAACCACACGACATCAAAGTTCTAGCTCAACAAGGCAACCTTTGAAACTCAGAGGTCACTTGGGATGATGCTTAGAAGCTCTAGCAATAATTTTCAGGATTTCACCTTAAAAACAAGGTGAAAAATGTAGAGGAGAATATTGATATGATCCTCACACCTAACTGCTTATGGAAAGCTTGATGGGCAACACACCACAAGAAGTCAAACAACAACAAGGGACTGTCAATCAACAGCAAGGACCTGATAGTCAACCTTATTATAAAAATAAAGCCAAGGAGGGGAAAAAAAAGAGTAAAGTTAGTTCTTATGAGGAGATCAGCCCTCTTGAAGTGATCACACGATTTTCAAGGAAATCTTCTAAGGTTTTCATTAGTCTTTTCCTCTTTCCTAAGTGTGTGATCATTAGGTTCATGATGTCATCAATAAAAATCCTTTTTCTTCTTCTTATATTGTCAATATAGCCATCTTCTCACATTGATTTCTTAGACTTCTCCCTTAAATTTGATGGGTCTCATCAAGGACCAACCTAGGGAAGGTAGTAGCTGTCCTTGGCCTGCTACTCAGCGATAGGATGTGGCCAGTGCCACTCGGGAGGCCTCCCAACCAAAAGGCCTCTACCATCTTAAAGAGATAAATGGGGGGCAGAGGGGATGTGATTGGGGAGGGCAAACACTTGTGAAGCCCTCAAGTGAGTCCTCCCTCCATCCTCACTCTCTTTGAATTATTCAAGAACAATAACACCTAGATGTGCATCAGGTCCCTAGAGAAGACAATCTCTTCCTCACACATGGAGCTGGCAACTGTGAGGATGAGTGATGGTGATAACAAGGCAGTAGTATAAGAGCTCGAAAATCACATTAACAAGTTTAATTCGAAAATCAACAAATTGATCTCCATGGATATTAATTTTGATGATGAAATAAGATTATTAATTTTGTTATCTTCTTGTGGAGTTGTAGTGAGTGTTGTCAACAATTCTTCAGGTTCAAGAAAATTGAAATTGGATAAAGTTTGCGACATTATTTTAAGCAAGAATAATCATAAGAGATAACTAGAACAAATATCTACTTCAGTTTTAAAATTTTGAAGAGAAGGTAAGAATAAATTAGAAAGTCGATAATATGACAATTGCAAATTGAGAAGAAGTCAATCAAAAGGTCTATACAACAGATGTTGACAATGTAGAAAAGTGTTGTTCATTAGGAGAAATTGCAAGGAGACAATAGAATGTCAATCAAGGGCAGATCTGTGCTAATAAATCTACAATCTATTATGACAAAAGAGAGAAAGTATGTTCTAATTTTGGAAGTAGACTCTCCACTAAAGTCTTGAACTTTAAACTTTGGCACCTCATCCCACTCCACCTCATGTAAATAGTAGATGACTAGCTTCATTATTGGAAATTAGGACAAGGTATATCTTGTTGATGATGAGCCTTTGAATATTGTTGGCAAAGGTACAATTCAAATTAGAAAAGGATGAAAGTGTTAATGTCAAAAGAGAAGCTATTGAACTTGAAATCAGTCGAACTTTTTATTTACAAAAGTTACATTTTCGACAAGCAAAAGAATATATTTGTCTTAAAAAAATTGTTAAACCAGAAATGTTGGAGTTGGTTCATACCAATGTATGGAGATCTTCGTTCATTCCTTCACTTGGAGGGTCAAGATATTATGGCATATTTATTAACATCTCAACTTGAAAGATATGAGTTTATTTTTAAAAAAATAAATTTAATATTTGGTGACTTCAAAAAAATTAAAAAGTGAAGTTGAGTTTGAGTTTGGTCTCAAAGTTAAATGTATGTGATCAGACAATGGTGATTAGTATGATAAGCAAACATTCATGAGATTATGTCCAAAGCATGGGATTCAGATGTAGAACACAGTTATGAGCATGCAACAATAAAATAATGCTATTGAGAAGATGAGTAAGACTTTGAAGAACAAGTGAGTAATGAATTTATATGTTGGGCGGCCGTCAATTTTTTGAACAGAAGATGTCAACACATTAGCCCATCTATTTAATATGGGACCGTCAATGCCCCTAGACCATCAAATACCGAAAGAGTGATGGACCTTCCCCTAGCCGAGAATATGATGTTTCACTCCAAGAAGAAATAATATACAGTTGAGGTATCAATTCATCTGCAGCTTGTTAGAGTATAAGACTTTGGCACTTGAAAAAGTCAACACATCAAAGAATCTAATGGGCATGTTGACTGAGACAATTGCCACCAAAAAATTGGGGCTATATATGATAGTAATTGGTCACTAGAGTCAGCTAAGTAGAATTTGCACAAGGGTAAGAACAATGTATCTTAGCCCTGAAGATTGATCTCTTAGAGACTATCAGAGCTGTAATGATTGATCTCTTATTGGGCTCTAATCGGCTCTTCCACAAATATGAAGATCTAAGACGTCCAAAGACATGTCACCACCGAAAAGGCTGTAAGAGACAATCTCATTAAGGAGACTTAATCTATGTGTAATTGTAGACATAAAAGGTTTCTCCTTTAGGAAACTTGCCATTCTTTCCATCTCTTCTTGTGTGTTGCATTTTGCATCAGATTCCTGCTGTGAAGAAGAAATAAATGAGTACACTCTAATCTCCAACAACTCACTTCAACAGATCTGAGTCCTCCAAGGTTGTATCGTTCTTTTTCCTCTCCACTTTTCTTCCCTCACGAAGGAGGGAGAGAGAGAGAGAGAGAGAGAGAAGATGAGAGCATTGGCACAGTGGCAAACTGAAGAGGCTGAAGAAGAAGGCGATCCTGCAGAGGTTCATGATTGGGCAGAGCGTCATGTTGGGCCATGACGACGGCTACCACCTAGTCTCCGCCATGGCCAAGGATCTACTTCTCAACTGCCACATCCATTTGGGACGCTGACTTCTCTCTCTCTCTCTCTCCCTCAAGGGTAATACATAAAAGCCGATTTATGAAACATTGACTCGGCTAAATATGGAACCAACCAAGCCAAGAAAAATACCGAGCACATAAAGAGGTCAAAACTGTAAACGGAGGGCTACGATCTATACATCGACGATCATGATCCCATTAACAAAAACCGGCATCACCAAGATATTGTAAAAAACCAGGTTCACAGCCTTCAGTACCCCGAAAGAGGAAGAAACAGAGAATTCGATCTCTTGATGAAAACCCTAAGGCAGAAGGTTACCTCTCGAGCAGCCTTCGAGAACAGGAAGAGCCCCCACTGCTCGCTCGATCCTTCCTCCCTCGGAGGCCTGGGAAGCTACCTGAAAAGATGCCGCCCGCCGATCTGGTTTTCTGGTGGTGATCGATGGGGCAGATCATTCATTCGCTGCGGACTGCATTGTACTTCTCGGCTAGGGGCGGGTGGCTCATGATCCTCTGCATCAGCGACTTGAACTTCAAGTTGCAGTCACCTCCGCTGCAACATAGGACGGGTAAATATGGTGGGCGAGAAAGAATTCGACCGAGACGCTCTGAACCAGGGCCTTTAGGGTTTTAGGAATGCTGAGGACGCAGAAATAACATAAACAAATGCGAGCGATTATAATGAAATAACCCGCTATTAAAGAGTAAAAATGCTATAAAATCTCGAGTAGTCGTCCCTGGCTAGTTCAGAACTAAGAAGAAGCTGTAAATGGCGAATCACATATAAACATAGGGCAACTCATTACCCGCTTGATATGTTCATCTGATGATGTTCTTAGCAACTATCTCGGAAATAAATCACACAAAAGTGATCGAAACATCCACCATTTGGAGCGGCAAATTTATGCCACCCCGGATTTAAGAACCAAGACGACAATTCACGACAGCATGCCTCGTATCTATGATCAGCTGGGTACTAGGCACCACTGTTCGAAACCAATTAAAAATGTACGAAATTATTTTCAGTGAGCATAGGTTGTTCAGAAGTAAATAAGCAATTCATCTCTAAACAGAAAGAGCCCCTGACCGGCCGGACACAACACAGGGTAGGGCATTAGAACATAAAAGCCTTACATCTTGGCCTGATTAGTTGGCTGAATACTCCTAAACTGTTTCCATCGAGATTAGATTGGTTGGCAGCATTTCTCTATGCATATTCTATTTTCAAAGGAGACTCAAGAAAAATTAATGCCGCCAGCCAGTCTGACCACCACGTTCATGGGAACACTGGCTCCTGAGCGAGACAACTAGAACAAAGAAAACAAGAAACGAAGTGACGGGGAAGGTTTCTATATTCGGATTTAAAGGGGGTTAAGGAGGAGCTCGTTCAGTTCACGAATGAACAGAGAGCAGAGCCAAAAGAACTTGTCAGAAAGTCAATGGGGTACTGAAAAGCATAGTCCAAAATGTCAGTCAGATCATGCAAAAATGAAAGAGATGTGGGGGGAAGGGATAAATGATAATACCTTATACGATTCAAAGAAGAGATGGCTCGAAGAGCACTACGAATCATGTCTTCGTTGCGATCTACTTCCTGTTTCACAGCATCTTGCTTAGGCTTATGATTGATTGTCTTCTCAAGGGGATCGGACAGCGTATCCAACACTGCAACATGGAATTAGATGGCAGTTCATAAGGGGCATCTTGTGGCAGCAAGTGGCATCCAGAATCATTCACCAGAGCAGTGTACAAACCAGCAAGAACAGCAGAAGGGCACTTATCCGCCAGCTTAGAAAGAATGAGATGGCAAGGCATCTTCACGTCATAGTGATCTACAATGGGAGAGAGGATGATTAGACAAATAATCCAGCTCAAAGATCAAGGCAGGCGCAGGGATCTCTTCCAAGTATGCCAATCCATACGAAGATCAGTGATAGTTCATCTTGTGTGCAAATGAATACAAAGATGCCATGAAAACTCACCGCCTAGGCCTGATATTAGGTGAGGAACAATGAAAGAAGAAGGATTCATTTGATCAAGACAGCTGTCCAGCAATGTGTCCACACATTCAAACGCAGCTTTTCTAAGCTCAAGGCCATCGTCAACAACGTGCTTGAAAGGACCAAGATCGACTGTTCTTATCAATTCTTTCTGCAAACCAAAAAAAACAAAAGGGATTGCACCAAGGACTCTCACTGCAGCAGCCACAAATTATTTCATCAACAAAAAAAAAAAAAGGTACCATCGAAAATAAAACAACCAAGAACTGACTCGTATAAAGCCCATGTTCAATTCAAAGAAACATTTTGCTACATTTCTCCAGCTCTTATGATACATAGACCCATAACAAGGCATACGGATAACACTTCTAAAAGAAACTCTGCGAGAAGAAACCACTCTGACACAGGATTGCAAAAACTACTAAGAAACCAGTTCATCAATAAATTATATAGCACAGCTACAAATATCTTAAAGGTAGCAGTTGAGGGAGAACATAAAGTCTTGATAAGAAAAAGAGAGGAAATGGACCTTAACAACGGTCTGGTCATATAAGAGTGGCAATAACTCAGCAAGAAGACCCTTAATGAGATTGGGCTTGTTATGAGCTGCTGTGCTAAGAGCCAGGACAGCTGCACGTCGAACATGCTGTGGAACAATAAGAAATAGAGAATGATTACGACATAATTCTTGAGAAACATCTTTTTTTTAGAACAGGCACAGAAACATGTGACTCACCCGATCATCATCCTTAATCAACATCAAGAAAGAAGAGATCTCATGGAATAAAATATCATCTATTCTTTCTGGACGCTCAACAATCGAATACTTCACAGCAATAACAACTGTGGCTCTGGTGAAAGCAGTGGGACTCGCAGTTCTGACCTGGGAAAAATATAAAAAATCGAGTGGTAAATTACACGAGCTATAGATGTAACATAACAGGCCAAATATCATAAACTCAACAAAAAACAAAGCGTGCCTTCAGAGTGGGAACAAGCTTTTGTGGGTCAATAAGTGCAATTTTACCCAGACACTCTGCAACAACATTGCGAACCCCTTCTTCCTCACTTTGGCAGTGATTAAAAAGCAAATTTAGTATTTTCTCAACATTGCTCTCCTGAAACTCTGCCTGACCAGCTTTGTCCATGGATTGCCGAGCAATAACCTGGAAACAGGTGCGTACAATGATATGATAATAACCCAACGCATTCCAAATAGAATCTCAGAGGGAAAAAAAAAAGTGAGGATCGCAAAACCTCCTTCAACGAATGAAGCAAAAGATACTGCTTTTTCTGTTGGTTATCAATCTGATCCAAGATGAATGGAAGGTACTTGGACAAATTCCCAACAGCAATATTCCCAAGCGCATAAGAGGCCGCTGATTTTATCTCTTCAAAAGGGGATTGGAATGACTCGATCACAATGTTCTCAATGTGAGCATGAGCACTGAGGTCCTTCCTTCTTCCAATTTCTCCAAGACAAAGCAACGCGAGGTGCTGTTTAGCCTAGAAAATTGAAAAGAGAAGGCAAAAATGAGGACTGATAATTTAAAATGGCAGATAAAGTAGTAAAAATCCCTCATAATGTGTTGAACTTCGAATGCGACGGACATTTCAATGTGAAACCAACAAAAGGAGATCCTCGCTTCTCAAAAGAAAAATAAATGCAGTGGGACAGGTATGTATACAACCCGGATAGCATTGGACAATCCACAGCAGTAAAATCGCTGAAAAGAGGAAATGTGTGGATGACAGAGGAAAATTAGTGTGAGCGGAAACCATTCTCAATTAGGGCATTGAGACTTTGGGTAGGCACAACGACGTAGGAGTTAGTGTACCCGATCAATGAGAAGGCCCAAGATAAAGACTAATTACAGATCTAGAAAATATTCATAGGAGCTTGTAGCTCCATAAAGGTGGGGGGCTATATATATCTGGTACCTGGGATCCGCTTGGCTGGTAAGACGAGCTGGGGACCACTAAGCATAAAGAATGAAGGTGGGACTTGAGTAGCTGATGAGTTGAACATCAGGATCTTGAACCGGGATACCGTGATTAATGCTTAGTGAACATGTTGACAGATCGATGCTGCCTCACTTAGGACGCCTAGACATGTTACTGATGGTGGAAATCCTTTTCTGACATCAGGAACAATACGCAATTCGGGCATAGTAGTTCTAACGCAACTCATGATCTGAAAAGATGGCACAAACCGGAAAAACACTGAGATCATCCAGCTGAAATCGGCCTCCACTCAAGCTCCTAAATCAGTTGAGTATGTGGTCTGTTGTTCATCAAGTCTTGCATGCTAAAAGGTTTTGCTTATGGCCATCCAAAAGCAAATGTGGGAGAGAATAGTGAAGCAAGAAATCCTTTGAACCCGACGAGTAGTTATTCGTACATCTCTCAGAATGTTGTGATCACGGACAAGTCAATGACAAGTCAGTTGCCATCACATAAGATATAAAATGGTAGCATGGTTGGGCCTGCATGTATGGTTGACAGAAATTGCACTAATGACTCAGAAGATACTGGAAGACTGCTGATGGCTCAGAAGATACTGGAAGACTCAGTCCTCAGGCATGTGGGAAAACAGATTCTTAGATATTACATGCCCCCTGGAGCAGGCACCTCGATCAATAATAGAGGCTCTGATTTGGAGGAGAATGTGTCTCACACAGCAGAGGATAGATGAAACAAAGTGGCAATCAAATTACCTTTGCCCAGAGTCCTTTCTCACAAATACATAAACGATTTGCAGTGATGATGAGATAAAACTGAGATATTGGGAAGGAGACTTTCCTCTGAGGCAATACAACTTTCGATGGACAGCGGGAGTAATGGCACTTTTAAAACCCACCTGTACTACATCTACTCTATCAATCAAGTAGTATAACGATAGGAATCAGCTGGATGGTTTTGACATATACTATTTTTTTCCTTGTTTTCACTCCCTTCTTTACCCACACCCCCAACCTCAATCTTTTCCTTTTTTATAGTCCTGCAAAGAAACCCCTCTCTGAATTCATTCAACCCTCACATCCTTGCACTGTAAACAGAAGAAATTTAACAAACAGGCTTCTGCTCTTCCTCTTTCTTTCTCCTTCTATGGATAACAATAAAGGGTATTCACATTTACAGGGTTAGGTTTCCTTAAATGCATGCAGAAGTCATGAAAACCATTTCATTTTACATCAACAAGAGTCATAAAAAAAGCATGAGAGAAATGGGATGCATGACGGAAGGGATCAGCCAGGTAGATGAGACGTCAACGCATCATCCTAGCACAATGATCAATATGGACATGCATTCGAAGGATCTTTCAAAAGATGAGGATCTTTGAAATGACTTGAAAGTAGCAAGGCTTATTCAGCCTTCAATGTTAATTCCATAACATTAAACAACCATCATATTTGCATAACTATTATATATTTATTCCATTTCGTCAAATAATTCCCCGCATACAGCCCACGATTTGCGGAACCTAAGAATTAGAATATCGAATACTTCAAACGGAAAAAAAAAAATCGAGATAGAAGAAAAAAACCGGAAAACTGTAGGAGGTGGAAATGAATAGTGTGCCTGTAAAGAAGTCATGATTGGATATTTCGAAAAGAAAAGCTCTAAAACATGAGGATAATATAGTTTCACCAAACAAGGGAAACTTAATTTCAGGAAAGTAAGGAAAACATAAGCATGACCAAAATGAAAGCTTACAGAATTACTACTACTGTCATCTCCAAGAATGCTTTTGAGCATTTCAACCGTAGATGAACATTTCTGATCACCAGCCGCAAGGCAAAGTACAGCAACACATTGAGCCACAGAAAACAGAGCCTGCTTTGCAAGACCTCCAGACTGGGGTGAAGGTTTTGCACTTGACAGAAGAGCATCCAACAAGGAATCAAAACTAGTGTTTGCTGAATGAACCAAGGACGCAAAAAATCTTTGCAAAGACTGTCAAACAAAGAAGAAATAGTTTCAGACTGCTGGAAACCACACAGAATTTCCATAAACCTTCAAAAAAAAAAACCTTACCTGGAGAGCTTGGCCCTGTAGCAAGGAGCTTCTGACTAGTGCTAGTGCTTGAGGAAGAACTTTAGTTCTAACAATCGAACCAATATTTTTATGCGACTTTCTGTCAGTCATCAAAGTGCAGCAAAGCTCCAGTGCAAGGGCAGCCATGTGCAAGTCTGAATCACTGCAAGATCAAAATAGAAACATCAGCTGACGTTCAAAACAAATAAAAACAAATCACTGGTTGAGAGACGAAACCTTATCAGAGCTGACAATTCAGCAACTATAACTTCATAAGCAGATGGACCAATTTCTGCACCATATGCCACAACTAGAGAATTCAAAGTCTCCAGTGTAGCTTGCCTCAATGAACGATTAGCCTGTTCTTGAAAGGATCAAGGAAATTTTAATGTTATATAGTCATTCAAACAACAAAATTAAAGATGACAGTTTTATATCTAACATTCTACCTTCCGTAGGAATGTCGTCAACTCTGCAACAACTTGCTCCATGACACTTGAAAGATCTATTCGAAGAGGTGAACCAGATATTACTGCAAAAGCCTGGTCAAAAAGGACTAATATAATTGTCACGGACGAACCAAAAAAAGAGCAGTAGTTGGGAGGTAAGAATGAAGAAACTGCATTTGATTCACCTCAAACAGGACAATTTATATAAATTCTGATGTTACGTTTTAACATTACCAAACAAATCTCTAGCCAACTGGATTATTACGATCAGGAAAATATGTGAGCGAAAAATACTGTTAGATCCTAACCAAAATGATTAGTTTTCAAGGAGAAAAAGAATCAAAGAACTTTATCCAAAAAATTGGTCTTATTATACTTTTAAAATTAAATATCTAAGCCATACAATTGGAATACTAGTTCCATGAAAACGAAAAATAACTTCAAAAATAGTAAGATATAAAGTCGAAAAGACATTATTGTATAGTGTAATATGCTAGCATCCAACCTAGATACTTAGTTTTATCTAGAAAAGAGGAAGAGGAAATAATAAAAATTGTGCCAAAAAATCTGGTTCAAAAAATTGAAGCATGGAGAGGCACCTTCATGAGAACCTACCATTGTGTTGAAACAAGAGGTTCTAATGAAGAGATGCTCTTTCTTTCATTTTTCATCTTTTTTAATCTCGGAATGATATGTTCTTGTAGGTTCAAAATGAAGAGATGCTCTTTCTTTCTTTCATTTTGACATTGCGGGAGGATAATAAAAAATGTGTTTTAAGATTCATCCAGAGAAACAGAAAAAAATTCAAGAGAATATTAAAAAACCGTGTGGCACCACCATTAGAAGGAAGAACCACTTCTAAAAGAAAAAAAAAACACCCAAAAAAAATTGAACATCATCAGAATAGGCAACAGATGTTCAACAAACATTAATCTTAGAGGGCTAAAAAACCTAGACCAACAATGGAATGAGAAAAATGGGTAAACTATTATATGTGTTACAAGGGAATTGTCATCTCCCCATACGCTTGTGTCATCATCGGTCCTTCAAAGTTCAATAGTTCTATTTATTTTAATCCAACTGTTTTGTACCACAACAAAGTGCCGGGCAACCAAAGTGAACAAACAAAGTGATCCAGATGAAGTAGTGACAGTTCAAACAAAGTGAAGTTGAGGATTTCTGTAAGCATATTTTGTTGGCGCTGATGAACAAGTAATAAAAGTCCTTAGCACAACCAAAATTGGGCAAACCAGATCAACCAGTCCAATTAAATGATAAGTAATATTCCTCAAGAAATTTTGACGTTGGATCATTTAGGTCAATGACAAAGCAAATATAGAGTTAAATTTCAAAAATATGAAAACAACACTTGTAGATTCAATAAAATCACAAAATGAAATTTTAGAAAACATTCTCAGGTAACCTTGACAGCAGTTAGGCGGGTAATCTCATTCCCCATTCGATCAACAAGGACAGGCAGACATGATGGTAATTCCCTCTGCAGGTTATCACCAAAAGTTGAAATGGCAAGGCCCATACAAGAAATCGCGCATTCCTTGACCTCCTATAAAAAGAAAGGAAAGCTTCAATAAGATTAAATAAAAAGAATTTAATTTTTTTGTATCTGGACAACAACCAACCTGATCTTGGTCCTGGTTTGCCAATCGTGCCAAAATCGCATCATAGATTGGGTGGACATAGGGCGTAAAGTTCAGTGGTGACGACTGCATTGGGTAGATTTGTTATATAGCATTAGTTAAACTTAACCAAGTCAAAGAACCTTCTGCAACCATCAGTACCTCTAAATTTGGACGAACAATGCGCACAAGCTCTCCACAGACTCTCAAAGCCTCAGCAGTGACTTTATAGTATCGGTCGGCAACTGCAGAGAGCACTGGACCAGACAGAGGCTGTTACAATGATAGAGGCAAAAAATAAATCATTCAGCAACTGGAATTTTCGTTTCTTGCTTCCATTGCAAAGAGTGAAAGTGATTTTAGAAAAGAACGTTTTTTTTGCAAGGTCAATGAGGTTAAAGTACATAAGAGAAAAAAGGAGGTGGTTTCCACATTCAAGATAAGTTAGCATCACTCAAAGACAAGAAAAATGGTAACTATTAAGGTTTCTAAAAACTAATGTAAACATGAATGATCACAAGCTCATCTCATTCGGTAGTGTAAAAAAATGGTTGATTATGTACAGATGCCGTTCCTCTGCTTTTGTCTGGTTTTACTACGCTGCCAACTTCCACCAAATTTAACACCGACAGGATGGGTCAATTCCTCCATTTCTGAACGATTGCACTTCGCATCTAATGGGAAACACAAGTTATGAAAACAACAGATTCATTTGCTTTTTACAATTTAGTGCGTTTCATCACATAAGCCAAATTAAAACGATCCCTAACCCCACAACAGGTGATGGGAGAAGTGCGAAACTAATTTGCACTCGTCCACTAGGGTGGGGCCTCCAGCTAGAGAAGGAGATGTCTAGAGAATTCAATAATATAAAAATAAAAGAGAAACACTTCTGATAACAAAAGTTCCAATGAGCTAGGCGTCAGACCATCAGCATACATGAAGGATGACACAGATGGCAAATCATCATCCACAAAAAGATTTCATGTTTTCAAAACATGAAAGCATTCCATTCAGCTAATTATTAGTTCCTAAAGTAATAATAAAGCCACAAAACCTTCAACTAGAATAACACGTTATGACCCCTAAAAATCCAAAAAAAAAAAAATCATATTGCAGTCCAGTTGTAACACTAGATGTAGGACATCTATAAACCAAGGGACAAAAATAAACTTCCCCCACCAAGGAATCATAAGAGAAAAGAGAGAATTCAAATTTACCCGGATAAATGGGTGAAAAACAGAAGGTGAATGTGACGCCATAACTAATCTGGTGAAAACCAAAGCCTCAATCTTCAAATTCGAGGTGGAGGATTTGTCCTGACAAGAACAAAAGAATATAAAAGAAGAGAACCACAAAAGAACAAAATAAACAGGCAGAATTGGTAACATCAATATCAGATGATTAAAGGCCATTTATTTACATTTAACGCCTTCTCAATTCCAGAAACAAGTGACCCAATATGCTCAGCAAGGCAGTCTGGCAAGACAACCACGAGTTCCTTTAAAACAGAAAATGCGCCTATCTGAAAGGAGGCAAGAGACATAAGTGAGAAAATAACACAATGGACCAGTAGTAATAACTAAGAAAACTACAATGCTAATTCATACCTTCGTCTTGATTGACTTTTCACGCAACTGTCTATTCAAGGATTTAATAATTTTTGGTACTTCTTGTTTCAACAACCATCTTGGACTACAATCAGCGGGAAACAACAGTTAACGACTATGTAGCACAGTAAGCTTCTTTCACAGAAAACCAGAACAGAATCAAGTTGAAGTGTGCAACCATTGGCAGGGTAATGACATCATGGTGATTTTATAAGCATTTTTATAGAAAAACAAATTATGCATCTCCTTTAGCACCTGCCAAAAGAATATTTAAAGTAGACTTCACAAGAAAACATAAAAATCCACGGTAACTAATTTACTTGTGGATTAATGAACGATGAGAAATGTATATTCTACCTCGTAGAGAGAACACTGTAAGGCAATTGGGATCTTAGGCTGTATTGTGGTTTGATGATAGGCTGACCCAAAAAAACATCTGCTGAATGGTAAATTTTTACCTTCCCTATTCTGTATAAAACTTAATTTTGACACTATGAAAATCATATAAAAATCCTGAATCTATAGATCCTCATTTCCGTGATAAAGAAGGAATCACTGCATGAATATTCAAAACATAAATGCCCGTGTACTCTAAAAAAAATAAAACTGAATATGAATAAAGTGACCTTTCCAATCAGTTATCCTGTCACTTAAAGGATCTGACAATAATAAGGAATGACTCTACAAGACAGTTTACAAGAAGCTGCACACAACTTTCGTGTCAACAAAAATCATTTTTAGTTTCATCATTCTTTTTCGACAGAGTCTACATTTATTATAGAATTTTAATATAATGCTTCATGCATAGAATCTGAAGTGATATTGCAAATAATACAATTGTTTTGGCGAACTTTGAATAAATTTTGGCCGTTCAGTCACCGGCTAGAAAACAAAGACATGGTAGTCTAACTAGTCAGGACATGCATTGTAGATAATCACCCCATATGTAGCAACAATGAGTATTATTGACGAATCACATGGCGATGGCCACTTGCCTCGAGTCATCAATGTCCATTTGACCCTTCGTCACATTAGCGGTCTGGCGTAACAGTTCAATGAAGGTATTGAAGACATCAATCTGCAGCAAAGGTATCAATTGGATTTCAACAAAATGGTGAGGAATGATCCATGGATGAGATGTTAATAACTCACATTCTGTCATTGACAATAGTCAGTAAGTGTCCGACATTTACCTTTACATTCTCTTCCCTTTCTCTAAATCTGTCAATCAACCGGGGGCAGGCCTGCAGAAAAACAAAATTTCACCCTTTTGAAACATCTTCGGAGTTTTTTGGAGAATAAAATAATGTTCAAACATTTTGGAGCTGGAAAAACAATCTTAAATTTTGGACATGTAAAAGTGTTGTTAGGATGATAAGGAAGAACAAAATAAACTCTAGATGGTCAGTTTTCTGATTAAATAAGACTGAAAATTTTGCTTAACTCTTTATTATAGACCAAAAAATATTCATATGTACAAAAACGAAACACAATAAAAGTCCCAGAAAATCCTAAAATTCCTGAATGTAGAATTTATGTTATCATACAAGAATCCATGGAAGTTAAAACAGATGTGAATATACTCAACAGATGTGAGTATAGTCACCAAATTGGCGTCAAAATTTTCAAGGTCTAGATTGGAATGGCAATGATAAATACGGTAAACCAGCTACAATTATCATGTAGATAATCAGAGTCCCAAGTATAAACAATGATCAAAATATTACAATGAATCGGCAAAAAAAATGAGCACTCGAGCTTCTTCAAAATGAAGAATTGGGTCATTACAAACGTGCCTCCAAGTAAATCTTTGACAACATCTCTGGACGAGAGACGATGATTGCAGATAAGCACTTTGAAGCAGCTCTTCTAACTTTCCAGCTGATATCCTCATCATCAGTGTACTCGTTTGCACTCTCACTGCAGAGATTTCAAAGGAAAAAGTACCCCATAAAATTTAGTGGAATGATTAACAGTCAACATACATACATTCTCCCATCAACTCAATCGTGAAACGTACTCATCATCTTCCTCCTCTTGAAAGTCGTTATCAGTATCCTCCTCCATATTATCAGTGAAGTTCGGATCATAACTCAGATAGTCCAGGGTAAGATGCAAAATATCATCGCAATATGTGGATATATCCCTGGGGCATCTAAGCAAAAAACTATCTAGTGCCTGCAAAAAAAACCAATTGCAAAACAATTACTGCATGAAAACGATATATTTGAAGAAAAATGAAATAAAAACTGACAGAACATGAGAACCTGTAAACTATACTCCCTCAGCTCTTCATCAGATTCTGATGCACTGGAGCAGTAATTGATGAGCAAGGGAACTGCATCACTAAGGTGTGGTCCAAAACGATATCCAACCGCACGACTGCAGGAGCATTGTATAACATGTACGGAAAAAAGCTTTCAGTATAACAAAAACAATTTATAGTGAAAACAGAGACTTGACGAGCAATGTTTCAAAAGATCAAGGTGAAATAATCAAGATAGGAAAGACATAAAATCAAGAGCAAGACTAAAAAAACTATTTGAAATCAAATGAATCTACAGATGCCATTAATCCATCAGCTTTGACATATTTTACATTTTTGTGAATTAGGCTTTCTGGAAGGTAGATCGCCATGTAATGATAAATGGATTTTCCTTCCATACAAAATGTTCAACTATAAAAAATGGAATCAACCAAGATTCTTGCGCATGATGGATGGATTTATCATCATCGAAACTATACACTTAAACAAATGGGAATTGGCTGTGGTTACAGCTTTCTTCCTGCATTAGACAATTAGCTTTATGACAAAAAAAATGGTAGTTTGCCACTTACAGAGTGAATAAAACCAATGAACCTTCAAGATCATATGACATTAAGATGCAAGCGAGAAATGATGGTACTATCAAGAAAGTATGGAAAAAGACTGGACAGCTTGAACCATTACAGGTTATCTCCCATCAATGGGGGTCGATTTAACATTTATAATATATTAGGGTTATTTTTGGAATGCCAACGTCATCCACACGTGAAGAATGTAAAGCATGTATTCACAGAAAAAATCAAGAAAGACAAGCTTATCGACATATTGATGATGATAAATACTTAGAACGCTATATGAGGAGGTTGACCAACATATCTAATACGATTTATTTCGATACTATAGAATTTGTGCCTCATACGTCATCAAAGAACGTGATCACAAAAATTTAAAATGGGATAAACTGTACCTGTCATGTATAGAAACTCTAATCCAAGGGCTCAAAAGATAATAAAAAGAACATTTTCAGCCGCTGGATACAAGCAAAAAAATGACCAATTATGCACTTCCCAGATATTTCTAGAAGTGATTGGAAAGGCTTGCCAAATATATTTCCTACCAAGTAGCATGTGGTCTACACAAGTTGCCCCCAATAGCACGCAATCTTACCATGGTCTGACCATGAAGCAAAAAAAATGACCTATTATACACTTCCCAGATATTTCAAGAAGTGATTGGAAAGGCTTGCCAAATATATTTCCTACCAAGTAGCATGTGGTCTACACAAGTTGCTCCCCAAAGCACGCAATCTTACCATGGTCTGACTATGGATTGGCTGACATTGTCAATGTCCACGAGGATCACAACTCAGACAGTCACAAAATCAGTTCAACTGATGCAACAAGACATAGTAGCCCATTTGCAAATCCGTGGTTATAATGCATGAGAAAAGAATTTTCAAATGCTTTGTATATTTGTATTTCCCTAATGTTTTCACAATACCATAATATTACCTGGTTATCAATAACAGGCTGATTTATCAATGCAATCACACCTCGCATCAAAAGGTATCACGTAATACAGCCACTTGTTTGAGTAAGTAATCATCGCCTCCCAATGAAGAAGAAAAATTATACATCCGACAATATTAATTCCAATTATGTTCTTATCCACAATAGGCAAAAGTCTATGAATTTCACGAATTTCTAGCAGTAAAGAAATAGTGTGATTGTCGATTTTTGTACAAATCTTCCTTCAATGGAAATAGCATCTATGTATCCAATGTGTTCATCCCACTTTCATGATGTGGCCTGTGAGTTTGGGTTCACAGTGTACATGGCACATACGTACCAAGATAATTCAAGAGTATGAAGTAGAATTCTTATTGATATTACAAATTCATAACAATGAAAATGGACGTATGTGGTTGATAGAGACTACTGGTTACAGAAAAATAGTACCTGGTTATTCGGGTATTATGAATATAGCAAACAAGCAAGACACTTGATCCCACTCAAAGTCATTATGATTGGATAAACAAGTCTTCGCACAAAACCTTGTTATATCCATAAAGAACTAGGTAGAAAAACCAAAACTCTGTATAAAACAATCTCTTGAAAATATGACTTCAACAAATGACAATTTAAATAAAAAAATTTAAAATCACCTTAAAGCTCCAATCATCTGGATGTTAGTGCGTGCCATCTCAGGCCTTATATTTTTATTTTTCAATAGTTTGACTACTTCTGTAGTTGCCTTTGCCAATAGGTCGTCTGACAAGCTCGAAGCAAGAGACGCTGACAAGCCAAGTTAACAGATTCAGATGCTTCATGCACAAAAATCATAAAATCCAATACAATAAATATGTCAGCACTAAACAGACAATTAGAAAAACTCGGCTTTACCAATTTTGTCACTCACCAGTGCAGGCAATCGACTTCTTTCTAACACTTGTCTGATTTGTCCCCAACTGTGATAATAATGCATTCAGAAGTTGCTCATGATCTGTAGTCATCAGATTGCCAAATCTGTTAAGAACATCACATAATATGTCCAGACATTCGCACTTGACTTCTGTACTCTTCCCCTGGAGAAACAGGAAAAACTTGATGACAAACTTATAAATTTGGTATTCAAGAGCAACAACCAGTTTGCAATTATGAGACAACAGAATTATTCTGAGCCTATTACGCGATAATTTATTATAGGCATCACCCAACGCTTAACAATGGTGGAAGATAGCAATATGACCGTTGTAAGCTGAAATTTTGGGCACATTAGAGAAATGGCAAACTATGTGACGTAAACAGGCCTGGTACGTTCAGTGAACCAAGAGTAAATAAGGCCACATGAAAATTGTGGTCAAGAATGCTGAAAAATTCTGTTTATTTTATGACCTTCAGAATTCTTTCCATCAGTAAAATACTGGTACTTAACATCCACCGAGATCAAAACCAGATCCATTCCAGCTCTCGATTAAGGTTTTCAGAACCCTGCTTTGAGATCCAATAGTTTTTTGTCCTTAAAATTTCTATGCCTCCCTTATCCTTTCTTATTTATCCTTTGATGTTTCTGCCCTGACTATTCAGATCTCATCATTCTCAGTCTCCAATCTTTTATGTTAACTTCAATCATCAGGCCAATGTTTTCATAAATTCAATAATCTAAGGACACAAATGTTCACCATAGTGATGGAACCGCTGATTTTTGAGCCTTTATCATCCCATTATGCAGGATTGTTAGCCTTTTACCCCACACCATCTACACTTCCCTCTAAAAACGGAATTGAGTCACCAATGAAAGTGGTCCTTTGACCTAGTTCTTCCTTCTCTCAGTGGTGTGTAGTGGTGAAGTGCGATCGCCAGTGATTTGACCGGGGCATCCAACTGAAAGAAGTAACTTTGATAACCAACAAGGAAGGGAATTAGAAAAGTGAACCCCAGTTTCCAGCCATTCCACTTTAGCATGCCTTCTCTCTCATCAGCTGTGGAAGTCAGCTAGCTGAGAGACACTAGTCAGAGGCTAAAGAGATTAGCTCCAAATCATAAAGATAGTCCCATTCTGGTCCATTGATACTTTGATGGTGAATCAGAATCTCCATGACATTAAGAGAGGAAGGAAGTCAAGGAATAGAAAAGGATGAGGGGGGGAGGAAGAAAAAGAAAAGAGCAGTGTGATGAGGATGATGACAGTAAAGAAGCAGATGTAAAGGAAGAAGAAGAATGCAGAGAAAGATGTAAATGATATGAGGAGCGGAAAAGGAAAAAGGAAGGCTACAAGAGGATAGAAAAGGAGTATATTATGATGACAATAAGTATAATGATGAATACGAAGATTTAAAGGAAGTAGAAAAATGTGTGAGGACACCTTGTCAAGCATATGTTATTTTCCATTTGACTATTCCCAGATGTACCTACCCTCATCTCCTCTTTCTTTCCGATTTTTTAAGTTTTCATTAGCAACAAATTCATTCATACTCTCAACGGTACCCCCACCTTGAAGCTATTGCAAAAAACTCGTTGAACCCAACAAGCTGATTTTGATGATTAAAAAATCTCAATTTCATACTAATTTGTATTGATCTTTCTCATGCGTTTTATGCAAAGAAAAAAAAATTATAATAAAATGGGCAGAAAATAAAGACAACATTACTAATATTGATCCCCTGAAAACAAGGCAATATGGAAGCCAACAAACATTTTTGTGTACATAATTTTGAATAATAACAAATTGTCTGCCCCTTAAAAGTGTTGATATTTTTATAAAACATCAATCCGTGGCAACAAAATGGAAGCCAACAAACACAACAGTTGGCCCTAATAACTAAGATGTTGTCATTTACATACTGTCCAAACCTACACAGAAAAGAAGAACATCAAGTTTTGGGGTCAACATCTGGCCAGGGGAAAGTCAACACTCAATTGTAGCCAGCTGACTAAAAGGTGTCAACACCTACAGTTTTGTGACAGTGAGCTTGTCCAAAACGAAATGTCAAAAGAGCTGAAAATTGAGATGTTTTCTAGCCACTGGAGGAGCAGTCTTTAACAACAGTTAGCAGAGAATCTCCAACTACAACAGAGCAAGACGAAAGAGAGATTAAAAAGCCTTAGAACTCCACATTGCAATCTTTAATGACGTTCTCAAGCACACAGTATTTCAGAGCCATTCAAGGTTCAAGTGAGTACCTGAACTTGTCATGGCTTACAATTGAATCATTCAAAAGCATTTTCATTTACATACAAGGATATGTAATTTTTGTTTTTCTTTCATTGTGTCTTGATGAGCTTATTTGATCAAAACTTGAAAGGTTATGGTTGACACCTCGAGGAAGCCAGTTGATAAATATAAGATATGATTGACATTTGGGAAAGCCAATGTATCTACATTAAGTTCGAAAGAAAATTGAAAACACCAAATGGGAAGCTTAGAAACTGGAGAACGTTTTAGATTTGACTAACCATAGCAAAATCGTGTCCCTTTTGTAGTTAGAGAGTGCAATCTCTAGTTCCACACTCGATTTCATTTCAACACAACACTATAATAATATATATTCCACTCTGCTTAGTTTACTTCACAATTGAAAAAAGTATCACACACCCTCAATACATGGTTATTTGGTTCACACCCTCAAATGTTGTGGCAACCATTATCAAGCCCTACATTGATGGAATAATAAACCCACGACAAGCCATTAAAGAATAATGTGTTCATGTAACCAAATTCAGCTGACAGTAAGCAGTGGTACGTAAAGAAGAACCTTCAACATGATAAACAAAAGCATTAACGTTCCCAATATGTATGTATGTCTACCTTGAAATCATTACATTGGCAGTTATGCATATGGATATCAATTTATAAGCAATCTCAAAAAAGCTTGAAACTTTGAATTATTCTACATTAACTGTTAAATACGAGGAAGCATGCTAAGAATCCATTTCAAGAAAATTGCAGCATTTAGCCACATAAAACTTGGTTAGCTCCAGTCCCAACAAGCCTGTAGACTGAGGGTTTGCTTTACCAAGAACATGACCAACAAAAATTCATACGTAATTAATTGTTTCCAGTTGTCACCAAAAAAAAATTCTACAACATATTAATAGATGAAAACTGGAAGTGCTGGCAAGGTAACAAAAAACTTGCATTTAATAAACCAATTCTTTTTCAAATACCATAGTTCAAAACTACAATTGAGAGCCACAGTTGTATAGGTTAAGAAAAACGAATTCTTACAGGACTAGTTACTCCGGCTGTCAATTTGGGAGAAAGACAAGCAACAATGCGTTGTGCAAGGGCTGTTGTACTGACTTCTGAAACAATTGTCTTAAGGGCTATACTTGCAACATCACGATGCTGATCCTTTCCACTCAGCAACTTATCACATAGCTTGTTAGTCATCTCTAAAACCGTCTCCTCACTAACTTTCTTAACAAGTGGGGCAAGGCTACAATACAAGAAAGAAGACGAAAATTACTTCACAAACAGTAAAAATACAACCATATTTTAATAATAAAATTAGATAATATATAAATTCCTTAAAATGATGTCATGAATAAAATGACTGCATTCACTAGAGATTTCAAACTAGAGGGAAGAGCACAACCATGAATAGTCCATAATATCAGTAACTATTTCTCCTATTCTAAAGGGCCCACAAGCAGACAAAGGTCAGGAAATTTGAACTAGAATAATGTGCGATACCTTAGAACTTTCTACACAACAATCTTGAAAACTACGACAAAGGAAATATGTGATACCTAAAATTAAGTACACTGAGGCGTGATGGTCCAGAGAGGTCTATAAAGGCATAACACCTTCAGAGAACAAAAGATAAAATTTGACCTGATATAAAGAAGAGAGACCTGAGTGTATAAATTAAAAAGGAAATCCTACCAGAACTAAAGAGTTCGAGCTATTGTTATCCAATTATGAGTGGAATTTATACATAACAAAATAGTCTGGATTCTGGTGAAGAATTCTTCAAAAAAATGGAGTAAAGGCATGATCAGGGCATGTAGGTTGGGTTCCCCAAAGCAAAAACCCTTACATCAACACTGTCCTCCTGAGAGATTCCATGACTGATACCGTTCAAGTTATTTTGGTCTTAGCCATCAGTTTGTAGTTTCTTTGGGATCTGATGACAACCAGGAGACAAGAACCATATAATGTGTAAAATAGCCAAAGATTATTGCCACTGGATAGGCAGACAACCAGTGCAGATCATAGCTTATAATGATTATAAAAAACTGACCCCATTTCCCCTATCATCTCTATTCTAGAGACTAAAAACAAGGATGAGAGCCTAAAAGTCGTCCAGAATCCATGGCCAGTGGTAGTGGTGTAAGAGATGCAAATAATAAGGAGATGATAGCACTGGCCTTGGACCAGAGAATATTGAACTATCGAGCTACATCAAGTTGATGCCAGCTTTTCCAGAGGTAAGAGCAATGGGTATGCATTTTGACAAGACGCCTACTACAGCATTGACATGGACAGTGGATGTCATCCACAAGACCAGCGCATATTTTCCGTTGTCAACCAAGATCCTAATCACATAGCAAAAACTCCAGGCAGTACAAAGACGATGGATTATTGAACACAAAATCGGTATAACACTGACAGGATAGAAAAGGCACTCTTATTTTACTCAAGCACTCTTATCAGTCTATCTTTATAATCATTTAGAATTTCAAAGATTGGCTAGAAGGCTAGAAGCTATCTTTGACGATAAATTGGACTGAGTGGGAGAGATCAAGATGACCGCATGACAATCATTAGAGGCCGACAAAGACAGCAGTAGTGAAGGATAGGACATCCACATCCTGAAGAAGACTAATCTGGCGCTTCAATGCGAGTGCCAATAAAGCTTCAAACAAAAATTGCAGAGATATCAAACTCAATTACGAAATGAATAATCAAATAATTCTATCAATTTTTTCAGTTCATTGTCCAAGTAAACCATCAACCAGCTGCTGTGCTCCTCCTAGGGGAGGCAATTGAAGAAGATTGAAGATAGGGATAATATTCTAGCTAAACAGGTGGGCATGACATGGTCCTTTGTCAGAGTTATTTCCTCACTCTGTAATGCAACTAAAACTCACGCAGCTGTGCTGGAAAAGTAGCACTGCAGATAAGGCAGGTCCGCAATATAACTCAAGAAAAGAGATAAGAAGACAAGAATAACAGTAGAGGAAAAGAACAGCACGCATCCCCGTCTCTCAAACTTCTTAAAGTGAGGAATCCCATTATTGCGCACAATCTTCTCAAACAAATGATCAATGAAGTGGGGCATGAACGTGCAACCCAATGCAGACAAATCGGAGTGACAAGGTTCCTCATGTGCCAGGGCTCCAGTCAACCACGCCTTGGGGGATGGCGGATGCTCCACAAATGGTAGCGACGTAGAAAAACTGCGTGGCTGAGAGGATTATGATGAAGGCCTTCATGGTTCTCTGGGACAATTTATAACAGGTTGAGTAAACCTTCTGATGGGCTGAAGATAGGACGGGAGAGAGCCAGAAAAATATTGACGTGAAGCTTTCTGGCAGGTCAGAGGGATGGCCATCTATATCCCCCATAATCCACAAAAAAATGAAAGTTACAAATTATGGGATAGCTCACCTAAAATGCCCGATGATAACAGTTAAGGTCGATCTATGGAGGAGGTTCAAACTTATCACCCTACGACAGAAGACTAGACAGTGGACTTTACGTTACACTTGTCCTGTTGTATGCATCATCCTAAGAGGCAGCTCATCACAATATGCAACAAAGATGAAGAATTCCCCGAGATTTTGGAGCCAATATAGCTAGTAATAAGACAAAAAGAGTATACTTGGAATCCGAAAGCTTTAATGGTTGATTACACATCCTGTCTCACATAAAGAAAAGCATGTATTGATGAAGGATTTTTCAACTATAGCCATGCAGTCTTTTTATAACAAGTGTCAGCACGGGGAAATTTCGGGGGAAATGTGCAAATATATCCCTCCCCACATTTTTCGAACATATGCACGCAGTGGACTCTGTCACACAGTAAAATTAGTCATCAATGACTTTACACTTGTCTATCACTTTGTATGATTGGAAAGCTCTATACCACATTAAGACTTCAAAAGTAAAACAAAAAAGTAGACATATTGAGATAGCCCAGGTGTGACTCGAACCAACTCAACTCAAAGTCAACGATTTTACAAATAAAAATCATTTAAAAGCATTAGATACCCGTTTGAGGTATTTACTTCTGCGATTCATACAATAATAATGCATATGCGAGATTGAAATCTTGAAACGTTGATGTGATTCAAATAAGCTGGACCAAGTCACAAATTGCACCTTGTCAGCAAAAACCTTTCTTATAGGCAATTGTATTTTTGAATAGAAAATGTTACAAAGAATGAACAGAGGCAATTGAAAAACTTCTACTGACAGATAAAAAGTTCAAGAAGTAATCTTAGGGTCGATGCCCTCTATATATACAAATATTGGGTAATTGAAGTAGCGGCAGTAGCATAATAAGTCATGACCTGAGCACCTATAACTTGCATTGAATGTTGAAAGTCATGATATTTATTTAATTCACTATGCAAAAATTCTCTCATACAAATCTGTGTTGTCAGATGCGAAGTCTATAAAGAAGAAATATGGTGAATTATACAACAGTTATGAAAGTTGTACATAAAAAATGAACCTAGAGCCAGGCAGAGAACAACATCATAGCATTTCGATTCATTTACTTTATTTCACCATTGCAATGATTACCTTCTCTACACTTTTCCAAATTAGACTGACTTTTTCTTCCTATACATGTCTTTCTAAAGGCTAAAATAACTTCGCAAGTGATAATCTATAGCTCTCCAAATATTCACCACCACTCAGATTGGTATCTTCAAGCTTTCGTTCAAGTGTCCTTATTAAAATAAAATAAAAACTAAATGAAACAGTAAAGTGAAACAAGTAAATAAATTAAATTAATTAACTTAACCAATAAAATAAGAAAGACCGAATTAAAGTAAGCAGATATGAGGAAACAAACAGGAAAGCAATAGAGAGGCTTCGAATGAGACATCAACAAACCGAGCAAATTTTCTACCACGAACAACCCAATGAAATAGGTCCATGGCGAAAAAGGATAGCATACCATTTGACAGCAAGCCCTGATACATCCCCAGAGGCATCATCGAGCTGTTGTAGAATAACATCTGAAAGCTTTTTCTCCAGCTCAGCATCAACTTTGAAGACGTCCTTATTTAATTCACCAAGCAAATCAGAGGTCGCCATGTATCTATAGTCTTTATCCTTACCGGTCATCTACAAGACGGTGACAAAAGTCAGTGTCAGAAAACATGTGACAACAATGTGGAGGAAACTCAAGTAAGAGCATAATAGCAATTTTAAAAAGTTGTATACCTTCTCCAATATACTGTTCAGCGTTAAGTTCGACATAGCTTTATTTATTCTCCAATTTTTAAAAAATCTGAAAAATCTTTTGCCTGCAGGTAACAAATTCCCAGGTCAAGACCTGATTTGATATTCTGCAATGTATCATACAATTGGGAAATACACAACACAGCCAAAATATATCTTCGCGTGAGACGTTATAAAAAGATAGGATAATGGAAGTTAAGACACTGCCAAGTTCCACACTTACTGTACCGGAGATTTTTAAAGGTCAATTACGGGACTGATATAATATCATCTGTTTCGAAGAATGTGCACAACATCGGTCGGAAAAGAATAACTGCATAAGAAACGGCATAGAAATTTACACCCACGGATTCTTACTCTGCCTCTCTTGCGTCTCCACGTCAACTACTTTGTATCAAACCCCCTAGTTGTGCCCTGTCTGATACAATGAGAGCACCTAATCAACGATATCAACGATATCAACTCCGGCGGAACTCAATCTACATCAGTGAGACAAACAACAGAACAAGAGCGTGCTTTCACATCGAACAGAACCGAGGAGAAAAAGAGGTTGCCGGCGGCAGGAAGAAAGAGAAGGAACCCTCGCATAAAGGAGCCTCTAACCAAGAAAAAAAATCCAGGGTACAGGGAAAAGAAAAAGGTGAGCATTCAGAGGAGGCACCTAGCAATCATATTACTGCAACAACACACTCGACGGGAGCTCACCGAAAATAACACCAGTGAATAAGCAATAATCGAGAGAGCTCACAGAAGGAAGGCGAGAGGGGAACTTACAGCGCCCGATGGCCACTTCCCCACGGCACGAAAAACCCTAGCGCGTTGTCGGGCGGGGGAAATCGCAGCTCCTCTAGTGAAGGCGAGAGAACACAGAGAGGCCCGGGGAGGAGGGGGCGAAACAGTATGGAAACCGAAGGTGGTTCCTCATTCGCCGAAATTACGGAATTAACCTCACCATCTCTGTAGGAGGCTTACGATGCCTCTAGAATCGGGCTTACTTCGATTGGAATCCAATATCGACCCACAACCGTATCCCATCCAACTTTCATTTCTATCGGATCCTACACCCGATAAGTTGTCACAGTGGGCCCCACCCGGGGTAACTGTCCAGAAACTGCTTTTCCCGTTTTTTGCGGTTTTAGTAAATACAAAATATCAAAATAAAGAATAGATAGCGTAATAATTACACGCCAAATGTACACGTCGTTGTCAATATTATACAATCAACGGCATAATTGTGAATTTGTTTTCTGAGGATATTGCGATTACTTTAGTTCGCAATTTAGGTCGAACTTCAAAAAAACTATTGATAATTGCTAAATCACAAAGTCCCCCATCAAAGTTATTCATTTCCACAATAGCCCTCCAATTCGCAGAAGAGAGCGATCTGATCGGACACAGAAACAATTTTACAATGTTGTAGGGCGGATACCGCGAAAACCTGAAGATCAAAGAGCACCGTGGCCAAGGGGAGAACATCAGATACGGTTCAATGGAGGAAAATGCAACGTTGATCGGGGGAATCACCACGGTGAACCATTCCCAGAAAAACGTAACGTGGTTAGATCCCGTTGACTTCCCCGGCTTCCGCCGTCATCGCCTGAACCATCTGGGGTCAAGGTGATTGATTGTCTCACGGGTTGATGAGAAATCGGTCAGCCCTTCGGATCGCGAAGGGAACTGGACCAGCTTGATCTCTGCAGAACGCAGCCACCTTCACTTTAGAGCTCTCGAGGTTCTGAGAGATACTGATCTACAGTAGTCACCAGGTGTTCGACGATGGTTTGAACAGGCTTTTCTACGAACGAGTGGTGGGCGAAGGTGGCCGCTCCTCCACCGCAGCGGATTGCGAGACGCGCCCCCACAAGCTCGGAAACAACAGTTCGCTAGTGAAGGTGTTCGCCCACCCCGCGCAGTCGATCGCCGGCCCGCAGGAAGATGCCCCATCTGAATGCCTCGCCGCCCCACTGCAAGCGGCACGGTGGACGACGAAGCTCTCCTTTCTGCTTGAGCGCTCCACAGGGTTGGAATTGCCCCACATGATTCGAGATCAGATCGACTGGCTTTGAGTCAAGAACATCAGGTAGACCAGGGGGAAGCCGGGGTTGATACCTGGAGAAGAGCGTTCCACAGTCGCACTCGTACCGGCGGCTGCCGCAGACGCGGGCGTGCGCCATCCAGTCGGCGCGGACAGCGTAGCTCTTGGGGCAACCGTCGCAGTTCCACCGTTTCTCCCCGTGCTTGCGGCTGTAGTGCTTCTTGATCCCCGTGATGTCCCCCAGCGCCCGTGAGGGGTGGTGGTGAACGCAGGTCTCCTCGGGACAGACGAAGAGCCGCTTCCTCCCTGCGGCGCCGCCGGCCGCCTGCCTGCCGCCGTCGCCGAGCTTCCACGGCAGGTTGTGCCCGCGGCGGTGGATCTGCAGGTTCTGGCTCCGACGGAACTCCTTGCCGCAGACCTCGCAGAGGAAGGATCGCGAGGAGAGGAGCGTCCTAGGAGACAGCGCTACCACCTCCGCCTCTGTGTCTGTGAGAAGATAATTCTAGGGTTTACTGACAGTGGCCGGAGCGAGGAAGCAGGAGATCGATTGGTGGCGCTTATCCAAAGTACCTGCTGTTCCTCGGGGGCTTCTCCTTCTCCTTTTCTTCGCAGTCGCAGGCTGGCCTGGACGAGGTTTCTCACCGGCGGAGATGGCGGTACCATCTCCAGGCATTGGCGGCCGAGGCGACGACTCCATCCCCTTCCTCCGATCGAACCAGAGCGAGCAAGCGTCTGCGGGTACCATCATCCTGCTAATCTTCCGAAGCCCGACGATGAGACAGGCTGGCCCGATCGGTCTTCGGGCCTATCCGGCACCTTGACACTGACAAGAACAGTAACTGGAACGATTTTTCTGCCCCTTTGTAAATTAATAATTTATAAATATTATACTATTTTAGGGGCATTAACGGGCCGTCCTGATTTGTGCTGGGTCATGGGCCAATTCTTGGTGATGGGGAGTCTCTCTCTCTCTCTCTCTCTCTCTCAGCCTCAGCCCAACATGAGTCCCGATGAGACAGAGAGGGGTCGAAGATGGATTAAGTTGGGCCCAGGCCCGGCCCGTTGGCATATAGAAAAAGCTCCGTAATGAGAGGGAGGTAGTAGCCGGGTTTTTCAGGCCTTAGAAGATCGACACCCGGCAGAGTTCCTTTAGAAGGGGAGATCCTTGCGGAGATTAGTGTTGCTTGATTTTTGCAGGAGGAAGAGGAAGAGGATTCGGCGGAAGGGATCGGAGGGTTTCATCGTCATGCGCATGATTCCTCTATTGTCTACGATTTCTTTCGGGATTTGGGAGAAGCATAGGGGGGAGGAAATCTTCGGAGGCCGCCTCCCCGTATAACCTGTATGCAGAGGGAGGCGATGGATGCTACGAAATCCGCGATCGAAACGAGGGCACCTCCTCCTCCGCACGCTGCAAACGGCTACGGGTCTACTCCGGCCATGGCTGGCCGCATGGGTAGGCCAGGAGAGGAAGGCATTAACGAGGGTTTTCTCAGCGCGGTTGCCGAAGGTCGCTGCGCGGATGAGGACAGGGTCAGGCACCAAGTCGACGAGATCGCCTCGAGGGTGGACGAGGTATAATGCATTATCTTGTCCCACATATTCCATTGTTTGTTTTCTATTTTTTTCGTTTAGACTCTGTATTTCACTAACTGCGACTGACGCTTCCGCAGCTGGAGCAAAGTGTCGGCGAGGTATCCCAGTTTTACTCGAGTAGAAAGCAGTCGAACAATGCCATAAGTTCGAAAGTTTGTGGAGGCGGCGCAAGTTCGGTCCCCAAGGACAAAGAAAGAGAGAGAGAGAGAGAGAGAGAAAAAGAGAAAGAGAAAGAGAAAGAGAAAGAGAAACCGGCTATGGTCGATCAGAAGAAACCGTTAGACTTTCCTCGCAAGGACGCTGCTTGCACCAAGCGGATGCAGGAGCTCATGCGACAGTTCGGCACAATCTTGCGACAGGCGAGGCATTACTTCACTTTTTTTTCCAACTCCACTGTCTGCTCAGAGCATAAATCAGATATCTTCTGCTTCCTCAATCCATGACGCGTTTTTTTTATATATTTGAATTTTTTTTCATCCAGTTTAAAGATATCTAAAATATTACTCACCAAATGTGTTCCAATTAAGGCTCTTCTTTCGAATAGTTGTACAGTTACAAGTCACAAAGATTTCCAGTGACTTTACTGAACTAATAGTTCAATTTATGTGCAAAAGTTTCATTTTCTTGCCCTCTGTCTGTCGAAATTTTAAGAGGCTGAAAACCATCGTCAGCTGCACGGTAAATGGCAGTATTCCGTCCAGGTCGTGGAATTATTTCAAATATAAAACGCACGGTAAGATTTTTCCCACGACCTGGACGTCAGTCGTGGGAAAGATCTGTGTCAAGGTCTCAGTGTAGCCGGAGAATTGTTGCATCTCAAAATTTCTGTTTCTCCTATGTAGAACCACACGGCAAGATCTTTCCCACGACCTGAACGGAATACTGGCATTTATCTACATTATCGAATTATTTTCCATAGTTACCTAATTAAGACACTAATTTCCACTGCACTGGAATAATGTCAGTTGTCTTCATCCCAGTTCTGACATGTCATGATCTTTTGACCGGAAGAAACTCAGATATTATTGTTTATTGACCTGGAGGAGTCCAAATTCTGAGTCTTAGAACCATAAAAGATTTAAAGTGATTGCTGACGATATTTGATTAAAGACACCTAGACAAGATTTGGTTATCTGGAAGAACACTCAAAAGAGTATTACTTTGTTGTTAAACCTTTGTCCTAGTTGATTGTATTTTTATCTTGCGATTAAGTTAGCTTACTCGTATGGCCTATTTTATATAAAGTCGAATTCACTGTTGAATTTGTCATCTTACTACATTAGGGTTCGCAGTAAAAATGATTAAAAAGATGTTTCTATAGAAGATACTCCTTTTAACCAATGAAACATTTTACTTCCAGATCTCACAGCACAAGTGGGCTTGGCCGTTCTTGCAGCCTGTTGATGTTGAAGGTCTTGATCTCCACGACTACTTCGATGTAAAGACTTCATCCTCTCTTATTTGAATCATGCCCCGTTGGATGTTACCGAATCCAATGTGAGGTCTTGCCTATAATCGAATTTTCAGAGCAGCATAATGATCTTTGGTGATCCATCATGCTTACTCTTTTTTTTATGTCAGCCTTAAAAACACAGAGGGGAATATGGGATATTCTGTTGGATCCTGCCTGGTGTCATTGAAAATTTGAATGTCCCTCAGAGATGGTTAACGGTTTCTATCACATTACTTTCTTTTCAGATGTGTTTAGATCTTCACGCGAATATAAAAGTTTTTAGGGGAATGTGTCAATTGAATTCTTTTTGTTGTTCCGATACCCTGGTAATTCAAGCTAGTGGGTTTGATAAGATGAGGTAGAAATTTCTGGGGTTCTTAAGTATGAGAAGTTTGTGATTCTTGTCTTTGCTTCACAACTTTTTCCATATCATACGGTATGATTACTCAAGGTTTAAGTTAAAAAGCATTCACTTCGAGAAGCTAAGAAGCTTACACCTAATGTTGTCTCATACTATTTAAAGTCGTCATTCTTCTTTAAATGTCTTTATATTTTTTACCAGCTTTTATTTTGTCAATTTACATGAAGAACATGACTAGTGAGTCTCACTGCAGATGTTTGTTAGAATAAACTCTATTTCAAAAAAGTTGGTATGGAGATGCGCCTTTTTGTATTAAAAGTGTTGAATATTTAATTCGTTTGCAGTCTTTAATTACGTTGTTCCATGTATGTTTTTCCTCAAATTCAATGAGCAGTGTGGATTATTGCTGTGCTACCTATGAAATTCTCTTTGCTTTCCTCTTCTACGTTCTACTGTTGAATGATAAGCTTTGCATTTGCTTCTTTAGTAACTCGTATGCTTGGGAGTTCTTGAAACTTGAATCAGCCAAGATTTTACTGTGACTGCAATTTTATGTCTGCTTCTCCAATGATCCACAGCCATGAAGAGTTTTCATTTTATAATCAAATAAAATTTATCAATTATATATTCAATTTTTATTATAAAATAATATTCAATTTTTTTTTAATTTTCTCTCATGTAGCTCTTCATTTTTTTTATATCATTTGTTTCTTTTTTTCATATGCCTTATTCTTTCCCTTTTTACCAGACCATCCATCCCGTTATGAGCTGAACCATTTCTTAGGATGCATGGTCTTCTCTCCAACAAACACATCATTCTACACTAAAAACATTGGAAATTCACACTGTTCCTGTTGATCATTCAAGAATATTGCTTTAAACACCTAAGGCAGATCCCGAAATCTTCTTTGCATGCTGAGAGCTTCCCGCACTCTAAATATCTTCGACGTTTAAAAATGGTGCATATTTGAGAATGTTCTTTTATGATCTGATTTACCCAGATTGCACTGAATCGCATCACTTCGATTGCGCATCGTTTATTTTTATACGATCATAATGTCTCTGAAAACCATTTTTTCAGATTATAAAAAAGCCTATGGATTTTGAAACCATACGAAAGAAGATGGAAGTTAAAGATGGCACCGGATATAAGAATGTTCGAGAAATATATGCTGACGTTAGGTTGGTTTTCACAAACGCAATGACATACAATGAGGAAAAAAATGATGTTCATCAGATGGCAAGAACATTGTTGGAAAAATTTGAGGAGAAGTGGCTCCAGCTTTTGCCTAAAGTTATTGAAGAGGTTAGATATCACGCATAGATTACTTTGGAGCTCCACTTGTTAGTTAGATTTCTGCTTTTGTTTCATGTAATACTATGTATTCCTTGTTCAGGAAACAAGGCAAAAAGAGGAAGAAGCAAAGGCTCTAGTGGAAATGGAGATTGCCCAAGAGGCTGCCATTACAAAAATGGCCAGAGATGCTGATAATGAGGTAAAGAGCATGAATAATTTTCCATATGTCATATAGGTTGTAACTCCAAAACTTGTGTACATTACACAGCGGGATTGATTAAAGAGTAAGCGCAGATGAAACCCAAAATATTTGAGAACTCATATGCAACGATGCCTAATAGCTACATAGATGTAATTTCAGTTGAAGTGGTTTTGAAACGGCTTTGCATAAATGTATATAGATGTACACCTGTTTTGAGACAGTTTTTCTCTTATAGAGGTTACTGTTTTTTGAAGCACTCATGCGATTCATGTTTTGTTTGAGGAATTCAGTGATTTTTGGGCCTTAGCTCATATTGTTGACCTTTCAGTATGGGCCAGCTTTCAAGGGCCTACTTAGAGCTATTGGCAAATTCTTTTCGTTGATGCTTAAATGAATCTGTCAAGATCATGCCAACCAAACTCTTTTAACTGAATCAATGAATTCATACTTTTGGCGGAACAAATGGTTCGGGTTTTGTTGGCTGTTCTCAACATTGTTTTAGGAATAATTGACTGGTTTCATTAAGAGTTAGCGATTTACCAGGATGGATTCAAAGTTTTTGTCTGAGTTTGAATTTGTCTCTCCTCACTAAGATTTCTTTTTTCAGCTTAGTGACCTTTTTTCGCATTTGGACGAGCTGAGAGAAACGCTGCTGCGTAGGTGCAGGTATATGTAGCTTACTCTTTATGGTTCTTGGGCATTTATCCGATGATTTTTTGTTTGTCAAGATACAACTCGTTCAAGCCACTGGTAGCAGTGTCAAAATGTTTTCATTAGCTTTTCAGCCAAAGGTGCAATCATTTACTGTTGAGCAATTCGTCTCTGAAGTTTGTCACCAGAAGCTAGATTAGAAGCTCCTGCGTGCCACGTAAAAGGCTGGGTCGAAACAATGTGTTATTGTTTATAATGACCATGAGAGTTTATTCCGCCAATGGGTTTTAGCTGATTATACAGATTTGATGAAGCAACTCTGTGTTGGTATATTGTTTTGGTTTGTCCAAACTGGTTCAGAGTAAGAAATCCTGAAACTAGATCAGCATGGATTGGGCCTATTTGACTCATGCGAGCTCCATGATTTTGGGCAATACGGATATGATGCTTTTTTTAGAGGAAAGAATGTAGAGCGCTCTCAGTGCATAATTTTTAGTCCAACCTAATTTGGCATAAGCTGAATGAACGGCTGAGTCGACCACGTATTGTCCTAGAAAGTTCTAAAAATTCCAATAGGATCAGGCTGTACCTCACAGTGATCTGGATTACTAGCTGGTTCATAGACCAAGGGAAGGAAGTGTTTGTTGTCAATTTTTTCAATAATTGGTCTCTTGTGGATAAGATATCATGCCTGCTCGCTGCATGGTCCAATGACTATATTTGGGATAGATTCATGTTTGGATCGGCTGGCCATGCTCTTTTATTCATATGGATTTTCAAATTCTGTAATGAATGACTCCTTTAATTTTCTTCGGTTGATTAATTTTCCTCAGGAATAGAAGTTCTTTTCGATCAAAGAATTTTGCATTTAAAATATGGAATACTATCCGATCTGCTTCTATCTAATGGGTGGTTATTGCAGTCAATGAAGTCCCGGTTGTGTTCGTAATTCTCTTTAATATTTAAAAATCTGATTACGTATCTAATATTTTTTTGGTGCAAACGTATTACATACATTCTCTAGAGAAGTTAGATATTTTGGAATGCTGTTTTTACCTGTTTCTCACTTCTGCCTGATCGATGGGACCTTTCTCAGGAAAATGTCTACAGAAGAGAAGCGAAAGCTTGGTGCAGGTCTCAGCCAATTATCTCCTGAAGATTTGAATAGGGCATTGGAAATTATTGCACAAAACAATCCCAGTTTCCAAGCTACTGCTGAAGAGGTGGACTTGGACATGGATGCTTTGGTAATTAACCTTTCATCCTAACCTTGCCAGTGGTTTCTTTTCCAGCATTATGCAACTGCCTACTATAGAATGAATATGTTTCCAATGCCCTATTCAAATCTTCAGGATTTGTGGTGTGGATTATAATCCTTTTTCACTTGTTAATGAATGAAATTTTGACAACATTTGAAGAAAGAGTTAACAATTATCAGGATTGCGACAGAGACAATTCAAAACCGGTTGTCCTCTTCCCATATTCTTCATCTCTCCTCTCTTGTAACAAATAAGCATGGATGGAAGTGCTATTCGCTCCCGAGTTCATATTTTTTGGGATGGATAATGTTGCGGATATCAGATTCATGCCCAAGTTCATTTGAAATGTTGTCCCACCATTGTTGTTCCAATACGAAGAGGAAGTGAACGAAAACATGCTGGAAATGTCTCGTCGAAGACTGATGAGCCTTCACAACACCTGTTTCAATACACGAGGAACACTCTAATATAGCAGAGGTTTCGGGTGACGATCTAGTCAAGTGACATTTTCTTTGGTTGTGCTGAAGCATGAGATTAATTTTCTATTTTAAGAGTTAAGTAACATCTACGCCTGTTAGAAATAGACAAATTTTAAGTATATCTCTCAATTTTTCTGTAAATCTCTTAATTCACATGATAAGCAAAAGCATCTTCCAAACGATATCAATTTTAATTGTTTATATTCATCACGCCATTAGTGAATACAACATATTGCTGCTATCATCTTCTCTAGAATGGGTATCACAGAGACTTCTTCCCAGGTGATGACGATCGGATCAATTGTCCGCAGGATTTATTTATTTATTTATTTATTTACTGGGGGTAAATGCGATGGAAATTTTACATTTCAAGTGATTTATTTTCTGTACAGAGCGAATCAACATTGTGGAGGCTCAAGTTCTTTGTGAAGAAAGCACTGGAAGTGCAGGCCAAGGGATCTGCGACGAAGAGCCATGAGAACTCGAAACGGAAGAGAGAGATTTGCGACGCTCTCGCCAAAACCGCTAAGAAACGGAGCAGAAAGGTCCCCTAGCGATCGTCTCACCATGGGAGTTCAACTCTACTCTTGGATCTAGCATATGGTTGGCCTTTCTAACCCTTCCCCGTCATCTATCCCTGGTTAGTTGAAGGGAAGCAACCCAGAACAGTGCCGCCGCCAGGTGCACCCTCTCAAGACCGGGGGGAGGAAGAAACCTGTGGCATGCCTCAAGAGGATAGCAGCCGACAGGTGATGTAGCATGGAAGTCATCCCATTAGAGGAATTCTCTGCCCTCTCTCGGCCCAGAATACTTATGAATTGAATGAAAAAAAAGGGTCTTGCTTGGTTCACAGTGATCTCTTTTATCTGGTATATAGCGTTTTAAACGGAGTTCTTCAAGAGAGCATTTTTATCTCTGCTGCGTCTCGGATCTTACAATGCTAGCAGAAGATGAACACTATTCTGCCTTCAGAAGGAGTGTGTATGTGATCCTGAGTTGTGAGTGACTGGGCCGGATGGATTTCATGCAATTCGGGTTGGACTGGGCCGTTCATATCGGCCCACTAATCCGATCTGAGTGCCCCACTTTTCATATGCTTCCTTTTCGACCCACTAATCCGATCTGAGTGCCCCCAGATGGTGAGTTCCTTCCATTTGAGTATTTCCATATGAAAAGTCAACCCAATTGACCAGCCAAGCTGAAGAGAAACCACCTTATAACCATTCCCACAAAAAATAATTGGCTGGGGTGGGCTCCTTCCCCTTTCTTCGAGCCTAGAGCTCAATACAGGTGCCCTCTCTCTCTCTCTCTCTCCCTTTCTTCGAGCCTTCCTTCCGTGACCTATAAACCCTCCATCTCTCTAATTTGCAACTACCCCGGACACTTGGGAGCTCTAGCTTCAACACTCTACTTGCTTTTGGTACTTTTTGAGGTTTAACCAGTGATAAAGTTTTTTCGATGGGTTTTTCTGTCAATCCACGTCATGTTTTGGGTTCATGGAAAGCCCATCTACCCTCACTACCAAGGTTGACTTTGGTGCTGATCATTTAATGAGTTTTCTCTGAGCTTGGTTCTCAGTTATTATGCTGTAAATTTAATTATGCAAGGGCACTTTTTGATTTAGTCTACAAACCCCCGAAGTATAATAAAAAATAAACTGGAGGTAAAAAAGTCACTTTAATGATCACTGAGGACTATATTTTACTATATATATTTCTTAGTTTGTTGACTTAGATTTCACTGGGAGGGATGCATTGCTAAGTATTGAGGGTAGAAATGACAATTTCCCCCATTGACCTCATCTTCATCGTTGCCAAATGATAACAGGAGACACGGGCAGAGGCTGGGAGAGATTGAGAAGGGCCCAGAAAAAGATGGCAGAGAGAGAGTTTTCGGATGGGCTATTTTAGTCATTTTACATCTGACTGATTAATAAATTAGTAAATTATTTTTAGTGTTGACGACCAAATGGAAGAGTTTCAGAGAAGTAGAAAGAAAAAAAATGAAAATATTGGGTTTTATTAACGAGTTAAAAGTTTATATGGGGTTAAAACGCAATACGTTGGAAGGTGAAGCTCGGCGAAATAAAGTATAAAAGGGAAAAAAGTATTTTTAGGGGTAAAATAGTTATAAAAGACTGAAAAACCTATTTTATCGTCCAAGACTCTAGGATGTTTTCCCTTAGCCATTTCTTGCAGCTTCCTCCACTAGCATCTGCTCAGGCCGCTGCCCGTTACACTGCTCCCGGGGAGAAGAGGGGGAGAGAGCGGGCGACGGGAGCTTAGAATTTGGCCGTCCTCTGCTATTCTGCTCATCTCCTCTTCAATTCATGATGGACGGTCTTTCGCTATCCTCCTCCAAATACATCGTTTCTTGTCCCCTAAACCCCCGTCAACTCGCGAGGCCGTCGCTGTCTTCTCGGTGTCTCCCTGTGCTGACGAGGGAAAGAAGCGGTTCCCGAAGGATTATATTTCGTGTCTCGGCCCATGGACGAAGGAGCGGCCATGGACCTTCTCTCAGGTCCTCGGAGAAAGGTAATGACTATTGACGACGAGTTGTTGTGTTATCTTGACGACAATGAGCTCGAGTATCTTTTTCACATATGTTTTCGCGGATAAACAAAGCACATGCGAGTTTCTGAATGGACGGGCAGAAATATTGAACTATTCGGCATTAATCTGATTCATTCCAGTAACAGGGGTTAGCTTCATTTATTATCGTTTAGTTTGTACACATTTAAATTGCCTTGGACACCTAAAGTTTGTATCTTGGTATAGAACTTTATTTATTGGCCTTAAAAAATAAATTCTACTGAACCTTATTTCTGGCACGACCTTATGGGGGTATGGGCACCTAGTTATAATTTGTATAAAATTTTGTCGCGGAAATGCACTATTTCAGTGTGATTAAAAGGTCTGCATTCATTTTACCACTGATACGGACTCTGAGTTGCGCAGACCATGGTAATCTTTTCCTCATCGTCTTGCAGTTCAGCCAGCTGAAGCCTTCGTTCTTGTCCTTCGTATTTTGGCTCATAAAAGAGTTACCATTTAAGGTCTCATGAACTTGCAGATTATATTGACAGACACTTTCGAGTTAACAAAGATATTTTATATTGCCCTGATGACACGACGGAAAATTTCATTGCTCTGGAACTGCTTTTCAGCTTATGAAAAGGTTTTCATGAAATGAAAGACAAGGTATCTTGACATCCAAAGGTGCCTGTAGAAACTAGGCCCTGAGTTGTGTAGGGAGATTGTCTTGTTTGCCAAAATCTTTGCACTCATTTTGTCCCGAAGAAGTATTTATTTTGGTAATGTTGGTGGAAAAATTAAGATTTTGTGATGAAAGATGGTATTGTTTCCCCAAATCTGATGCATATCTCGAGAAGGAAAAGAAACCCTGTTGTCTTACGATAATTATTGGCCAGTTCTGTGGCATTACTGTCAAGTATGACCTTCGGGCACTTGGGAAGGTGGGCAGCTGACCTGCCTTCTGCAAGTAGCCATGAACAGCTGGTTGTTTCCGCTTTCCGCAGTTCTGGGCACTGTGGATATTGAATCTTTCAAAATTGGATAAGGGATGGTGGAGTTTATCATGGGAGAGTCATTAGTCTTGCATTAGTCGTATACCATGCTAATCTTCTTCGTGAACTTAACATAAGAATTTTCTACACTCGTCAGGTGTGAAGCATATATTCTAACCATGTAATGCCCAATTTTTCATGTGTGTCGCTTTGAAAAAGAGTTAGATGGGTGGCAAAAATGTGATCCATCTTAGTTTGTTTGAACTCAAATGATGCAAAAAATTTTAAGAGATACCCTTACTACTGTTTTACTTCGCTAGAAACCTGATGATTTTGCAACTATAACCTTGACTCAAAATCCTATTTTCACAGGGTTAATTTAAAATTTCTCAATTTACCCTCATGGTGGAAAACATGATACATGTACCCTGGGATCTTGCGTTCTGCAAAGGTAGTAAAATCAAGGTTGGAGCGTGCACCGACCATGGATTGTCAAAGCAATCTTCAAACTAAAATTTTGAGATATTCCTGGCTCAGTAGGAATGGAAGAGAAACATTAACATTGCGTTGCAAACACTGGCTTGATATGTTTTCATCTTATTTCTCTATTCCTGACTCTCAATATGATAAACTGCTTTAAGTTTACAAAACTTCAGCTGCCAAATTCGGCCTCAAATGGGAAAGGAATTTACTGAAAATAAAACGGCACATTTAGCAAAATGCAGCATGCTGGATTTTGTGAGAAGTGAAACGAAACCCTCGAGTGTGACGATTTCATGGTACAGAATAAATGGAGAGTACGAACTTAATATAACGTTCTATTTAGCATGTAAAAGAGTTATTAGTACCCACTGGGAGCTGCTATAATGCTAGTGGCGGAATATACTTATCTTGGCAACCGTTCATGTTCATATGATATTATTTGACCTGAGATTTTTGACAAGATTTTTTTTCCAGTTACAATGTTGGGGGACGATTCTTGGTCACTAGCATGCCCCTGCTAGTTTGACCCATTCTCCGCGTGGCTTACTGTGCTGCAAAAAATTTTTAACGAATCTCTTCACTCTTTTTTTTGGTTTTGATCAAAATCGCCACTGATTAGATGTGTATCACAGAGGGTTTCCTCGTGCCCTAACAAACATACTGAAAGAAGGTTGAATATCGATTCTACATTTGGCCCGAAGCTAAATGAATTAGAACATAAAAGAAGAGGGAAAGAATTGAGATGACAAAATGGTGGAGAGATCTGCTGGAATCGCCTAATTATTTTCTGGCTTTACTGATCTACCAGCTTTAGAAGAGTTTTATTTGAATAAGAAGTGGAGTAGTCGAACTGTTCTTTTCAATATGATACCACTGTTCCTTTGAAATGCCCAGAAAAATTAATCACTTGGAAACTTCGTTTTGATATCTTAGAGAGATACGGTTTCTTTGCGAATCTACACTGAGTTTCTTTTATCTGCTATCTGAATTATATCTTTCTATGTATTCTACATTTCAATTCATAATAAACCTTTTATACAGCAGGATTAAAGGGGGCTTTTGCAAGTGTTTCATCCTCAGGCAATGCTGAGACTTCTTCAATTGGTACACCACAATTCCCAATACCACCTCAGTCAACACCCATGTAAGCACTTCTACTTTCTCCTGGGGTCCGTATCTTTAGGATTATAACTTTTCCTTTTTATGGTGTGGCTCCGTTGTATCCAAGAGAGATATGGACTCAAAAATGTCCTGAAATCTTTTTTTTTCGTGTTGCGAATAAACACTGTTGTTATTATTATTATTTTCAGAGGTTCACCATTGCTTTGGATTGGAGTTGGAGTTGGCTTGTCTGCACTTTTCTCATGGGTGAGGCTCTCAATTCTCACTTATTACCACTGCCCCCAAATTCTATTCATAGTTTCATGCGTTAAATTTTCATTGAGATTTCTTTGCTTACAGTCTGATTTGCTTTTTTTAGGTGACGGGTTATTTAAAGGTGAGTCTTCTCAATTTTCTTTGCCCTTATCGAGGTATGCTATCAGCTTGAGTTATCTTGTTTGTGATTATTGTTTGAATCAGTTAACCTGAATCTATAAAGATGTTGAATCAAATTTATGGTTTGATACATCACACGCTTCACAATGTATTTATTGATTAGTCTATTCAGTTGGAAATACGTATTTGTTTTTTTTCTGGCAATGCTTCGTATTTTGCAAGGGGAAGTTTGTTATATTGTTTAATATGGTTGGATGCTTGGTTGCAGCCGGTCCCCAAGCATTTTATACCTAGTAGAAATACAGAACATGTTTTTGGCATTTTTTTTTCTTTCACGATAATACAGTATGTTATGATGTGGTAACCAAGATATCGTCCGCCATCCTTGATATGTCGATAAGAGAGCAAGAAGCAAACAGAAAAGAGGAAACATTAATCTATCTCCACGTTGAATAAGGGGCATTTTTTGGATGAAGAATATTACGTAGGTTGCATGAAGGAATTAACCAATCAACTTTTCCTTTACCGTGTCCTGCTTGGCCATAACAGTTCGGATACTAAAGTGACGCATCAACTTACTAAAACATAGCAAAAAATATTTTCCAAGGAGGTTAGGAGTGTAAACTAAGCTCGATTTTTTTGGAGGTCCATGCTTGACCTAAATCAGACATCCTTTGATGTTTAAAATATCCTCAGATTTGGCATAAAGAGATCAATTATTTAATTGCGAGGAAAAAACCCAAAATCATTTTCTGCAAGAGGCTAAGTGCAAGCATCTCAAAAATACATTCACTGATCCTGACTAAAAAAGTGATCAACATCCAGCAGGAATACGTTGGGTCCTGCAAGCCATGAGTGAAACAATGTGTCAACGGTTTTCTATTCATCTCCCAACCGCAGCATTGAATTTTGGGATATATTAGAAGGGCTGAGCATAAGAACTTCGCTTGAAAGTTCAATATTGAATTGTTTGAACCATCTACATCCTCAGTTAAATTTCCTGATTTGATACAGGGATTTGTGGACAAACCAAAGGAAATTGAGGAAAATGAAGGAGGTTGAAAGTAGAAAGTAGAAAGGTTACTTGACTTTCTAAATGTTTCAATCAAGTAAAGACGAAAATTGTGCAAAATAGTTTGACATATGCAAACGGGTTGGATGAAACTTTAAGATGAAAGGAAAGTAGAGTGTTGAGTGATGTTGAATGGATGGAAAATTTAAGGAAAGAAAGAACTTGTCTTAGATGTGTAAAATGCTCCATTGTAAGCGAGGACACATTTCTAAAGTTGAAAGTTGAGACCCAGATCTGTCGGTTTCCTTTCCTGGGGCTATATTTCTTGATGTTAGTCTCAGTTTCTCTTGGGTATCAAACCTTGTGACTTTCTTGGGTTGAAGGCTCATTCTGTCTGACCTATGAGAGCCTGGCCATGAAAAGTGGCAGTTAGGTGGAGGAAAATGTATATGGATGTTAAAATGTAACATAAGTACCCGAAAAAATAGAATTGAAAATGAAGAATATAATAAGATTGTTCGTTGGTGTAGGTTTCATGAAAGAAATGGGAAGGAGAGAAACACCCATGGAGGAAAAGACGAAAGGACTTTCCCAGGTTGTATGAGGGAATTAATGTTCTTAGAAACATAAAGAGTCATGTGAAATGCTCATTTAGGGATATGTGACCGTCCTGCAGCTGTGACGCATTTCTAACAACAATTCAAGTCTTTGGTCTCTGTTTAAGTTTTAAAGAAGAGTTTTGGTTCCTCTTGTAAAGGAACATACATATAATGCATGCACTGGGGTCTGTCTTCGATGCAATTTATCAGGGCTCATATGGGGCGGACGGCAGAAAAAATGGGGTTGATATGGTTCGGCAGTAGATGGGATTCGGGGACGTTGACAGCACTGATGTGTAATGAGGCATGAAGAGTGGTGGCGAATGATGGATGTGGCAGAGGTAGAGGAATAATAAGAAATAGGGGAAAATAAGGATCAGGCAGACAGAAAATTAAGTCCTTGGGAAATTGGTAGGTTAGACATAGTGTAGCAAGTTTTAAAGGAGAGCAAGAGGATCCTCAGCACTACTCCGTGAGAGCTGTACGCCGGTATGGAACATCTGATACCTCTGTGGTTGTCACTCCTCACTGGTTGATAGCCCCTCACTCCTTTTTTTATAATCACGGTCATTTCTATGTGTTCTTGGATTGGGTTCTATAAAAGGTCATAGCCTAGTCGTTGATCCTCTTATTTCCTCATCACTACATGATTTAAAGTCTGGGAGTGAGAATACATGGTAACAATTTAAGTTTTGATGTCATTTTGATTAATTTGTTAAACATTAGGTTATATTTTTTCTCAGAGGTTTCTTTATGCCATCTCATGAAAGAGACTGGGACTGAGTTGATGTACCCGTACTTCACTTTTTGCTGTTAATCAGTGCTGGATATTTCAGTTGCTGTCATCACTTGTAATCCAGTGCTTCGTGTTCTTGTTTTATGTTCTCATGAAGTTTCCAGTGCTTCGTGTTCTTGTTTCCTACATCTGGAATGTCTTTTCCACTGATGTCACTTGTATCTTTATTTTAATTGAGAGATATGCCCAACTCTAGGACTACCATGAACAGGATGTATGATGGACAAGAATTCTGAGCCATGGAATATTACTGCACAAATACGAAATAGTCTTACTCATTCTGTCGAGTAATGTTGGATTTCATTTTCATGCCAAAGATGATATGAACTACGGATGGAATTCAGTTATAAGGTGGAATTCAGATGGAACTAAGACCGTACTATAAATAGAATATGCATGAAGCCAGCTTCTTTGAGCATCAATCGGATGGAAGTATTTTTTTACTGAACGGTTTTGTTGCAGTTGAGAGAAATCAGGACGACTTAATGGATGAGATTTCAATATAATAGTTGTTTACAATGACTCTGATGTCCATTGATTGCACTTGTGTGAACTCGCGCCCATTGATTGATATCATCTTGAGGAAGATGATGAGGGATAGTTGCTGTCGAAAATTTGCTTCTATTATTTCTTGCTCTTTTTTCTGGTCATGGAACTTTGTTTCTTGTTGTTCTAGGTTGCAACAACCATATCTTTATTTTCTTTTGGAGTGGATAGTGCCACGTTATCATTAAGTGATAACAAGAAAAGGGAACACTGTTTAGGAAACAACAATACTTGTTATTCACCAAATAGCTGTAGTTAGTAATTGCTTGATGTTTTGGTATCTAATGTCCTCTTTCTCATTGAACAGGATTCATTTACACATCCTTTTTTGGTTTTTTGACCTTCTAGAAAATATCATAGAACATGTATGAATACTTCTCATGATCATCCCGTGTATGTCGATCCTTTTCCTGCTAATCACATGCTATTTTTTAGTGGATTTGAGAAAAATGTCTGCAGACAATGGCCATCAGTAAGCTAGATGGTAGAGGGTTATTGCTTATTGTCTTCATCGCAAGTTTTCCCTCTCTGTACATGAGAAATTCATTTATGGTAGTTTCTTTTCTTTCCCTGATGTCCAGCAATATGCAATGAAACAAGCTATGAACACTTTGATGGGGCAAATGGCAGCAGGAAACAGAGAATCCAAAAATTCAGGGTTCTCTCCTGGTTCTCCTTATGCATTTCCTTCAGGTCCCTTTCCATCTCAAATGGCCACATCACCAGTGCGTGATGCGTCTCAACCTACTCCCGCAATTGATATCCCTTCTGCCAAAGTGGAAGCTACAACTGCGACTGCAGCCAGAAGTGACACAGACAAAGTGGATGAACCGAAGAGATATGGTACCTATTCCCTACAGAGCAAATGTTTTCAAGACATGTATAAAATACTCAATGAATTTGTTGCCGCTGAATTACTCTGCCTTTGCTTTCATTTTTCTTGGGTTTAGAACCAATCTCCACACTGTAAGCTTGAGCAGATATTTGGTGCTGCATGTACAACCAAGTGATGTCTTAAGTAATAGATGGCTTTTTGTAGGAAGGGAGGCAGAGAGAGGTCTCATATGCCAACTTCTCGGCTCAAAAAAGCGCATATCTTACTATGTTGTGCACATTTCCTGTGTCTGGTTTCTTGTTCTGGATTGTTTTCACTGATATCGTACTACTGCAGCATTTGTAGATGTTTCTCCTGAAGAAATTTCACACAAAGATTCCTCCACGGATTCAAATGCATCAGTAAAACCAGAGGTCGTTGACTCTGTAAGTGTGTCTATGATACCTTCAGGAAATTTGTTTGCTCCCCATGGATCTGTAACAATGACGATTTTCGATTATTATTTAAGGTTTCTTCAAATGGGAGTACTTTTAGGCCAGACCAAAGTTATTCCAAAGAGCAGTCCCAGTCTCGTAAGTAATAATTTCTTTATGATAATTTTTATTCAATTAATTTATCATGTTAAGACTTAGTATCCCACTTCTCTGATAGCCTTGGCCGTTCCTTTTTATGAAGAATTGCACCACGATTTACCGGGTATCGATAACAGAGCGTTCAAATTTAGTTACTCCAATAATCCAGAAACGCATTTCTTTAATGTACAAGGATGTCACCAATTCTATAATGACTCCTTATTTCTCTGATTTTAATTTCACGTTTGAAAGAAAAAATAAATCTTCCTACCACCTCTGCTGCACCTGGACCCTGAAAGAAAATAAGAGAACATTCTCTCATTTTACCCCTCATGTTATGTTATAAACTTTTGTGCCTTGTTTGATTGCATTTGCTGAATAAACATCTGGACTTTCAGGAACAGGGAAAACTTCACCCTTGCTTTCAGTTGATGCATTGGAGAAGATGATGGAAGATCCAACAGTGCAGAAGATGGTCTATCCGTGAGATAATTATCATCTATCAGTGTCATAAATTTTCATTTGCTAACGTCTTATCTTTCTGAACATGTTTTAACTTTTAGCCGTTTTCATGCCTATTTTCTTTGTGATAAAATGAACCGGATATGTGCCTCTGCGCGCGTTATGATTAATCTCCCTCGCAGTGGCTTATATTTTGCCGCTTCTCTTTATAAAAGAAACTTTATTTGAATTTTATTACTTTCTAGAAACTCCTTCGGCATTGAATATGACTATAAAATAATATTTATATTCTGCTGAATTTGTCCATCCTTACATTACATCATATTATTAAGTTGTACTCTGCGACTGTCTAGTTGATATTTGGTTGCCTGATTTATTATCGATATTTCTGACAATAGCTTTTAGGAGATATTAGGTCATTCCACTTGTGAAAATATTCGTGCGATTTCAGGAAATAACACTTCCTCTACATTTCATTTTAGTGATGTATAGAGATGTTCGTTATGCCATCTGCATCCTGTTGGTGGTCGTTTCTCATTTAGGAAAGTCTTTTGTTTATTACCCCATTAGAGGAAATGAAGTTTTGTTCTATCGAATGGCTCCAGGAATTTAGGTTGTCTTTTGAACTCTGTTTCCTTACCATCCGCGTTCCATAGCTCAACTGACTTGAATAAGGCTTACCGTGAGAATTCCTGGTTCTGTGATGGCTCGACTTGTTCAGCTGTCCTGAATCGCGTGGCTCCCCACTTCTGATTGGAATCAGGCCAATAATTGGTGCTAATTTTAATATTTGTAGCTATCCTAAAACCGCGGTAATGGGTATTCTTTTAGAGATTTTGTTGGATTCGTTGTCATCACGAAATTTCATATTGGGCAGTTTTCGTTGTTCAAGATTCCTTGGACTGTCCTATGATTTTCTTTTATTTTCTATTAATCTCACAATGTGGATGGTTATCAAATAAACTAGTTCATTGCTTTTTATGTTATTTTTCTATCTCCTTCTTTCTCTTTCCTATAAGTTGCTTGGATGTTTAATTAACAAAGGATCTGTCTTTTATTCTGAAATCACGCAGCTATTTACCCGAGGAGATGAGAAATCCCACTACTTTTAAGTGTAAGCTCTTTGCTTTTAGGAGTCGTCTTAGTCAATCTCTTTTTATTTAATGTGTCGTACATGATATTTTTTCTGCCGGTATGACAAGCTGCTTAATAATGTTGAATTCTTTTCAGGGATGTTACAGAATCCTGAATACCGTCAACAACTGCAAGACATGCTGTAAGTGTCACCCTGTAGACTCTTGAATATTAGTTTTGTGCTCCGGAATACAGGTCAATACCTTCTTGGTAGGCAATTGCTTGGCGGGTTAAGATAATTTAGTCTATTTGATATTTTATTGTGTCTGTGGTCTACCCCCTCTACTACAAAATTTTAAAAGACCAATTTAATAGACCTCATGAGTAAGCTGCCGTGCCATGCATTTTTTGCATGTATCTATGATCGAGTACATGCTTTAATTTCTAAAATTTCCAGGAACAACATGGGAGGCGGCGGTGGTGAATGGGACAATAGGATGATGGATTCCTTGAAAAACTTTGATCTGAGCAGTCCAGAAGTCAAGCAGCAATTCGGTGAGTCAACCTGCAAAGGATTATAGTAGTTTTGAGCAGGTTACATACCGCTTGAAGTACTGGATCTACGGTGTATGTAGTGGCACTTGATGTCTAATTCTTCCGACGCTTCAGTTGACCCTTTTGTTTCATTTATACTTGTTTGGGATATTGAAGATGATCACCACTCTCGTCCCATCAGACATCCATCAGCTGTTGTACAGAGCACAAATTCTTTTAGTTTTCAGCCTTGGACAGCGAAAAAGACACTAGAATTCCTCCGCCAAACAGAATGATGTGCAATTCCTCGGTGGATAAAAAAACATTATCATGGGTGATTTAATTTGGTCTCATTTTTTTTTAATCCCCACACTAATTTCTAGCATGCGACTGCTTTGTTCATTGAAGCTTTTGTTTCATATCCACCGAGATATATTTGTTGCCTTATTTTCTTTTAAAGAGGAAACACTTTCTACTCTCTCTCCGAGAACGAAACGCTTTTATTTCCACCACTCAACCAGAATTCTGCTCGATTGTTTAGCTTAGTGTAGTTTAGTTTAGTTCCTCTGTGTCGAGATGTGATCGGGCTTTGTGGGTTTCTTCGTCAGTCTGAGCTGAGCATGCCTAAGCTCAACTTGTCTGATACCATCTTTCAGCCCTTCTCGAAGGAAAAAAGCTTGAGTATTCATCATCGTTTCAACATCCAATTGCCATTTCATCATCACTCCCCGCTTCGCTCTGCTGATTTCTTTGTTTTGCCTGTGTTGCCCGGGATTACAGAGCAGATTGGGCTCACCCCAGAAGAAGTAATCTCGAAGATCATGGCAAATCCTGACGTGGCTTTGGCGTTTCAGAATCCAAGAGTCCAGGCTGCCATCATGGACGTATGTCAGAGACAAATTCTCTCATTGTTTATATCCCCCCCTTACTATTTTCTCCCATTCTCCTTATCATATTACTTGTAATTTTCCCTTTGCAGTGTTCCCAGAATCCCTTCAGCATCGCAAAGTATCAAAATGACAAGGAGGTGAGGATATCCATTCCCAAATCTCCTCTTTATTTACTTTTAATAGCATCTGTATGGCAAATGATCGTTCTAAAAGGGGGATGAACAGGGTTTCTCGGTTTTTTTTTTTTTTTTTTTTTTGGTGGGTCTGTAGCAAGATGTGCCCTTCATTGCGCTTAAACTTCCGTTTCAGGTCATGGACGTCCTCAACAAGATTTCCGAGCTCTTCCCCGGGGTGTCTGGTCCTCTCTGATCCTCCTCCACCCTGATTCCATTGAGCTTCCCGGGGGTGTCAAGTCAACGTGTGCCAGTTTTGGGTTCTTCAATGGCAGATGCGCCGTTGCATGGGGCTGAAGATCAGTAGCTTCTGGAGAGCCAACAGTTCTTGATATAAGTTGGCCATTGTCGTAGGCTCCTAGGGTGTCCATAACAGTTTTTTTTTTTCCCCTGTTTAGTAGTTTTTTTTTTTTAAGCGCCTCTGGTTCGGTAGAGTTTCTTTGGTAAGCTTAGTCGGTGGTCATGAATCTGATGAGCAGTCAAGTTCAAAGGGTTGACTTTGCGTTTGTCAGAACGGATATTCTCAATAAAACCAGGTCAAACCCTCCTGGATGGGAATAAGGAAAATGGGTTTTTCTTTTTTAATTGAGATTTGTGTCACCACTGTCACCATGTGTTCTACGTTAACGGGCCTATAAGATCCACACACGGCCCAGATATTTCAGTCCCAAAATTTACTTGAAAAAACACAACTGATTTTATATTGTGCATATGTAACGTTTAAGTTAATAGCTGCAGGAAAAGTAAAAAAAATGATGAGGATATTTTGGTAACATTCCTTGACAAAATCTCCTTCGATGTCCATACATTTGATGGGCTAAATGTAATGGGCTTCGTTTAGTGGGCCAGTGGGCAACCATCCAGCCGGCCCTTCGCAGGTCCGATGAAAAAATGGTGAGGTGGACCATATAACGGCAACGGCGCAGATAGGCCTACGTCATTCTGACGATTTTTTTATATTTATTTTTCTTTCCCCCTTAGGGGTGTCTCATAGGACTGGAAGCTTCAGAAACAGACTAGTTTATTTTTCTATATAATTAAATTTATTTTTTAAGTTCCAGAAAAAAAGGGCCGAAGTCAAGTTTACCAGAGATGCACTTCTTAATGGGCTTCCTATAATGGGCCAGTGAGCATCCATTTTCCCCGCCGTCGCACGTGCGAGGACGGAAAAAAAGAAAAGGTTAGGTGGTCCATACGACGGTTACGGCGCAGATGGGTGCAGGGCCCACGTCACGCTGGATTTTTATTATTATTTTATTTTAGTGTTTTTTTCTGTCACTCTTACGTGTGCTGAGGGCAAGCCGGCGCAGATGGGAGGTCCACGAGAGACCTCTGTAGAAGAAGTGGCAAAGGAGGGAGAAGAAGGCTCCAGGGAGTAGGCACGGGGGCCAGCCGGCTTCTATGGCTTGCTTGGGTTGCCTCTCCTTCGCCGCCGCCAAACCGGCGGCGGCGAACCCCTCTTCTACGCCGTCGTCCAGCAAGCCCGTCGTAGGCGGGCCCCGTTCGTCGTCCCTTTCTGCTGCCCCTTCGTCGTCGTCGTCCTCACTTGGGCTCACTCTTCGCCTCGATCGCGCTCCGAAATGCTGTTTCTCCTTCGGCTTCAGGAGGCGCGCTTCGCCCCAATCTCGGCCGGTTAGTATTAACTCTTTCCTGTCCTTGTCGAATGTCGGCGCTGGAGAGGTCTTTGGTTCCGAGATGGGCTGTGGATACGTTGGCTTTGATCGTCTGGGATGTTCATCGGGTGTGTGCTGGAATTTGGCCTGTATTCTTTCCTTTTTAGCCTGCGGTATGAACACGTGAAATTCTTTCGTATGTTGTATTTCTTATCTTTGAAACTTTGCGTTGTCAGATTGTCCTGGCAACAGCGAAGTCAGAGCCTCTGAAGATTATGATATCAGGTGCTCCTGCATCTGGAAAGGGTACACAGTGCGAGCTGATCAAGGATAAGGTAGGTCGTGAATTTACCCCTCTTGTGCTGGTTCTTGAGTTATATTGCCCTCTTTTAGATCTTTAGTATGATAATTCAGAAGGTAGAGAGTAGGAAGAATAACTTGGGAAATGGGTATGTGCTGGAGTACAATCATACAAAACGGTTGGAGATAAATCTTTCTCTGAAACCTTCAAACCGGTAAGTGAAAGAGGCAAACATGAGCGATATTTTATAGTTTACACCAAAGAAAATCTCAGTGGCTTCTCACACTCAGTGATGAATCTAAAATTCCCCATTTCTATGTGTCCTCGAAAAAAAGTTCCAGAGACTGGCTTATCCAAATCTCAAAATAATTCTACGCCGCCAAAGGTTTATATTTCGCCTATCGCCATTATTTCCTCTGATTAGCTACCTCCATCCATGATACGCTCTTGATAATCCTTGCTTAAAGCTTCTGCTCTCTAATTGTTCGGTGTGCTGAGGTCATTCCGGAAATCGTCAGCTAATCGTTGCTCTTGTGATAGACAGCCTTACCTTTATGTTTTCATATTTGAGCGCGCTTATCAAAAATAATCGAACGGCTGTCTAATGATAGCTGTCAGACAGCAAATTGAAACGGGCTACATTCTCATATGTTTTGAGCTGTTCTTAAGCCATCACTTTCTGTATTGGCGGGAGTCCAGGTTTCATGAAATCATCGAGTTTACAGCATTTTTCCCTCTCTTGGTTAAAAGTCAATGATATGGTTTTTGTTTTACACATTTTCTAAAAATAATAATTTTTGAAGAACTTGGATGAGTCAGTAAAGAACACTATGAAACTAAGCATGCCGAGGATGTGGCGTGTGATAGAGAGAAATTGATGGATAATAACGATGACAGGAGTGTCAGGACAATGACAATGATGGTAAGATATCAAAGTATAAGAATATTAATGATTTAGAATGGATTTAATCCTCACACACATTTGGCAAAAGTAAATGTTAAATATGAAGCTGAAATGACATAGGACGTCTCATCACATGAGAAGTTAGCTATGCACCAATGTTTTTTGCAGTCCGTTGTGGAGCAATGTAACTTTGAGAGATCTCGCTGACTCCGGATTTAACCCATCGTTCTGTACCTCCTTGTAAGAGTCATCACTCTTTGTCGTTCAAAAAGAAGGGTTTCATATTAGTAGTTTTCTGATCGTTCCAAATTATCAGAAGTGTCCTTAATACTTACTCTGTTGTTGCTATTTTAACGACTACTTGCTAGTTGCAAACTTGTAATTCCACATTTTGGGATCTCTCTAGCCTTCATAACTTATTTTTCGACCTTTCTTACTGATTATTGTTTTGTGCTCTGTTGACTATCATGTTTCACAATTTCTTTCCTTTTTCGCTTCATAAGGCCTTGTCCTGGGTCAACCTTTTCAACAGAAAACAGATTGAATGAAGTAGTCCTCTTTTATGTAGTATGGACTGGTGCATATTGCTGCTGGAGATTTACTACGAGCAGAAGTTGCAGCAGGGACTGAGAATGGGAAGCAAGCAAAATATTACATGGAAAAGGGGATGCTAGTCCCTGATGAAATCGTCGTAAATGTATGCACATGCCATGGATCCTGAGTGCCCTTTCACTAGATTGAGAAGCCACATCCGTCTCCTCTTGGAAAGTTTCTAATTTTCCATTAGTTTCTAGATGGTCAAAGAGCGTTTACTGCAACCGGATGCAGAAGAAAATGGCTGGCTTTTGGATGGATATCCAAGAAGCCTTTCTCAGGCAGCTGCTCTGGAAAATCTTGGCATCCACCCTGAACTTTTCATTCTTCTCGATGTAAGCATATGAAGCCTCCAATTCTCTGTGCTCATCATAGTAATCTCAGAATGATTATTTATTAATATATGAAGCATAATCTCATTACTGTGAACGTGCTTGATGTTTGAGCTTTCTATTCAAAATCAGCAGATATGTTCTCTCAATTAATTTATTTTCCGGCTGGTTCATGATCTGCTTCTGGTTCTGCTTTCCTTAAATGTCAGTTCTAGTCTTGAAGCCTTCTCTTTTGCCATCTCCTGATCAGGATTTCTTGTGATCACATATGCGAAGCGTCTACTTTTTTTTCTGCATGAAATACGCCATTTCTACTAGTGTTCCAAAAAAAAACCTTTAATTTGTATCTTCCCTCTTGTTAATAGTTGTAACCTTCTAGTTTATGCATTATTCATGCCACTTATAGGTAAACAAAGCAGTAACTAGCTTGCTGGGGCCTCTATTTCGCAGGTTGATGAGGATATCCTGGTGGAGAGAGTTGTGGGGAGGAGGCTCGACCCTGTCACCGGAAAAATCTACCACTTGAAGTATTCACCACCTGAAAATGAAGAAATCGCCGCCAGGCTTACTCAGCGCTTTGATGATACTGAAGAAAAGGTTTGCATCTTCAGATGGTTATTCATGCCATTTTCACCGTTGACTTCTGAAGCTTGTGGCAACATTCCATTTAATTCTTGAACTGTTCTACGTTGAAGTTGCCTCTCCTGATGGAAATTTCCTGTTTGCTTACTTTATTTGTTAAGGTAAAGCTGCGGTTGCAGACCCACCATCAGAATGTGGAAGCTGTGCTCGGAGTCTATGAGAACATCACCGTCAAGGTCGTTGAACTCCTATTGATGAGCCATGCGATTTTCTCCGTTGACTTCATGTTTTCTCCACTGGTCATCTCTGACAACAGAAAATTGTTCCCAAAAATAGGAAAAAAAATAAATAGCTGGAAAACTGATATGGCCATTCTTATCCATGCCATTTTCTCCGTTGACTTCATGTTTTCTCCATTCGCCATCCCTGACAACAGAAAATTGCTCACAAAAATAGGAAAAAAAACAAATAATTGGAAAACTGATCTGGCCATTCTTATCCATGCTATTTTCTCCGTTGACCTCATGTTTTCTCCATTCGTCATCTCTGACAACAGAATTTTTTTCCCTAAAATAGGAAAAAACAACAAATAATTGGAGACTGATATGGGCTTATTCATTGTGATCCAGATCAATGGAAATGCACCAAAGGGACAAGTATTCTCTGAGATCGACGCAGCACTGTCTGAGGTTCTTGACAAGAAATCCAAGGAAAGCTCATCATCGATGGCTGCCAGCGTGGCCCATTGAATCATCATCTCCTAATTATACACTCGCAATCAAGCGTTGACATTTTTTATCTCTGTTTCTTGATCTTGTGCATTTTCTTTTCTGTAAGTGCCATTTTGGTGGGTGGGCGCTGGGAATTTATTTAATGCGTCCTCAACTCATGCTGTGTAAATTTTCGGAAAAGAAAATTCCCTCATTTTGTGGAACATCCATGCAAAAAGATTTGTGCATCATCAGTGGCCACGAATGCTTTGAACGATGGCGGATTTTGAAATCCTGTTTTCTGCCCATCCGTTTGGGAATTCTGCGCTGGAAACAAGGAAATCCCCTTCATTTGTGAAGGCTCCTCCAGCAATGGGCCGGTCCGGTCTTGGGCCCGTTTTGGGCCGTAAAGATCCCCAAGGGCGGCATGCGGCAGTGTTTTCTCGCGTTTGTTCTTGAGGTTGGGGGATTTTGTTTCCCTGAAAATCCGCCGTTTGGAGAGGGTTGTAAGAGTGGTAGAAATCCACTGCTGAATTTCGTTTCCTGAAAATATTACCGTTTGGATTGTGGTAAAACAGAGGAAACTCATGGAATTGTGTCCGTGGAAAGCAAAATGGAAGATTCTAGGGTCAAAATAAATATAGTAAACATTTTATGACGTTTCTGTAATATACAAGGACTTTAATGAGTATATTTTTCCACTAGGGGGTAAATGAAAAAACTGTATGTCCCGGCATCTTCCTCGGGTGGAGTTCCTTCGTGGTGACGGAGAGCAGTCGTTCGCCATCGTGCTGTCCAAATATTCCAGAGCAGTTCTCCGAGAAGTCGCTCGTCTTCTGTCGGCGTTCCCATCTCGCGGGATTCAACTGTTTTGGGGGGTGTTGCTGCGGAAGGAAATACGATCGCTGTGCTCCAACTGCGGATCTCCTTGCAGTCTTGGTCGACGTCAGATTCGACCACCGCGCGTGGGAAACCCTAATCCTTGTGAATTTTGCTGCTGTGATCCGTCCCCTGGACACGTAGGGGCCAATTTGCGCGATTTTTCTGTGTTTTCCTCCTCTTTCCCGAGGGGGATGAGAAAAGTGAGAGTGCCAATCCGGTATTCGCTCTCAGATCTGTGTTAGTGGAGGGCGCTTCTTGTTTACTTTCTTGGTTATTTCTCTTTGCCCGCGCCTTTGATGGCGACGAGGAATCGGACTCCTCTGTACAGAAAATACAGGGATGCCCTCCGTAACGTGCGGGTTACATCTCCGTCCTCTCATCATCATGGCGGGGCCTCTTCCTCGGGCAGTGGAGGGGGGCCGGTGATCGAGCTCGTCAATGCATCTCTCTTGCATTCGAATCGTTCGTACACGCCCCTCAGTACAGAAGATCCCAGCAATTCAAGGTTTGTCCTGGTCACAAATTACCTTAATGTGTTTGCCCGGACTCTGATCCTGGTTTGCTCTTCAATTTTTTACAGCAAGTCCTAGTTCCTTGTCCATCTTGGTACCCTGCATCTGACCCGTGTCTTTAGCTCATCTGGATCTTTTTACGTTAAAATGCATTCTGAAGAAACCACATCACATATTAATCCCGTTAGTGGCATCGTCTCAGCTGATTAGAATGGACGTATTTTTTCGATATGTTTATCCTTTTCCTTTCCAGATATTTTTCAGGAACATTATATGTTTATTTCCCTTGGGGCAATACTGTCATTCGAATATTTAGCTGTCCACTGGATGTTAGGCTGGTGTGTGCATAGTCCAGTACTCAGCCTGCTTCTGCTCAAGTAGACAACACTTCTAAGAACAAAAGTACCGATTTTTGACAAAGGTTGGAACTCTAGCGCCAGGTTGTTACGATTAAAAACTATCGTATGCAAGTAAGAAATATTAGAAAGATAAACATAAACTCCCAATTTTTAGGATATACATTCACATCACCAATGTAGATGTAAGGCATATTCTCTTCTCCTGCTTGCTTATGTTTCAGCTCCCAGTTCATATCTCCAAAGTTTTTAGCTACAGTAAAACACTCTTGATGTCGACCAGTCACTCCCTAAACCTGTGTTACTGCTTTGCACCTTTAAAGCAGCCACCAACCACCCTGAAAATCGTCGCATAGAGGCATTCCTGTGAAGTCCTTCGGTATTATTACTAAAATCGTCATATCTGATAAAATATGGGGTCCATGGTTGAATTTGACTATGGAGAAGACTCATGGCTCCTTTTTGTAGCTAAATTTTCGTCTGTTTAAGCAGTGGCTCGTAGATTCTGCTTGTGCTATTTCTTGTTAGTCTATTACGGTTATGGTTGAAGAAGAACAACAGTGAATAGCTGCAAGATAATAGTAAATATGACGCATCCCTCATTTATCAATGTGGATGCTGAAGTTGACTTGTTCATTATGTTTGAATTTTCAAAACGGAACACGTGAAATTCACTTTTCTCCAAGTTCATTAAATTAAATATTGGACAGCCTTCCTACTTTTATTATTTTCATTCCTATCAGTTGTGCTTTCTTATAACACTGAATTATCTTTCCTTGAATCACAGTGCATTTTTGTTTGTAATGTCTAATTTCTCTTGCACCTTTTTTGTATAATATTTGAAATTACTCAGGCCCGTTGATGGATTTTGGTATTTTAGGGAGAAAAATAATTCTTTTTTTTGTATGTTCATACTTGATGAATAAGTTTTTAATTTTTTCTTGTGTACAGTAGCACATATGTATTTAATATTCAAAATAAAATTTGATGCAGAATTAAGTTTTCGGAGTGAAATATACCGACCTTTTCATGATTTGTTTCAAGATGTTGAAAGGCATGCTCCGCTGCCTGCCCTCTCAAATATATTGTCGTCATTCCTCATTTCTGAATGTTTTAACTGACTCTCCTAGTCTCCAACATTCTTCTCATTTCGAATAGCCCAATGTGCCACATGCAATAAGCCACCATGCTTTTCATCCATCCTTGAGTACGTTGATAATATTTCCCCATAAAGTTAGATAATTCAGTTTCTGGTCATTAAATTAATATCAAGAACTTTTCATGGCTTCTTTTTTTATAATGTGATGAAAACTTTTGTTAGGCGTTTTGTGTTTTATCTTGTTTTATTGAGTGAAATATATTTCTTGCAGCAACAGGGGCGCCGTTACAGTTGGTTTACCGCCAGCATGGGTTGACATATCTGAGGAAATTTCTGCAAATACTCAACGTATACGCTCGAAAATGTCAGAGTTATTTAAGGCTCATTCGCAGGCTTTAATGCCTTCTTTTGGTGATGGGAGAGAGCATCAACATGCTGTTGAGGTCCTAACACAGGAAATCACAGATTTGCTGAAAATATCAGAGAAGAGATTACAGAAACTCTCTGCTAGCGGTTCTTCTGAAGATTCAAATGTTAAAAAAAATGTTCAGGTAACAGAATTCTGTGCTTCTACATTGGAATGAAATCTCATGGGAGATACATAAACTTGAAACATTTAAAGTTCACATGCACACATTGTATTCATAAATTTTGGTCCTTGTTGCATGTGGCTGCTAAATTTTTCTTTCATAGAATTTATTGAGTACCAATTTCTGCTTCTTGGAGTCATACTGCCTGCAACAATCAATATCTTGTGAAGTTGTCATCCAATGTGCGGAAAAATGAACTGCATCTAAGGAAATTCTGCATAGAGAAATCCCACGTTAATCAACCACAGTTATCAAAAAATGCCAAATGGTCCCGTATTTGAATCTTCTGGGCTTATTTCTTCTTTTGGGCGTATTTGTGAAAAATTGTATGGAGGTTGTATGGGTTGATATTTAGACTGTCTTCTTTGATATCTGGACCATTGCGCATCATATTCCCTACCCTGTTTAGAGTTTAAGCACAAGTATATCCTCATGTCCCGGGGATTTCTGCCAAAAATATGATTGACATCATTGTTCGTGTGTGGTGTCTGGGGCTGCGTGATATCCGTGATACATTATTAGGATCTCCTATTGTGATGTGAGTTAACTCATTTATAGATTAAAAATCATACCAGAGAACTTGGAGTTTGAAGTGGGAAGTATTGGTTCTGCAGGATGCGCATCCCTTGTTGATAAATATATGATAATTCGTAACGGCTTTCATGTCTGAAAAGTCAGTGTCCTTGGTTCAGTTCAGCTGTAGTGTTCAGGGAGACAGTTTGTCCTCTATTAAGAGTGTTCTCCAAAGAGATTTTCTTTCATGTAGTTTGCTGATGTACAGTAGGCCTTCCGTTGTGTTCTTAATCACTTGGTTTGATTTAACTGGACACTTTTAAAGTTTTAGTTGCAGCGACTCATAAATCTCTCAAAAGTAGCCGTGTGTGAATATTCCCTTTGAGGTCATGAACACAGCCTGGCTGTTATGAAACTTCCCTCAAGTTGCGCAGAAGGATTGAAATTTTTTTGAAAAATTGTAGCCACTAGTTTGGGATAAAAAAAAAATCAACTTTTATGCTGGCATGTGGGGACCCAGATGTACGGGCGTATGCATCCCATCCCGTCTTCTTGTGTCTTGCCCCTAAAAATTTACCAATTGAACAATGGATTTAACAGATGACCATATCATCGCTCAACACAGGTGTCTGTTTTCCCCAACACCATAGGTGGCTACCGTGAAGAGAACTGAGATTTTCCTTTAGAGTCCGCCTTTTATATTATTGCCACCTTTATAAATGGTATAATGACTAGCCTTCTTGCGGAGATCTTGAATAGAATCTAGGTTTTAGCATTAATCATCACATATCCTTCAGGCTACTCTGCGGGGTGATCTTGTTTTCAGCCTGGCTGACGAAATTTTATAGATAGTATTTTCTTGTTGCTATATTTTTGGCAGAAATGCCTTGAGGAAAAGGTGCCATTTTTTTTTATCCATGGGTGTTCCATGAGCATTCGTCAGTATGGTGGTGGATTGACGACTTTTACTTGGTTCTCGACCAGCGTTCCCTTGCCACTGATCTTCAGAAACTCTCCATGGAGCTTCGGAAGAAGCAATCTGCATACCTGAAGCGCCTCCGACAACAGAAAGAGGTCGGCCAGTGTCCCCCTTTCCATATAAAGCGACCTCGCAACTCTCTTCTAATCTGCTTTTAACTGGTGATAACCTTTTCGTGTGGATCCAGGATGGCCTTGATTTGGAGATGAATCTGAATGGAAGCAGATCAGAGCAAGAATATGACGACTTCGATGACATAGTAGGCTATTTTTCTCAAATTAATGGATTTTAAGTGCCATCTTCTCCATTTAAATGGGCCATGACACATTCTCCTAGAATTTTATCTGCTCCCACTTTATGGAAACTGGTGGTTATTTGATATAAGTTGACATAAGCTGTACACCCCAGGGATTCAGCGACCAGAACGTCTCGAAACTGAAAAAGAGGGAGGCCTTCACAAGAGAGCGGGAGCGAGAGATCGAACAGGTGATGGATCCTTCATCTGGCCACACTTTCTGTTTCATCACCTGGTGATAGCTTCAACTTTTTTATATATATTTATTTATAAAAATACTTTGAATTGGACTCATCAGGTCGTTGAATCAGTGAACGATCTCGCCCAAATCATGAAAGATCTGTCAGTTCTTGTGATAGACCAGGTGACGTATCCCTCCCCGCCCTCCCCAATTGAGCAGTTCATACTGTTGGTGTTGCTCACTTCCTCCTGAGTCTTTACGTCTCTCTTGAGCAGGGAACCATCGTCGATCGGATCGACTACAACATCCAGAACGTTTCCTCTTCCGTTGAAGAGGGCTTCAAACAGCTGGAGAAGGTGATCTTCCGTTCTTGAATTCCCCCACCCGATTGTCGGTGATCATATTTAACCTCTCTCTCTCTCTCTCTCTCTCTCTCTCTTCATTCCAGGCGGAGAGGACTCAGAGAAAGGGGGGCATGGTGATGTGTGCCACCGTCCTTGTGATCCTCTGCTTCGTGATGCTGGTTCTTCTAATCCTCAAGACTATACTTTTTTAGGCATTAGTGGGGTTGATCAGAAGGGAATTGGCCGGAGAAGAAGCCATGGATGTAAGGAGGAGAGCAGGGGAATGATGGATGGGCTTCATATTCCCTCTTTTTGTTGTGCTGAAGTCCCTGTTATTTGTCTCTATTCATTACTCAACGCTGGAATCACAATAAAAAAGTAACCCTTCATTCTTTCAACGCCCACCCATGTTGTTATTGATCGTCATCACCAGCCACAACCACGGAAGAGAGAGAGAGAGAGAGAGAGAGAGAGAGAGAGAGAGAGAGAGAGAGGGAGGTGGGCTACGGTTTGGGGGAGAAGCGGTAAGATGCGTAGGAGAGGGACCCTAGAGAGATGCTGTCATGGATGAGTGTGGCCTGGGCGTCGGCGCCGGCGGCGCCGAGAGCGACGTGGAGTGGGAAGAAGTGCTCCGGCCAGGGGTGGGCGTGCTTGGCAAAAGGGGCCTTCTCCTCGAAGCGATTGACGTCTTCGTGCCGTCCTGCGACGAGCGCCTCCTCGAGCCACCTGGTGAAATCCAGCGCCCACTTGGCCGGCTGCTGCGTCTCGCCAAAGCGTAGCTCCCGCAGGTTGTGGGTGGCGCTACCGGAGCCGATGATCAGTACGCCCTCGTGCCGCAGCGGCGCGAGCGCCTGGCCGAGCTTATAGTGGTGGGCGCCGTCCCTGCTGGACTGCACCGAGAGCTGGCAGACGGGAATGTCCGCTTCAGGGTACATGAGCATCAGCGGCACCCACGCGCCGTGGTCGAGGCCGCGCCGCCGGTCCACCTCCGTGGCGCCGAAGCCGGCGCCCGCGAGCAGCTCGCACACCCTCCGCGCCAGCTCCGGCGCCCCCGGTGCCGGGTACTTCAGCTGCCCATCAGAAGAATTATGAGAAGGGGAGGAAGGGGGAGAAATGGCGGTTCTTGGAAGGCAAGTTAGAAGAGGGGGGAGAGGGGGAGGGGGGGAGAGAACCTGGTACATGGGCTTGGGGAAGCCGTAGAAGTCGTAGATGGTGTCGTTACGGTCGACGGCGTTGACGACGGGGGAGGAGGTGTCCCAGTGAGCGGAGACGACGAGGATGGCCTTGGGCGCCGTCTGCAACGTCTTCGCCCGCCATGACTGGAGGAAATGCCTCGCCGGCAGGCTCTCGTCGATCGACAGCGTCGGCGACCCGTGCGAGATGAAGAACGTGTCCATCGCCCCCTACTGATCCAACCCACCAACGACCCAGAAGAATAGAGAGAGAGAGAGAGAGACAGGCGATCGGGGGCTCCTTTTTGTAGGGAGAGAGAGGGGTAGATGATCGAATAGAGACAAAGAGTGGATGACCGGAATATGACGTATCTGATGACATCATCATGTTATTATAGAACTGCCGATATCAGCCGATAGTACGCCCATCACGGAGCTAATCTTCGCCGAGATGGTGTCCTGGTTAAGTCCGGGTAAGAGGCATCTAGAAGACCATCCCGTCTCATTGACTCTTCCTTCCAGGAATCCTTTCCGCCGACCGACAAAAAAGCTTCCATACCGCAGAACGACTTCCTGGAATGCATTCCAGAAGAGGCCCCGCCCCGCCCTTGATGGCATCATAATGACGTCATATGACGCCCCCTCAACGGTTCTTCCAGCTCCTCCCTCTTCTTCCTCTTCGTCTTCCACCTCCCAGAGGCGTAAGCCCTGAGCTTCCGCAGTATCCTCCGCTCCGCCACGCGCAGAACCAGAGAGTCGTGAAGCTTCCTATCCTTCACCCGGCGGCAACTCCCCAGCCTGGCCACGTCCTCTTCTAAAGACTCCGTCCCGTAGAGGCCCTCTCTGGCATCCGCAAGCCCTAGGAGCCCTCCGCAGACCTCCTCCGTCAGGAAGAACCCTCTCGGATCTGGATCGCTTCTCCACCGGCTCCTCCTCCTCCCCCCGCCGCCACAGCCGCCGCCGCCTGCCGTGTTCAAGATCACAACCTCCGCCGCCGCCTTGCCCCCGGCGTCCTCATCATCATCGTCATCGTCCTGCGCATCCCCGGCGTCTGTAGAGCAATCCGCGGCCTGGTTCAGCTTCTCGTACGCCTCCTCCGGCAAGAAGATGATGTACAGCAGGACGAGGAGCTCGAGCTGCGGCTCCCCCTCGGAGGAGATCTCGAAGTATTCGGAGTTCTGGCTCGCGCAGCCGGAGAAGCTCAGCCGTCTCCACAGCGACAGCCTCGCTCTGGTGTGGCGGCTCGAGAACGAACTCGAGCTCCACTGGAGGACCAGGCTCAGGTCGATGTTGACTATGTCGAAGGAGTTGTCAATCTCCGTGAAACCGTACCGGTGGAGCAGTGCGGCGTTCCCCATGGATCCGTACGTGTTGAACACCTGCGATCATGAGAAGAACTAATGATGAAATTTAATCTTCCTACGGCTGAAGAAGGGCCAATTTTTCTTTCTTCAGATTCCCATCCAATCCATTTGTTTATTTACTGTTCGTTCTCAGTTCCTAATTTTTCTTTAAGTAATCATACCTCATCTCCTGCTTCAACGCCTCTTACGATGACCATCTCCATTTTGCCATCATCATCTACATCATGATCGTCATGGTCCTCATCGTCGTCGTCGTCGTCGTCGTCGTGCTCATGGCCATGGTCATCCTCATCGTCGTCATCGTCGTCATCGACGTCATCGTCGTCATCGTCGTCATCGTCGTCATCGTCGTCATCGTCATCATCGGAGCTAGAGGAAGAGGATGGAGCGGTGAAATGCACATTCTCGAGGCCAGTCTTGTGATTGAAGCTGCAGAAAGTTCCAGCACCGAAATTAGTCAAGATCAAACAGGAAATCAATTGGATGAAACAGAGGATTCCTCAAGTTATATGCGTACAGATCTGCAAAGGGAACCATCCCATAACCGTGATAGGCATCGATTTCGAAGGATCGAGATGCGACGAGCGTCTTCGCCGAGAAGTATTGGTCAACGCCGAAGGCGCTCGGGTTCAGCCCCCAGTCTCCGGCTTCAATGAGCGGCTCGATGAACTCTTTCCAATCCTCATGGACGAGCTTCTTGTCTTCCTTCACAATCTGCCTAGAGAGAGGTACCAACAGGCGATGATGAGGCTCACATTGCAACACAGAGAGATCATAATCCACTAATTCAGAAGATGCGGACTGAGATCGTCATCATCAGCATCATTATCATCACCTTGTGAAGCTCTGTGCCGAAGAGAAGAGCGTCGATCTCTTCGCCGGACCAGACCAGCGGAGCACACTCCTTCTCGGGCAAGATCTGGAGGTATCCGTGCCAGGGAGAGGCGATCCCCAGCGAGCGCTCGTACATGACGGCCAAGGAGAGCCCCAAATGCCCCTCCAGGCCGGCTTTCGCGATCATCCGCCGTGCGCCAGAGTTCTTGATCGTGAGGCAGGCGCGCTTAGGGATGGTCGCCACCGCGTCCCCTTCCCGGAGATCGCGGAGGGCCCTAACGGAGATCCCCTCGTCTGGGGAGTCCACCAGCTCCAGGGCGTCGCTGTACTCAAATCCCTGTGCCCTCATCCACCGCTTGAATCCCCTCATTCGCCTGCCCAACAGAGCACCCAGTGAGAAAGAGAGAGAGAGAGATATAGGGAGAAAGTCGCCTTTCCTGCGTCGGCATCTCCTGCGGCGGTGAAACCGGCGAAAATGCGAGTAGAGAAGAGAGAGCGAGAGAGAGAGAGAGAGAGAGAGAGAGAGAGAGAGAGAGAGAGCCTGGTCATATCGGCTTCGACGGCGAGGGAGAGAGGGCCAGCGACTGGCGCCTCCTGCCTCTGCTTCCCGGCGGCGGCCTCCTCGTTTAGAGAGCGAGAGAGCGGGAGGCAGCACCGGGAGAGATTTTAGGGTAGAAAGAGAAACCCGGATGCGGAGTCCCTCTGTCGAATTATTTTCCGTTATGTCCTTTTTCAAATATGGAAGTATAAAAATATAACTTCTTAATGGGTTTTTAAGTATTTAGACGTTTCAAAGGGTTATATGTTTAAAGTTATCCTAGCTAGATTGAGGATAGTTTGACAAACTCGTTTGACGATAGGCTTGATTGAACATTTTTAGAAGTATGAGGTTGTAAAGAAAGTATTAAATTCTCCTTAAAGGGAAGCTTTGAAGACCAGAGGACACCTAGAATATTTTTCGGTTATATGGCGTAAGAAAATAACGAGCGGGCAATTCAAGACTTATATGATTGAGGGTGTTTTGGGGAATTCGTTTGACAATATTGATACTTTGATAAATTTTATAAAGTATCAGGTTCTAAGGAAATTATTAAATGTATATGGCGCCTAAGAAAAAAGCGATTTGCTATAAAAACTGGGCAATCCCCTCGGATTTCCCTCCAAAATCGAGCGGGGTTCCATCTTCATCTTGCTTCTCCATGGAGGACGATCCGCGGGAAGAACCCCGTGAGATGGCCGCGGAGCCAGAGGAGACGAGGCTCAGGGAGCCTCCGAAGATCAGGCGGCTGGACGAGTCGGTGGTAAACAAGATAGCTGCAGGGGAGGTGGTGCAGCGCCCGGCGTCAGCTGTGAAGGAGCTGGTGGAGAACAGCCTCGACGCTGGATCCACCTCCATATCCGTCGTCATCAAGGACGGTGGTCTCAAGCTCATACAGGTCTCCGACAATGGACATGGCATCAGAGTAAGTGTAACTTGGGATGAATTCCTTCCTCCGACAATACGTTGCGCAGAACGAGACTGTAAACTAAACTCGGTTCCTTTTTCCTGGTCATTGGACCGCAACGATCTTTTCCTTCAACTTTACGACGTATTATATCTAGGATCATGAAAAACTGGCCCAATGTGCTGCAGTTTTGTTTTTCCCATTCTATCTAAATACATTCGCCTCTTAATGATCTGATCAGTGCCTGGCTTAACGCATGCGTGAAATATGCACCATGAGATGCCTCTTGATAACCAGTGCATTCGTAATGGATCTTGCACATGGAAGGGATTAGAATTCAGCTTCTGTGCATTCGTTCGCGGAGATTATTGAGCTTTCTAGGTGGCTTTATTGTCTAAGTGTTGAGGTTTCTTTGATAGTAATCGTATGTAAGATAACCCTGGATGTTCTTCAACATAACCTATGTTTTTTCCACCAGAGAGGTCAGACAAGATGAAATAGGGGGAAAATGACCTAGAAGTTGCTGAAAACATGATTCATGAAAGCTAATTTATAATTCTTTGATGATCATACACAAACTATTTATCAGACGTGCTTATGTCTCTGTTCTTGCTGTCCTCTTCTTATTTTCCCAAACTAACACGAGCCAATAATTTATCTAAAATCCACATTCGTGATTAAGTGATCATACACAGTTGTGTCGGATGCATCGTTTCAAGGAACAGCCAACGCTGCAGTCTCTTTAAAATTTGGTTTTATCTGTATTGGATTCTTCAAACTTCTGAAGATATTTATCCAAATGTTCTAACAAGCTTGTAAGGAAGCTCTTAGGAAATGCTACAGATAGAGCCACTGCGACTTTTTTTCAAAGTAACAGCCTGTTGTTGTATTCATTTATCTAATATTTCTTTGGCCATTGGCTCAACAGTGGCTAGTACTAGGAGAATCAATGCAAAAATATAGATTAAGAAGATGAAAAAAAGAATTACTCAAGAGATTACGTTTTGAAACAAAACAATGAGAGAACTAATACCTCTCAGTGGAGATTGGTTTTTGACGTCGTGAAAAATGTAGTTATACATTCTTCTTTCTCATGTTATCAAAGACATAGCTTATTAATATGCTCCTACATTTCAAAGGCACGCCATCTCTTATTGTTGACCATCTCCCTTTCCCCCCACGAATCCGTATTCTCGTGGTGAAACAATTGTGATAGTACGAGGATTTGCCAATACTTTGTGAAAGGCACACCACATCAAAGCTATCTACTTATGAAGATCTTCAGACAATAAATTCCATGGGGTTCAGAGGAGAGGCCTTAGCCAGCATGTCCTATGTTGGTCATGTCAGTGTTACAACCATAACTGAAGGACAGCTACATGGGTATAGGTACACGCTTTTGGAAAAATTCTGACCCTGCTTCTGTTATACGTGACTATTTATCTGTACCAGTATTATTTATCTCTGACCTTCAAATCTTTTATCAGAGTTTCTTATAGAGATGGAGTGATGGAACAGGAACCTAAACCATGTGCTGCGGTTAAGGGAACCCAGATTTTGGTTAGATACATTTCATTTTGTCTCGATTCTTTTCATTATGCATTAAATATGTCATACAAGTTATAATTTTGCTTTTCTTGTTTTTCGTATCCTTTTTTCACGTTTCTCTTAATAGGTTGAGAACCTGTTTTACAACATGATTGCACGTAAGAAGACTTTACAGAACTCTAATGATGACTATTCAAAGATAGTAGACTTGATTAGTCGATTTGCTATACATCACACTCTTGTGAGCTTTTCTTGCAGAAAGGTTAATCACTCTCCCATTCAGTGTTGTTACCATTGTTAATGACCCAAATTTCTAAAATTGTCTTGGCCATGACGTTATAAACTTGGTTACCGCTTTGTATGGTACAGCATGGTGCAAATAGAGCAGATGTTCACACTGTTGCTTCCCGTTCAAAATTGGATGCGATACGATCTGTTTATGGTATTTCTACTGCTCGTAGTTTGATGGAGATAACTGCTCATGGTGATGATCCTGCTCGTTCTGTTTTCAAGATGGATGGTTTGATTTCAAATGCAAACTACACAGCTAAGAAGACCATAATGGTGCTATTCATCAATGGTACGTGGTTATTTAGATTACATGCGAAAAAAATAGAAAATTAGAATTAAGTGTTGGATTAAATTCTTGCTTATCGTCAGATGTGGATTGTGTATATATATATATTGTTTTTAGTTCAACCAACTGGATTTATTTTTTTTCGTTATGGTGAGTAAAAGAGGACTTCGTACAATGAAACGTTTTATCAATGATAAGCCTTTTATGGCATCAGTTTGGATTTGCCTAATGTTTAGTCATTATGCATAGCCGTTTGATTTTTTCTTTGAAACTCCGAAATGCCCGTCTAGTGTTACTACTAACGCTGTTAAAGTCGAATGGTTAAGTGATGAACTGACATACATGTGCCGTAAGTGATTTGATATTTTTCTTTTATATGTCAAATATGGTTTAAGAAGTGGCGGGGTTGTTCTTTTGCAAAGTTCCTCTAATTGGAATGATAAGATTTGTAAAGGGAAGGTTGCTTCAGGTCACCTTATATGTTTGTGGTTATTGTCCCTCTTACAGACTCAGAAACATCGAACAGCCTTAGGTGGTTCAAATCCTATCAGGTTTCCTCTGAACCATCCTAATGAGAGCCCTCGACAAGTTTATGAGAATTTCATAACTAAAAAAACTTCTCCAGGTTCAGCTGATCCAAGTGCAGCCTGTATGGAACAACATGTTTTTACCTCCGTGCTTCAAAGGGTTTTCTCGTATAGAATGACTCCACTTTGCTTTGGTCATTGTTCGAAATTCACATTTCATTTCCTCCTCAATTCTGATTATTTTTTCTTAGTACTGTACTGTTCTGCCAGCCTTCTAGTAGATACTGTTGGATTCATTTTTGCCAACTGTAGTTGCTTTCAGAAGCATATTCGGTGAACCCTTGGGTTTTCTTTTTTTCAAGATCTCTCAGAAAATGTTGTGGATGCTTGTTTCTATGTAACTGTTCCATTAAGAGTGTGTCATGACTTTTTTTTTCTTTTTATTTCAGATAGGTTGGTGGAGTGTACTTCTCTCAAGAGAGCCATAGAAGTTGTGTACTCCGCAACTCTACCCAAAGCATCAAAACCTTTCATTTATATGTCTATTAAGCTCCCATCTGAGCATATAGACGTAAATATTCACCCCACAAAAAGGGAGGTATTGTATGCTAAATACCTGTCTGCTAAACTAACCAGGAGCCTGATAATATTCTGAATATTATATTTGGAAGTCTGTATTTCCACAGCACATTCCTAATGCAGACGGCAAAATATTATAACGTTTAGCCCTTAAATATAACTGGTTATGTTTTGACACGTTTGTTTTCATATGCCTTGAGATTTGTATTTCATGTTGTTTTCCAGGTAAGCCTTTTGAATCAAGAATGTATTATTGAGACCATTCAGAATGCAGTGGAGAGCAAGCTGTTAAGTTCCAATACCATCAGGACATTTAACTCTCAGGTTCAAATTAACTCCACTACAAATGCGTAGTAGTAACTGAGATATGTTTGTCTGAACTCCGGATTATTTCCTAGTGCTTGTCGCTGCTCTGCTACCTCCCTTGTTTCTTCATCATTTATCTTAAAGATGCCCATTTTATGGACATTTTTGTATGAGGGGGGCAGCACATCTTTCCCAGGCTTCCAAAACCTATGTGGTGCATCATGTCTTACACTTGTGACAGTGTGACAGGATGGAAATGGAGCCATGACATCTACTAAAAGCATCTGCTGATGATCAAATATCAGGGCCGGGTTATTAAAGATCGCCATGCTGATTTACGGCAGAATCAAATTCAGGGAAGATGAGAGCAGCCTTCTTGAGGAATCCTGCTGATGTGGGTGGGAGATGGGGGACCAGTGTTAGCTATGGGACTCACGGTGAATGGAGCTCGTGGTATTCTTTCTACTTGCCCCGTGAGGGCTTCCAATTGGCTCAAGAAACAGTGGTCTTGCTGTCTTTGCCGCCTGGTTATTGTCAAGCAGACACCACATTTGCATCACCATTTCTGATAATAGATTTTGGAGCCAATATAACTTTAGTTTATTGACTCTATGTACATTGTGAATAAGAATATAGGGTAATACACCGATTACAGGGCAGACAGACCTAGTTTGCTTATTTTGGAGGTTAATATATCAAATACTGTAGATAGTCTGGTATGTACACAAAAACCCCATATTACAGTGACTATGCGAATGGAGCAAACATCCAATCTAGAGTGCATTGTACGTATGTTTCTTGGGGCTTGATCGTTGTATGCAAGCATATGTTTCTTAGCTTGTGCATGTCTGCATTTCCGAAAACATCTTTCTGCTGCTGAACTTGCTCTGAAATGCTCTGGTTCGGTACTGAAATATCCGAGTTCAAGCAGAATTATTGTCACCCTACACCCAACAAAAAAGATTAACTAAATTCAGGCATACTGCTGAATGAGAGGAGATCTCAGAAAGAGGTTGAAGATGAGGAACATTGAGGCTACCTGACGTTTTTAGTCGATCTGAATCCCATCTCCTTCACTTTAAAAACAAGGCCTGGATGAAATCATGTTTATCCGCCTGAACCAATATGGATCAGGTGATTCTGAACTAATTCCGCTGAGTATTCTCTCAACCTCCTTAATTCCTATTATTATAATCCACATTAATATATGGCTTTGTGGTCTCCTGACATCCATTCAGTATATGGATTACACAACCAAACTGCAGCGCATGTGCTTGGTTGTTATTGGGTACCCTTAGCTTTTATTCCAAGTCTAAATGCAGCTATTTAATCATATCCGTTCTTAGTTTTATTCTGATATTTTAAACCTCAATGGCATCCTATGATCTGAAAGTAGTTAGTTTTCATCACCCAGATACGGAATAGTTTCAATGTACGTTTGCTGATGTGTTTGACTGAGTTGTTTATCCTGGCTTTAGTCATTTTTCTGGGTGCACTCATTATACATTACACATCCTTGATTCACATTCTTTTAACAATCTAAGGATTTATCTTTTCTTGCAACAATTTAGTCACGAATTCTGGTCTATTTTACAGGCAATCAATTCGTCTACTAGTTTTAGTGGAAACAAGGATGTACAACTCAAGTCATTCTCTGGTATATTCCTGCCAAAGTAGTCAGGTTATTACTTGCGTTTTGAGCCTTCATTTCCATTTTCAATGCTTATAAAGTCCATTTGATGATGTAGGAACAAAATCTTCCAAAACTCCTGTCCATAAAATAGTGAGGACCGATTCACGGGATCCTGTTGGGAGATTGCATGCTTATTTCCAAGATAAGGATGCATCACAAAATGAAAAGAGACCTGACTTGTGTGCTGTAAGGTATCTTAAAATTATTATATCTGTCCAAGATTATCAAAATGACAATTTTCTGGAGACAAATAGATGTTTACTGAGTAACATATCGCTAAAATGCTCTGGTTTGTCTATACTCTAATCTACATCTTCTTGCTGTAATGTCCTTTATGATTGTAGAATTTTCTTCTTCACTCTTCCTCACGGTATATTCACTGTAACTGTGATTTGGGATTCCACTGATCTTGTCCTGGATACAGGGGTTACCATTTTTAAATGTCCATATTCCACTGTAGCTCTTACGGTTATGTAAAAGGCTCCTCAGGTCTTATATTCTGATCTTGCATTTAAATTGGGCAGTACAGTGATGCATTTTTTGGTTGATATTTATTCACATTATCCTCCAAAAGAAACGCATAGCTGGTTTTATGTTGACGAATGCTTGAGTGCACAAAATGCAAGGGATGATTGCATATGCTACAGAAAAGGGAAAAAATTAAATGGCATATAGATATGGGGAGTAGTACAATGTAACACCCTTGGTTGCACTTTAAAGAGATGTAATTTATCTCCCATGTCAGAAATATGGCAGTTAGTATATGAACTCCCTCTTCGTGCGCTATGTTTCAGTTTCTCTTTGGTCGTGCCATTTTTTTGGGACTTCATGGTAGACTAAGTTACTCTTTGCTTATTTTTTCGGGCAACAATTACAGGAGTGCTATAAGACTGAGAAGGAACCCCAAAGAGACAGCAGACCTTAGTAGCATCCAGGAACTTCTCAGTGACATTGACTCAGATGTTCATTCAGGTGGTTCGGGATACTTTTTTAAAGACACTGCATAGAAATATAAACTTATGCATAATTATTTCCAATCATGCCAGAAAATTACCCTTAAAACTGAATCATGTGTACTGTCGTGATGTTGTGCTGATATGTTTGCCTGTTTGTCATGATAGGTTTACTGGAAATTGTGAGAGATTGCACATATGTTGGGATGGCAGACGATATTTTTGCATTGCTTCAACATGAAACCCGCCTATATCTTCTCAATGTTGTGAACGTGAGGTGCTTAGTTTTGCTTGTTTTTTCTGCATTTCTCTTGGAATTGTATGCGTATCTAGAAATTGAGATGATCATTTCAAGATTTATGCGTCCTCCTCTTATTTCTCGTAATTTTATTTCCTATTATTCCTTTATTTACTTGTTGCCTTCCATATCTTCCACCTTCGAGAGGGGCAAGAATGCTAAATCGGCCTGTGAGGTTAAACTTCCTTATAAACATCTAGTGGTATGAAATATTTAAATTACTTGAATCCTTCCTGGTTTTAAGACCAAACTCTGTACAGTGTTTTTTGAATATCATTCCAGTAAACAATCTCAGAAATCGCTCATCATGAATTCCATGAAAATACATTTAGAATGTTGTGCACTCGAGTTTTTTAGAATGTCACAGGGTTTGCTAAATTAAAGTTCGCGACGTAAGATCTTACAGAATGATTTGACTGTAAGATACAATTGAAAAGCTCTAATGTGATATCAGGAATTTTGAAGGGTGATGAAGAATAGAAGATTTGCACTCTTTGATCCTTTAAATAGGGGCTGTCTGCAGACAAGAACACTCCAGATGGTGGGAGATTTAACGTCTCATCAAGCCAACACCCACAACATCTATTTACATGCAAATACCTACCTTATCATTAGTCAGCATCCTTATAATTCTGTGCCCAATAAAAAAAATTAAAAAAATCGTAGGAAAAGATCTAAACACAGTGGTGACTTAACGGAAAACTATTCCTTAATGAATAAATTCCAGATCGATGTTATTGGGGCCAGGTATCCAATAACCTCACTCTGGACACCAACCTCCTTCAACACGACAGGAGTAACTTTCTTGTTTGATTGAAGATAAGCAGTTATGTACAATGTTATGCGAAAGTGACAAAAGCTAGCTTCTTTGATAACATTTCTTTCGACGGATAAGCTTGATTCTTCAAATGTGAGATAATAATCATGTTCTGACTTGTCCCATTCTAAGAAAACTATGCTTGGGTATTGTGTAGCTTTTTCAATGATTCGATGGAAACTTTTTTTTGTTGGCAGCAGAGAACATAAAATAACTGGATTGAATTTTTTCCTCTTACCAGCAAGGAACTTATGTACCAGCAAGTAATACGAAGATTTTCCCATTTCAATGTCATACAGCTCAGTGATCCAGCTCCACTTCCAGATCTATTACGTATGGCACTAAAAGAGGTAGATGTTGATCCTGGAGATGATGAGAATCGTGAAACTATGGAAAAGATTGCTGAGGTAAAAGATTACCCTAATTCCATTTTCGATTGCTGAAAGTTATTGGGTTAAGTTATTCAAAGAAAGTTATGCATTACTGCGGCGTATTGTGTCAATTTTAGTTATCTATGGGTATGTTTTTTTGGATAGCAGTCAACATAATTCCAATGTCTTGGATTTGGGTTATTCATTATTTATTTCAATTAAAATATTAATAATAGCTTGATATTATTATTTAAGAATCCATCAAAATCTTCAGTAGGTGTGTTTATTTTAGAATTCTACTTCACCGAATAGGCTGAACCATATAGCTGCTTGATCAGTTCGGTCATCGCAAATTCATTGGGAAAAAAACCTCTAATGAATTTATCTAAACCGAGGGAACGTGGGATTTGTCCTGTCAATACTAGAAATGTGATTTTGATGTTCTGTTCAGTTATCAATAAGTAATTCACGAAAAGTACGGTGGCTTATCCTTCGTGCAACTCTTTGGACCATTTAAAATGAGCAGAACACCATTTACACATCTGAACACCCATTTCTATTTTTTTTAGCTAGGGTGGGAGATTAGGAAAGAGTGTTTCAGAATTAGGAGTCATTTTTCGTATCTTTGGGAAAGAGGGTAGACTTGGTGTCTGTTACATATTTTATGGCCCTGTGTATTTTTTATGCTTTATGAATTTGTGGTACTATTCACTTTCAAATAAAGAACGGTGTGTATACTCCTTGTTCTTTGGAATTATGTTTTATCTAACTATCTATGAATATTCCGGTAAATATTTATGCACTAATAATTATTTTTTTCTCACATCCATGGTTTACGTGCCATTTATAGACGATGCATTGTGTTTTCGTGCTTGGCAGTGTGAGAAATAAGTAGCGAATTCCATTGCACCATGTTTGGATTTGATTTGGGAAATGATCAAGGAACTTTCTACATTTAGCCCACCCTTGATAGTCTGTCATTCACAAATGCAAGAGGTATTATATTGATATCATGCTGGTACTCTGATAGCTTATCATTATCATGTTATTATCGTGCCACTTTAAAATACGAGAGTTACTATAATGCGTCAATTAGTGATATTATAGTGCATCAGAAATTAGTAGTTTTTTTCGTTGTTGTTACTTTATTGCTAATATTCTTTAATGTATTTGTTGAGCAAAACATGACTTTATCGTTATGTGAGGTAGATCTGTTTGTCATTTATTCTGTGGCAGGGATGGTAAGCATTGCTTCTCTATCATTAATGGATAGGATTCGTTACATTTTCTGCAAATGGTAGCCACAGATGTAAAACTGTCTCATTCAACGTTATGTATTTTAGATGAATACTGAGTTGCTCAAGCAAAAGAGCGAAATGCTACAGGAGTATTTCTGCATTCACATCGATCAGCAGGGGAACTTGTTGAAGCTGCCTGTTGTCCTCGATCAGTACACGCCTGACATGGACCGCGTTCCTGAATTTTTGCTTTGCCTGGGAAACGATGTACGCTTGATACTCCTCATTTTCCCTGCTTTTTTATCTGCTAACTCATAGATGATAGCACAGACAATCACTATGTATGGATATCCCAGTAAAAAAAGTCAAAAGTCATCAAACATGTCCTTGAGCAGAACGCCTTCGGGGTGTTTATATAGGATAAGAGTTGAAATTTAAGCTCCACTAATAAGATCATTGAACTGCAAGCTCACGCCATGTTTTGATGTGTGCTGGATCGAGAGCTTTTATGGGCTGGTTTGTACATCATTATATGTACTCTATTTTTCGTGTGATGTTTTGACATTTGTAGGTTGAATGGGATGAAGAGAAAAATTGTTTCCAAACAATTGCTGCTGCTCTTGGCAACTTCTATGCAATGCATCCTCCTCTTCTTCCAAACCCATCAGGCGATGGGTTTCATTTCTACAAGAAGGATAAACAGGACGACAGTAGCAATCAAGATGAAAAGCACGGTCAAAGTAATGCAGGTATAGAACTCCCAGTGAATAATCTTTTCCAAAGATTCTTGCATCTGATTCCTCCCTGATTGTATTAGACCCATGTAGCAATTTTTTACGAACAAAAGTCTATGCTTCAGTGGGTATGAAGAAGTACAAAGAATGTGTGATCCACTAACGAATCTGTTCAGCATTTCCTTCTTTTTTCATTTTGTTCTGGTTTCTTGTCCAGGATCAAAGTTTTAACAACTTTCCGATTGTCTTCTTTTTACCTTTTACTTGATGTAGAAGGTGGACCATAACTAGTTGTGTTCATCAATTTTAAATTCATCTTTCAGACTGCCGGCAGTTGATCTTTGTCAACGTTTTTGCTTATGTTTTTACTGTCAAGCAGAGGTCAAAGACGGTGAAGAAGATAATGTGGACCACCAATTACTTGCAGAAGCAGATACAGCATGGGCTCAGCGAGAGTGGGCAATTCAGCATGTACTGTTTCCTTCCATGAGACTGTTTCTTAAGCCACCCAAGTCCATGGCAACTGACGGGACATTCGTTCAGGTTTTTCTTTTTCCTTTCTTCCCCAAAATATAAGCCATTTTCTGTGCGCATGAAGTGCGACTCATGCTAACTTAAACATATAGGCATGTGAATACAATATATATATATATATATGTATATATACGGCTGTATATGTTGCTTCCTGAATGATAAAATTTTACCTACTTGTGGCTCTGTCAGACTGGTACCTATAGTTTATAGGATCATATTTTTTATCCCCCTGAATCAATCAGCACGAACGCCTTGCGGCTCCATGGCTCTTTATTCTTGAGTTTTATTATATTGAACTGTGCTCGAACTGAAATGGGAAACTTAAGATAAATTTTAGTCACCTTGTCTCTGTCGCTCTGGGGCCTATAGTTTCTATAGTTGCAGTTTTATAACATTATACTATGTTTGAACTGGAATGGGGAAATTTAATAATTCCAATGAATATTGCATAAAAATAGCATCCTTATGAATTACGTTCAATTTTCTTTTATTCATGTTCCATTTATCATTTGGTGCATTATATGGATGGTTCTAGAAGCTGATGGGCCTCCTTTGTTGTTCTGACTTTTGATAGGTTGCCTCCTTGGAGAAGCTCTACAAAATCTTTGAAAGGTGTTAGCCTCAAGGCCCCGAGCTTTCTCAGAAGCCATGATCAGAAGTCTCCATCTCTGAGATAATCCAGACTGGCTAATGTAATCAATCTTTCAGATAAGACTGCAACTTACTTCAAGCTTTCCTTATTTGGTGAAAAATAGTTCAAACTTTGTTGTCTTGTGATAAATGCAGGGGGGGTTGAATTTTTGAAGCCTCTCTCTCCTTGACATGGGAGAGTTGAAGAGCTCAACGGCATTGCTGATAAGCTGATGACGGTGGTGTTCTGAGGACAATATCATCTATAACGGTTGATTCAGCTTAAACTTGAACCCCTTCTTAAAAGAGCTTCTGGTTTTCTTGCACATACACCCTTCCTAAAGCCATTTTGTAAAAAAAGAAATTTTGTTAATATTTGCGTGTGCACGTTATGGGGCATGTAGTGGTTGCAATCCTCATGCTCGTTCTACTGCACACAAAGATCTTTGAGATTTTTTACTAATGTAGATGTTGGATGATCTTCGAATACCCTTTTGTTTATAAATGTTTAGTTAAGTACGGAAAGCTTTACTTATCAAAGTATAGGTTTGTTTGTTTATCTTCATTAATTAGGAATATACTTAACTCTAGGCCATAAGATGAATTTGGTAGTCACTCTCCTTCCTACAAATCATACGAGAATATTTCTGGATAACCACAGAATTTTTGGGCTCCACAAGAACCCTGGAACAGGTAGGGACATTCACAAGGCCATACTCTCCTTAGATTACTCTTAAAGTTTTCTCTTCCTTCTTCCCTCCAAGGGAAACTTTAATGTTTACTCATGACACTTTGATATGTATTATCAAGGAGTTAGACCACCTTAGTCTGCCCCATCTAATTGTGGGTAATATGTTATATTATGTTTTAATTTAATCTCTAATCACAAGTAAATCTTAACTTATGATAATGAAGACTTATTAGGAACCCTAAATGAAGTTCATAAACAAATAGTCGTATACATGTTGGAGCATTTAGATTGGTTAGATGAAACTTGTTACTAATAGGGCTTTATACTTATTTTTTTGACAAACACACAACATACCACAAAGTTCTTAATTGTCTTCTTCTATTAGCCCATAATACATCTTGTGCCAATTATTTATAGGTATGTAGGATCCCCAAGAAACCCCTTAGCACGGACTCATGATAAGTCTTTAGAAGTGAATTAATGTTGTGTGATCCTTTTGGTATCACAAGTCATTAATGATACAAAAGAAGTTCCCAATGTATGATGTATTTTGGTCATTTGTCAAGTCTTTTTTCTCTGATCTTATGGGGGAAATCGTGATAAGGCATATATTGTCTTGTTGTTTGTGTTTAACTTGAGTTGGATTTTGAATCATATTTGAGTAGTTTAATCAGCCACATTTGTTACTTGAAGTGATGTGTTGTTATTTTAATAAGAACTTCAAGCTCTACTAGTTTGTGTGAATGACAAAATACTACCTCAATAAATATTGTTTTCATCGTATAACTATTAAAACAATCACCATCAGCTCATGTCCAATTGGTGTCTCCCTTAGAGTGTTTTGACAAAAATATGCAAGTGGTCGTCATTTTTGGAAGGTATACTTATTATGATGTATCTACCTCCACAATGAAGACTTGTGAAAAATCCAACAAGATTAAATTTGGAACAATCGTTAGGATAAGTTTGTATTTACTAAAATCATGATCAACATTTGCTCCCTATAGACAGACAAGTATTTTTTTTGAGCTGCTAGATTAGTGGATATGTCAAAGCTTCATCATTATTGACGAACCTTTGATAATACCTATTAGTGTCATAAAACCCCTTAATGTTGGTAAGGGTGGGCTAATTGATCACAATGGCAACTTTGGCTTGGTCAACCTTGACGCCTATCTTGGACACTTGGTGTCTTAATTATTCAATGTGGTTCTATTAGAACACACTTGTTGATGTTGAGGTTTAATTAGTGTTGTAGAGAATGGTGAGTACTTGAAGCAAGTGTGCCTCATGTGTAATGGAGTCATTGTTATAAGGTAAGATGTCATTAAACAACACAAGTATAAATTCCTGATTAATTTTTTTGAAAATAGGGTTTATCAAGCATTAGAAGGATTCCAACACATATGAAAGAACAAACAAAATCACTTTGACTTCATAGTGTTCTTTGTGTATTTTGAACACTAATTTGGGGGTGTTAGATTCCTTATATTTTGATTTGGTGATAGTTGAACTTAGGGTCTAATTTAGAAAATATAATTACTTCATATAGCTCATCAAATAACTCTTCCACCACTACTATGAAAAATTGATTTAGAATATGATTTAGTTTATTACGTGGTAGTCCTTTACATAATATTTAGTTGTCATCTTTTTTCTTGACCAATAGTACTAGGTTGACAAAGGGTTATTCAATGATTAAATTATCATAACTGCACACATCTTTTGACTTCAACACTCAATTTCATATTTTTGAGAACAAGAGCACATGTAGGGTCAATTGTGAACTAGAGTAGCTCATGGTATTAAGTGATCTTGTGGTCAATTGACTTAGCTATTGGAAAACTTATGCCTAATGAAAGTAACTTTAAAAACTCTTTGAATTTTTGTACGAGTTCATCTCCTTTTTGGTATTGACTTACTATAAGCGAAATGATCCAATAATTGTCAATTGAAATGTGCTGAAATTATACCCAAAACCCTTCATTATGCAATAGTTATCTAGTCAAACACTTCAATAAAATAATAGATCTACCTAATTTAGGGTTGCCTTTTATGATGACTAGAGTGTCCTTGTTGTTGAACTTTATGATTGAATTGTTTCGTTAGTGCATTTCAAGTATTATCTTGTGAGTTCCTAAGTTGAGTGGTAGGAAGTTAGCTCGTATTTGAAAACCTACTAAATCTAACAACACTTCCAAATGCCCTAGTTCTTCACTAAAGTGCTTGTGCCCAAGACCACACCATAACTTGTCGTGGGTATTAATAATAGGTGTAGGTTGTCCATTAATTCTAAGGAAACTAAGTTGTGAGTGGTTCTGCAATTCACCAAAATGTTTATACCTACTTCATCAAACTTGTCTCAAAACTTCAACATTCTCAAGTCGGTTACACCTACTAGAGATTTTAGGACAGTTCAATATTATCTAATAACTTAGCCCATATTTACTTCAATGACTTTTAGATTGACTTCACCACCTACTCCTGTTATGAATAATTCACTCTTTGGGTTATCATCATGGATTATAAGTATCTACAGCTCCCTTCAGAAAATGTGACTTCATGTGAATTTTTCATTGCAAACATAACATAACTTTTTTATATTTTTTGGTTTGAAATTTTGTATTTATAAGATTTATACATCTCTTTGTCTCTTCTCATTTATATGGGGAAATTCTAGAGTTTGGCACTTGTTGAGCCTAGCTCTAACGATCTATCAACATTTCTAAGTTTCTTTTATATTTGCCCATTCCTCTTTTACCACAATTAAGGTTATTTATTAGTGGTTTGAGCATTTTGATTGCTATGTAGACATTTGAGTTGGCTACCAAATAGTTTCTTTGGATGACCACATGGCTTCATTTCTTTCTTTGACCAGTTGTGTCATTTGCATAAGTTTCTTTTAAACCCTTCAATTTATGCAGCTTCACCTCTAAGTAGATTTCATGAAAAAAGTGTCCTCTACTACTTCCTTTGGTAATTTCACCATGGACAAAGACATAAGCCCAAAGTACTTTCAATATTCTAAGATAGAACCAAATTGTTTAATGTCCAAGGATTGCTCACACAAATTCTTTAGCTATCAAGCTGTGTGAAGTGTTCCAATAGCTATTGCTTGAGCTTTTGCTGGCAAGTGAATGATTGCCTAACATGGTTCCATTAACAAAAATGATGGGCATCTTCTTCAAAATCTATTCATGTTGTCCTCACTTGTTCTTTCAACATAGGGTGTATGACAAAAATTAACTTTTCTCGGTATGACTAGCCTATGGTGTTATTTATGTTAAATAGAGGAAGATCAAACCATATGTTTCTTTCCATGAATCAGGTGACCTTGAAAATACTTCAACATTGGGATGTTCTGCCATTGACAATGTGTGGTCATCACCTTTATGCCAGTTTGCTATGGTGCCATCTTGCTATATGTGTTCTCCTAACCCTCAATTTGTCAAAGCTTCTTTGTGACTAATTTTCTCAACCTCTAGCTATTTCCATGCTGTTTGTTGAAGGTTTGTTGTGACTTGGATTAGTCATGCCAACATCTGGTGTACAATGTCTATCTTTGCTTTCATCTTTACCTTCATTTCACTCAAGCCATTCTTCACCTCTAAGGCATACTTCTCCCACACCTCCATGTGGATTTCTATGGCTATATTGATTGATAGGCCTCACCTCCTTCCTAGAAATTAGATAATAGTCGATATGCAAATATGAACAAAGATAGAATGGATGATCAGATAATGTCTGAGCTTCACAAAAAAACCTAGAATAAGTGGAGACGTCTGAGAGCCCCCACTCTCCTTAGACTCATCTCGTAATTCGATCCCTCCCTTCTCCCCGAATGAGAAAACCTTAATGTTTACTCATGGCATAGCCATTGACCCTTTTCTCCCCTCCCAAGTTAACCCTCTAGCACAAGTGTAGATTTGTTTCCGAATTGAAGTAAGCTGGGCATTAGGCCCATTTTCTTGCGTCTTGGATATTAAAGGCCCATTGTGGGCCCAATATTTTTTTTTGTGGAATACGTTGTGGTAATTTCTTAATTGGTAATTAAGAAGGAATTTGTTGAAGGGCCTTATTGGGTATATCTCTAATTAGAACCCCTCACGCATCACACTCTTCTCTTCACTCTCTAGAGATTGTTCTGATCTCCCCCTTTTTTCCTCTTCTACTTTTGCTATTAGGTAATTTGTGGGGGATTATAATATAAAAAATACAATGAGGGCACTTGTGTCAATTAGAACTTACAAAGACACGGCCTCTAAGGGTGACTTTATAATATTGTTTATTTGAGGGTACAGATATGAAATCGTTCCTTATATTGGACACGGCCCCGCACGGGGATCACTCTCTGTCAGTCCGTCCTCAAAACCCTACTGCTCTCTCTTCCTCCTAAAACCCTGCCAGTGGCAACTCCACGACGACAGCTGCTATGGCGCTCTCTTCTCTCCGCCTTCGGAGGGCTCTCGCGATCACCTCCTCCTTCGTCAACCACCGCCCCTTCTCAGCGGCGGCGTTCGTGTCCCCGTATTCCGAGCCCAACTTGATCCCCTCCTCGAAGCTCGGGTCCTTGTCGTCGCTGATGCGTCCAGGAAGCCCCCGCGGTCGTCCGAACTGCGCGGTACAGTCTCTCTCTTTCCGGTCCTCGGCCCCGTCGTGCGATCGCCGGTCGGGCGATGGCGACGACAGGAAGATCGATCCGGATGAGATTCTCTTCGAGGGTTGCGACTACAATCACTGGCTTATCACGATGGAATTCCCCAAAGACCCCAAGCCCACGCCTGAGGAGATGGTGGAGACCTACGTGCAGACGTTGGCCAAGGTCGTGGGGAGGTAAACTCGAAATTTCGTCCTTACTTTTATTTTTTTCTCCTTCTATGGCAACTACGGTGAAGTGATGATTAAGGCTGAGAATTTCTTGTTAGGGTTGCTTCAGGGATACCCCGTTTTGTGGTTTTATTTATTTCTTTCCACTCATCTATTTTTGCCTGAATGAGGGTCATTTGTCTCTGTTATTTTCCCTTAATCGGCGTTGAGAAGCTCTTATCTGGCTGGCTCTGATGATCATCTTTTGGCTTCAATAAATCTATTGATTAAATTTATTTTCAGTGTTCTTGTTTTTTTTTTGTTTTTTTTTTACCAGCAACTTCCTTGGATTATAAACTTCATGTCTCCTTTGTGCTGTATTTCGCCCTAGCTTCTCAATTTTGGATAAATTTAGGACTTTTTTAGAGCGACATACTAATCTGGGTAGGTGTTGATGTCAGTGTGGAGGAGGCAAAGAAACGAATGTACGCATGCAGTACAACGACATACAATGGATTTCAGGCTGTGATGACTGAAGAAATGTCTGAAAAATTCAGAGGTATGATTTTTTTTGCCGAATCCCCCCCCCCCCATCACCCTTCTTCTTTTTTTTCAATCTTAACGTGAGGATTGACCACTTAACCTGGTATAATGTTTGATTTGTGTTCCTGACAATCAGGTCTACCTGGAGTTGTTTTCATTCTACCTGATTCTTACATCGATCCTGTGAACAAGGAGTATGGAGGTTCGTTTGTTTCCTCTTTACTAATTTTGATTATCTTTTTAATGATCTGTGCAGTTCAATTGACCCATAAAAATGGAAATTCATCTGAGGTATCTATTGATCACTTCCCATGATGATTGACCTACCACAACCCTGTGCATTTCATTTATTCATACTAAGGATTCATCTGTGGTTACACTCTGTTCCTCTTTATGAATTAAAAAATAAAAAAAAAGTTTCAACTGCATCATAAAATTAGTATTCATCTGGGACTCTGATCATTTATTTAATTACATACTATTAGGATCTAGCTGCGAATTCACCCATGCCCCTCATGAGGAGCAATCAGCTTTGGAATATTTTTTACCACCTTCTTAGCTTAATCAAATTCCTCGTCGACAACTACTTTTCATGGTTGACCAACCCGTGCAGTATGAACCAGCTTTCCATTTATTTACCCCACCGGGCATCCATCCATGCCCAACCCTCTGCTTGCTCTTCACGGTCAATCCCACTCATCCATCAGACAAAGGAGGGCTTGGCAACAGCAGTTCACCCGACTTCGATTGTCCTGATATTCAGGTGATAAATACGACAACGGTGTCATCACTCCTAGGCCTCCCCCAGTGCAGTATGGGAGACAAGGCAGGTACGGCGACCGGAACAGGAACTACGACCGACCGAGGTTCGACCGGCAGCAGCAGGGCGGCGGTGGGCCCTCCTTTGACCGCCAGGGCCCCCCTCCTCCTCATGGCGAAGGAAGGAATTTCCCACCGCCACCAAACTACGGCGGCCCCTCTGAAAGAAGGGATCATTTTCCTCCTCCCGGCGGAAGGGACGGCTTCCCGGGAGAGAGGAGGGAGCCATCTCCCCAATTCCAGAGGGGCCCCTACCAAGGCCAGGATGGGAGTTTTCCTCAAGAAGGCAGAGACTTCTCTCAAGGGCCCCCCAGGGGAGGTAATTTCCCGCAGGGTGGCCCAGATCACAGACGAGGAATGGGTTCTGGTTATGGCGGAGGTTATCAGCCACAGGGGCCTGGATCCGGGCAGAGTCACCAGGGTCCTCCTCCTGGGCAGAACTTCTCCAGGCCCGGAGAAGGGTACCCGCCGCCGCCACCGCCGCCTCCCTTTGAACAGCGCGGCTGGGATGGGCCGAACCAGTCTGGAACAAACCAGGTATTCTTTCTACTTCTGATTTTGGACAGACCGACCAGCTGAGATCGTTTCTTCTTCTGATTTAGATGAATCTTTGGGTAACTCTGTTGAATGCAGGGGGAACATTGAGGAGCTCACAAGCATGTGGTGGCGGCGATCTGCGAGCCAAGGAGGCATCACCATTTCTTCTTCGGGCACATCTTCTTTTGTTGAGCTGTAGGCCGGGATGGGCTGGTTTAGTTTCCTCGCTTCTGCTGTAAGACAATTACTGCATGTGTTGGGTGATAAGACTTGGGAACATTCTGCTTGCTGCCCCCCTATACACACTCTCGTGATGTGAAGTCTCCCTCCAAGAAACCGACTGGATCAGATCAAGGCCGGATTTTTTCTTTCTATTATAAGAAAAGAGAATGTTTGTAGGATTTTCTGCCTTAATATCTTTCAATTTTTCTTATATGGGTATATAAATGACGCAAATTCCCTGATTTGAACCTTTAATGGAGGTTTTAGTCGCATTCGCGGTGGTCCTGGGGTTTAAGAATCCCTCCACAAGGCTCGCCTGTCTCAGAGATGATTGACGGACGATTAACCAGCTAGCTTCCGGAAGTCAACGATGTCGGTTAGACAGCACTGTTGACCACAGCGCTCGTCAGAACCGCCTTCAGCTTCCGGGTCTCCGCGACGATCGATTCCTGGTCGAACACAGCGGAGACAACAGCCACACCTTTCAAAGTGGGGGTGGCGATCTCCATCACCGAGCTCGCGTTCCCCGCTCCGATCCCTCCGATGGCGACGACGGGAAGCTCGGAGGCCATGCAGACGGTTCTGAGCCCGTCCAGTCCGACGGTGACGTTGTTGGCCTTCGTGTTGGTGGGGAAGACACCGCCGCAGCCCACGTAGTCGGCACCGCCGGCGAACGCCGCCGCCGCCTGCGCCGGAGTCTTGCAGGAGACGCCGATGATCTTTGCGGGGCCGAGGAGGGAGCGGGCGAGGTGCGCCGGCATGTCGGACTGGCCGACATGGACGCCATCGGCGCCGCAGGCGAGGGCGACGTCAACGCGGTCGTTGATGAGGAGGGGGACCCCGCGGGGGCGGCAGATCTCCACGCACGCCCTAGCCGCCTCCACGAACTCGCGGGTCTCCGCCTCCTTTTCTCTGGATGTCAGTGTCAGTGTTTGATGATGGTAGTGAGAATTATTAAGCATCTTGGGAGATAACTTTGAGCATCCATATATATATATGTATATGATGCATACATAAGTAAATGTAGAGAGAGAGAGAGCAGACTAGGACATGCAAGTGAGAAGATTCAAGAAGAGGAATATGCTCAAAGAATCTAAATAATTCACAGAAAGAATCGAGAGAGAGAGAGAGAGAGAGAGCAGGGGAGAGCAAATGCAAGTGAGAAGATTTAGGAAGAGGATAAGAATCTAAATCATTCACAGAGAGAATCGAGAAAGATAGAGATAGATAGAGAGAGAGAGAGCAGAGCAGAGCAGAGAGAGAGAGAGCAGGGGAGGGCAAATGCAAGTGAGAAGATTTAAGAAGAGGAATATGCTCAAAGAATCTAAATCATTCACGGAAAGAATCGAGAAAGATAAAGATGGATAGAGATGGATAGAGATAGAGCAGAGCAGAGAGAGAGCAGGGGAGAGCAAACGCAAGTGATAAGATTTAAGAAGAGGAGTATGCCCAAAGAATCTAAATCATTCACAGAAAGAGTCGAGAGAGAGAGAGAGCATTACATCTTTCTCGATTGGTTGCCAAAAATGAGGAGATTTCAAGAACAGCATTACATCCAAGCGGAACATGATCACGATTGGTTGCCGAAAAATGATTGCAGACGCCGCAAGTAGACAATTTACTTGACGGATGGAGTGTTTTCTCACCACCTGAATATGGAATCTTGATGTTACGACTAACCTCAGCTGAACCATGGTGGCTCCTCCTTCTATGACAGACTTCACGGCTTCAGTGATGGAGCGGCCCCACTTCTTGTTCATCCTTGAGTCCGTCACAGCATATAAGAACAGGTCATTTGGATCAAATCGACGCTTCTCGCTCGTATTATCCATATGATCATTGAGCTTGAAGAAGTGGTCAAAGGGTCCCTGAGGACCGGCACCTATGGCAATATCTTTGCTGTAACGAAGTGCATTCTCGACAAAGTTCTTGGCCGCCTGCCGATCACAGAAGGGAGAACAGATAAAAACAAAAGTTTTTTTCTTTCATAAGAGATTAAAAAAATACAAGAAACAAACAATCATAGGAAGAATAATACTCCAAAAGGCTTGCCATGGAGGAGATCATGATAAATAGATAAAGAACCTTAACAGCTTGAGGCATTGAGGAGCCTTTGGCAAGTTCTGCTGCTATAGACGAAGCCAGTGTACAGCCAGTACCATGGGTGTTGCGGGTCTTCACACGCTGCCCGTGTAACTCGAGGAATTGCTCACCTAGAGAAAGTCAACCCACGGATAAATCCAGATAATCTAGAGAAGTTCAAGGGCTGGGGAAGATATTTCTAGTTTTTCAGAGGATCAAGGATGCTCACCATCAAAGAACACGTCGACAGCATCTGAGGAATCTGAAAGATGCCCACCCTTCACAATTACATTTCTGTGAATAAGAAAGATTTAATCTTACCGTTCCACCATTAAAAAGTATTCAATCATCACCAGCACAAAAAAACTACGACTGACTGGACATATTAAATAAGGAATTCCCACATAGAGTGATCAATAAGATGATACCATGTATTAGCTATTGGGGTACATGAATGACTGACTCTACACATTTGTTACGAACAGGAGGCACTACCTTGCAACCAAGGAAATTGAAATGACGTCTGTCAACGCCAGGCAGATGGGACAATTTTCAGCTGAGGATGTATCCATATCCATCACTCATGTGCAAAACATAGTCGGATCGCGTGGAAAAAGCAACAGACTTCTGAAATGCTAACCTGGGACCCAATTTATGTATGGATCTAGCAGCAGTGTACATGTCGGCCACAGTTTCCAGAGACTGCCCACCAAGCAGTGCGGAGGCTTCTATTAGATTTGGTGTCACTATATCAGCCATTGGAAGAAGTTCTTCACTGCGTGATCATCAGTAAATTAGATTCCGCGGAACATATTTACACTTTCTTAACAAAACAGAGGCTAGAATACACATGAACTGTTCCTATATTATGCAGCATAAGGAGGCCATGTTTAACAACATGCAGTAATGAAATAATCGTCTAGGTTTCATGCGTGAAGATGAAATTAGATGGAAAAGGTGCTGTTTATACCGAAGTACATCCAGGATAGCTGGAGCCGCAAGTACATCACCACTTGTGGATACCATGACAGGATCAACCACTAAAGCTGCCTTCGAAAGTGTAAGACTATGAATAGAGAATTTTTCATAACAAGAAAGACTTGTGCCAGCATTTTCTGATAACTTCGCATACCTTTAACGTGGAACTCTTTAATCTTATCACATAAAGCTTTGATTATGTCAACAGATGGAAGCATGCCAGTCTTCACCTGACGGATTAATAATCATAGCTGCTTTTCAGGACATGCTCAAGCTGAATATATGTATGTATATATGTTTCAGGTGCTAAACGCAGCTACACTAGGTACAGAATCTATAAATCCAGAAAAGGGGTTACTTCTCTGAATGATTAATAATCAGTGCTGCAGCATAGTGTAATACCTGATTATGATAATAAGCAATAAGCAATAGAGTTGGAAATTTTCCTATACTCAGCGAGACATACAGAAGCTAAGCATCCAACTTGAAACAAATATGAGGAAGATCCCTGAAACATAGCCTACGAACTATGCAAGCAACACCTAAAATTATTTCATTATTACCTCTTTTCCTGCTCACCCTCTGGTCTTGTAGCTTTAGGTTTTCTGTGAAAACATACATGAGATTCCTAAAACAAATCTGACATGAATCTACCAAACCTGAGGCGTGTCTGAACAATTCTCAAACTATAAAGTAAACCCTGATAAATAAAGATAACCAGCTTTCTAAAAAAATTATGGCTGAAGCAGAAATGATGCTTATCATCATGAAGATCAAAACAATCACTCCTTACGGACTCTTGGCAGCTAGTATCAACAGAGATCTGGCAGTGGCCAATCCTGAAAGAGACTCTTCTCACACGGGTTACTCTTGAACATGATTGAGGTCAGTTGGGTGATGATCAGAATTGTTAGTGTTGAAATCCGATTAGATGTTAGTGAATAGTAAAAGCCCGAATGCAATTCTGCCAAAAATTTAAAACTAACGGAGTAAGGCAATGGTACAATATCCTTCTCAGAACGGGATATGGCTTACCACATCCACCTCCATATCAGAAAGCACCGACCTCAGCTGATCCTCAACAAAATCTACGGGAACCGGATGAACTCCCTTTGGAACAAAACAAACACACCACCACGGGCCTCAGTCAGTCATCAGCAAAAGCAAACGCAATGTGAAAGCTATCGAGCAATTACTCCTCCGAGTAAGAATCCAACCTGAACTCCCAGAGTATTCTGCGCAGTGACTGCAGTGATCACCGACGAGCAGTAAACTCCAAGCGCCCCGCAGGCTTTGAGATCGGCCTGGATCCCAGCGCCGGCGCCGGAATCAGACCCAGCGACAGTCAATACGTGGGGAGCCTTACGTTTACCAGCGCCCTCCACCTGCTCCATCCCTCCCGACGATGCTACCGCAGCCCGCGCCCTGCGACTCTCCGTAGAGATAGACCAGGAGACCTCAAATCCTCCGGCGGCAACTCCGCAAAACAGGTTCGACAGGGATCGGTCACGAGAGACGACGAGAACCTGCAGAGACGCACGTCAAACAGTGATCATACTGCGTAGAGAGGAAAGGGCGGCGGATGGGGGGCCCCGACACTTACTCGAGGAGGTGGCGATGGCGGACGAAGGGCCACCGGTGCCATCAGAAAGAGGGTAGTATCTCTACGGTAACAGTGGCCGGTGAGGGCGGCCTCTCGGGGAAGACGATTGGCCTTCACACAATCAACCAACTATAATCCTCCACGTGTCGGCTAATCTCGTTAAACCCCGCGGAGAGTTTCCCGCCCCAACTCTCCCGCTATGGCGGTGGCGGCGGCGGTGCTCACCGGTGGAGCCCTCCCGACCCGCCACCGTCGTCAAGACCCGATTTTGGAGCTGCTACAGAGATGCAGGGGAGCAGACGGGTTCCCCCCAATCCACGCCAGAATCATCAAGGCGGGGAGGCACAAGGACTCCTTCCTGCTCTTCAAGGTCCTGCGGCTCTGCCATGAATGGGGTTCCCCCGACTGCGCGTCCACAATCTTCGAGACGATCGAGTTTCCGGACGTCTACCACTACACGGCGATCATCGCCGGTAAGCTCGCCGGAGGATCCCCCATCGAGGCCGTCGCCTGGTACTCTCGCATGGCGGCGGACGGCATCTCGCCGGATTCCTTCGTGGCCTCGTACGCCCTCAGAGCGTGCGCCCTCGCGGCGGCCTCAGCAGAAGGGAAGCAGCTCCACGCGCAGATCCTGAAGCAGGGGTCGAGCTTGAGCTCCTCCCGGCCTGTGTGGATGAGGCTGCTCGAGTTCTACGGAAAGTGCGGGGAGTTCACCAGTGCCCGGAAGGTGTTCGATGAAATGCCGGACAAGGACGCAGTAGCCTCCACCATCCTCATCTCCTGCTACGTCGGCTTCGGCATGGTGGAGAAGGCGCTTGCCACCTTTGAGGATGCCATGGAGAAGGACACCACCTGCTGGACTGCCATGATCGACGGGCTCGCCCGCAACGGGCGAATGAGCGAGGCCCTGGAGCTCTTCCGGCGGATGCAGAGGGAGGAAGTGAGGCCCAACGAGGTCACCCTTGTCTGCGTCCTCTCCGCCTGTTCACAGCTCGGAGCCCTCGAGCTCGGCAGATGGGTTCACTCTTACGTCGGCAAGTACGGCATCCAGTTGAACGTCTTCCTTGGCTCCGCTCTCATCGACATGTACTGTCGCTGTGGCAGCCTGGAGGATGCCCGCAAGGTGTTCGCCGAAATGCCCCACAGGGACGTGGTCTCCTACAACGCCATGATCGGGGGCCTCGCGCTGCACGGGCGGAGCAGCGACGCCGTGGTGCTGTTCCAGGCCATGGAGACAAGAGGGCTGCGGCCCACGGCGGCCACCTACGTGGGGGTCCTCAACGCCTGCAGCCATGGCGGGCTGGTGGAGCTCGGTTTCCAGATCTTCGAGGCCATGAAGCGGGATCATGGCATGGAGCCGCAGATCGAGCACTACGGCTGCATGGTGGACCTCCTCGCGCGCGTGGGGCGCCTGCAAGAGGCCTACGAGTTCATCACCCAGAGGATGAAGATAGAGCCCGATCACGTCATCTGGTGCTCCCTCCTCGGCGCCTGCAAGCTCCACCGGGACCTCCCCTTGGGGGAGAAGATCGCCAGAATCCTCACCGGCGGCGCCGACGCCGCCGCCGACTCAGGGACATACATCCTAGCTGCCAATGTGTACGCTGCGTTCGGGAAGTGGGAGGAGTCAGCGAGGATAAGGGAGAAGATGAGGCGGAGAGGGGTGGCGAAGGAACCGGGTTGCAGCGCCATTGAGGTCGGCGGGGAGGTCCATGAATTCCTTCTTGGGGACATCCGCCATCGGCGGCGGAGGGAGATCTACCAGAAGCTAGCGGAGTTAGGGGAGGCGCTGAGGTTGAACGGGTACTCCCCGGCGACGGAGGAGGTGCTGCAGGACGTCGGCGAGGTGGAGAAGAAGCGGGCGCTGGAGATTCACAGCGAGCGGCTGGCCATCTGCTATGGGCTGATCTCGACGGAGGAGGGGGCGACGATCCGGGTGGTGAAGAACCTGCGAGTGTGCAACGACTGCCACGCCATGATCAAGCTCGTGACGAAGATCACCGGGAGAAAGATCGTCGTCAGGGACAGAAACCGGTTCCACCACTTCGAGGATGGGGCCTGCTCCTGTGGGGATTTCTGGTGACCACCCTCTTGCTCCAGGGGAGGGGGGAGAACAGTCATTACTAATCAGCCCCAAGATGACAACTCAAGATCCCATCTAGAACAATTTGGGCATGGATAACACAGAGGGAAAGGACCGATTGACAGAAGTGCCAGAATATGATTCTTTCTCTCCACTGTCTTCCTCACCCTCGTCGTCCTTCTCCAAGCCTTTCTTCCTTCACTCTTCTCCAACCCTCCTCGTGATTCTTTCTCTCCACTGTCTTCCTCCTTTTACCCTCCTGCAGCCTCCTTTGAGAGCTTTCCCATCCTCCTCCACTTCGAGCGAAATAAAATAAAGTTTGTATCTTTATAGGCTTAATTTCACCTGGGTTCAAATTTTCGAAGGAAAAAGCATTCTTATAGTGGAGTTTCAGAATATGATTTAAGGAAAATATCATTTACTCCAGACATCCCCAACCCCAACCTGGCAAGCTTGGAGAGGAGCTGAATGTGCAGATGTCAGATGATGGAAGGGGATAGCAGCATATAACCACAGTCCATGGCAAGTGGCAATCCAAGGCAGTGATGACCATCGGCAGAAATGAATCATCTACTTCCGATTATCCTTCCATCTACTTTACATAAACTCGCCCCTATCTCACATGAACAGTTTTCTCATTTCGCCCTCCGACAACAACTATAAGGATCAATCATCCTTTGATCTACCTAATCCAAGTGACACCAGCTATTATCCTTCTTCCAATTCAAGGGAAGATTGGGGTTTTCTCCCGCAGCCAATGGACCTCAGTCGATTCAGATCATGATCAGCTGATTAAAATCGAGAACAATCAAATCTCTACTTTCTATTCGTGCTGGGAGCTTCACCAAGCTTGGTCAAGAGGGGAAAAAAGGGGGAATTCCCAGGTTGAAATCCATGCGCTGTACTGTACAAGAGTTTGGGTAATGATGTCGGGGAGTGGTTCATTTCCTAATTCCAACCCAGATAAAATTCTTGAAATAAAGTGATATCCAAGATAGATACAACACGAGGGTACCTCAGCTTCTTCAGTAATGCCCACCTCCATTTGCAGCCACCGCAAGTGCGGACGTGAGCAATGCTACAAGTGATCCCCCGTTACTTCTCATGAGGCTGTGAAATGTGGAATGGGAGCATGTAATTCTTGGAATAGTCAACTCTGATTCGTTCTGTTTTCAGTGGTTTTGATCAGAGGCCTCTGCTCATTATTACCCTCATTGAATCGTCTGTTTCTCCCATATCTGACACCCAGTTGTTACTCTCTACTACTTAAGGAAGATCAATCACAAGCATGGAAAAAAAGCTATAAAGCAACACACGTGGGGCTACCCGAACCTGAAGAGCAGAAGATGCCCATTTAAATTAAAATTAAAAAATAAAACTCCAAATCAAGATTAACTTACCAGCATTGATGGAATTCCAAGCACTGAAAACGGAAATAGAAAATATACACATTCTGAGAACAACATAGAGTGAAAGGGGCAAAGAAATCAGAGTCGACTGGAAACAACCCCTACGGTATGTTCCACGAGAACAAGATCACTGAAAGGGACAACCAGTCATTGCCATAAGCACCATAAACAAACAGTATTACATCATCCTCAGAGCAATGCAATGAAAAACAAAGAGGAAAAGTTGCATTTATTACATTGAAACAAAATGCAGAAGAAATTTAGGTTTTCCCGGCAGAATGGCGTTGAAGCAGTCGAAACATTCTGCAGTTTTGGGCCGCCAGAAATCAGGCACTCACGGGATGTCCCAAGGTTTGGGTTCGGGGATGGCGACGACCATACCTTGGAGCTCCGGAGTCAGGACTACCTGGCACCCAAGCCTCGAGTGCTTGTTCAGGACCCTAGATCTGGAGTTCCTCGTCAGCACGTAGGTCTCCTCGTACGACGGCGCCGGGAGCTTCTCCAGCCATTCTTCTGCGATGCTCACCTCGCACTCCGCAGAGCACGCGTCTATGTCCTCCAGACGGTGGGAATCCGGATCGATCAGCCCTGCGTTGGCCAGCGCCTTGAGGAGCGTCTGCCCTGTAAGCCCCACGACCTCCCTTTTCCTCCCCTCGAGGTCGATGGCAAAGAGCTTCACGATCCGATCGGCGACCTTGGAACCGCCTGAGGAGACGACGACGGATGGCGACGCAACGGACGCAGCCCCTCGGGCGAGGAACCGGGAATAAGGGGGGATGATGGAAGAGGACAACCTCCTCGCCGCTGCCATCGCCATTGCCCTAGGTTTTCCCCTTCTTCTTCCCCCTCCTTCCCTGACCCTCTCTATGTCACAGATGCGCATCCTCTCCTCTTCGGAATAAGCTTTCGGGTACTTTCGTAATAATCACCTGAAACATGGTTAAATATTATTTTCCGTAGTGGGTTGGGCCGGTTTCGTTAGCAGCATCCCGTTAGTGGGCTTCTACTAAAAAACTTTTAAAGTAAAAATATTCTTATCTAGAAAGTCCGGTGGTCGGTCCACGTCACCTCCCACGAAAGTCAAAACATCCGCCGCCTCTCCTTCATAAACTCCTTCCTCATGCCGCCTCCCCCTCCGTCATCAGCGCCACATAAAGAGCCACCGCATAGCCTCCAGTTTCATCATCGCCGCCACGAACTGAAAACGGAGGAGGAGGAGGAATCGATGGCGACTCCGAGGAAGCCCGCTGGCTTGTTGCTCGTTCTTTGCCTGGTTCTCTGCGCCGCCGCCGGCCACGCCCGAAGCCTCTGGTCGCCCATCGGGGGCAGCGGTGGTGGCCGCTGTGAGGAGCTGTACGTGGCGGAGGAAGGGGAGACGCTGCAGACGATCAGCGTGAAGTGCGACGCCGACTTCATCCTGGATGATAACCCCCATATACAAGATACCGACGACGTTGGCCCTGGGACCGTTCTGTTCATCAGGCCGAGCATTTGACGTATTTCTATATCTTTGGGGGTTATTTCTAAATAGATAGTTTAGTTGATGTAAACTATCCGCACCACTTGTACATTCTACGTTCCTATACATACACGATAGATTATTGACACGCGGCCACGGGCTGTTCTTGGTCGATTAGAAGCCCGCGTTTAAAAGGCCCACGCTTTTATTTGGGCCTAAAGAAAGCCCAAAATGTCTCCGAGGCCCCGCCCTGCGTACACCACTGGGGGGGGGGGGGGAGCCCGCCCGTCCACACAATGAGTCGATCTGGGCTGAGTCGGGCACACATATGAGAACAGCCCAAGCGGGACCCGCTCTGCTGTCTGCCACACGTTCGCGCGCTTTCGAAATCCAGACGCCCGGGTAGTTAAATGGGAAACCACCGCGCAGTCCCAGCCTGCCTCTCTTCTCCTCGCTCTCCCTCTCTTTCTTTCTTTCTCTCTCCACTGAGGGAATATTTATTGGAGGAGAGGGGATGTTGGGGTGTAGGGCCGTCTCCCACTCCCTGCTCGCCCTCCGCGCTCCTCCGAAGACTTCGGGATCGATAGATCCTGCGGCGATCGGCCTGAAAGGCACGGATTTCCTCTCCGGGGCTCTGGTGAAGTCTTCCTGCTCCTTGTTCTCCGTTTCTGCTGGACGGAGGAAGCGTGGATGTAAGCGAATGGCCTCGAATTCTTCGGTTATTCGCGCGTCTGCTCCGAAGCTGGAGAACGTGGACGAGCTTATCGATTCAGTTGAGACGTTCCTCTTCGACTGCGACGGTGTGTCAATTCTCTCTCTCTCTCTCTCTCTCTCTCTCTCTCTCTCTCTCTCTCTCTCTCTCTCTCTCTCTCTCTCTCTCTCTCTCTCTTGCTCGCTATATATATATGTATGACAGAAATTTGAGTTCTGCGTCATACTGTTTGTGTGTTTGTCTAATCGTTTTCTTTGTTCTATCAGCTCGCCAATCATATCTAATTTCTAAATTGTTAGACACGGGTGGTTCGCATATTTTCAATATTATTTTCCTTGTACTTTTCGTAATGGGAGCTTTTGTGTAAAAAATTGTTGCCATTGTTTCATAGGAGTTATATGGAAAGGGGATAAACTGATCGATGGGGTACCCGAAACACTCGACATGCTGCGATCCAAGGTAAACCTTCGGTCATCCTTATGTTGATTCTTTTTTTTTTTCCTTTTTTTTTTCTGCTACTAATCATTTGATAAGATTTGAAGAATGGAAGCTTGACTACGGATTGTGGATGCTGATTATGGTGTAACTTTACTGGTTTAAACTTTTGTAATCGTCCAGGGTAAAAGGCTTGTTTTTGTTACAAACAACTCAACAAAATCCAGAAAACAGTATGGAAAGAAATTTGAAACACTCGGACTCAGTGTCGGTGAGGTCAGTCATTTCTTGTGACGTTCTTCATTAAGTCGCCTATATCTGCACCGTACGCTAACATGTAGCCTCTTTTTCTCTATTTTAGGAGGAGATTTTTGCATCCTCTTTTGCTGCGGCTGCCTATCTAAAGTCAATTAACTTCCCTAAAGATAAAAAGGTCCGTCTCATTGAACATATGAACTGTGTTAAGTTCTTGAAAGTTGATTTGTATTTTTGCTTCCCTAAAGAAAGTTCTCTACTTTTATTATTAGTAGTCTTATTCTCACTTAGCCAGCACGTTTTGATTTTTCTTCACTTTCTTTGAAGAAATAGCCATTCATAGTTTTTTTTTTCTTCCGTGACAGACGTTTTCAGTCTTTCTGAATAATTAGCTTGCGTCTATAAAATTCTCATCTTTGTAAGTTATTTTCATCAGATTTCCAGTCAAACACAAAAAATCTGAAATTGAATGCAACTGATGGCATTGACTCATTTATGCTTATGCTACAATGAGGAATAATATTTTCCATCAGTGTCTGTTGTCCACTAGGTTCCTTTTCATGGATTTCCCTGCTACTTTTCCATCAGAAAGTCTGGGCCTATTAATCTTTCGACAAGTTTAGGTTTAATGAACTTATGAGACGTTGTTATTATTTTTTCTTCGTTCAGCCTCTCTGTGTGTTTCTGCGTGCTTCTGTGTTTTCGTTCTGCATTTCCCATGCGTTCTCTTGTCCTAGACTTCTCTGCGTATATAAATGACATCTGAGTGGGGAAAAAATAATATCTAAGCTTTTTCTTCCCTCCTATTTCAGGTTTATGTAATCGGTGAAGATGGTATTTTGAAGGAACTAGAGCTTGCTGGCTTTCAGTATTTTGGAGGCCCGGTATAATGATCTTTTGCCATGCTTGAAAATTATGACAACATAAGATGCATAGTAAATGTGAATTTTCGAAGGAAGATACTATATTCTGCATATCTGGTCCGGATTTTCAGTAATCGATTCTGTTATGTGTATTTCCTTCTTCAACATTACTTTTTGAATTTTATCATTTCATCGAGGTACTCATTCTTACGTAATATAATGAAGAAAAAGCTTAAAACTTCATGATCCCAGAATTTAGTTTTATTTATAATTTATATTTATATATTAATATATTATATAATAATATTATTATATTCTAATAATTCTAAATTATTAGAATATAATAGCATAATTATAATTGCATTTTATATAGGGCGAACGATGATTTTAAAAGGATGTCGTATACATAAACCCCCATGCAGTCGTGTATCATATCATGGAAAGATGGCCGTCATGGTCCTTTGATATGCGGCTCCAGCATTTTGAAGTCCGAATGGCAGACACAATATCTTGAGTACCTAAGATGGTGACTGCATCTGCTGGCATGTGATGTTTGGACATGGATTTTGGAATTTACTTTCCAAGACAAATGACGGATATTTTTGTAATTACTGGACCGTATATATATGCAGTGAGTATATCTCGGAGGAGGAACAAAAAATATAAATATAAATTTTGCATGGTTGTTTTACCTTTTGGGTTCCTTAATTTGGATAGTTTGATGAGATCCTCAGAATATTGTTTCATAAAATAAGCAGTTTTAAACTTTGAGGCACACAAGAGAAAATGTACTAATGGATTCAGATTAATCTTGTTACATCTGGCTTATTCATTTGACCCTAGCTAAATCAGAATACGTAATGCCTTTCTACCCATTTCCCAAATTAGATGAAAATATCCAGTCACTTTATTCGTTGCATCCCATCCATACATCCACACACACACACACACATATATATATATATAGATGGAATCTCTTTCTTCGGTGTGCTGCCATTTCACGGAAGAATCTTAGATGCACAGGGTGCAATAGGAATGCTATTATTCTCTTCCTCACAAGTACACTGCTCAATTCGGTGAACCTTTGTAATGAAGTTTTACTCTTCATATTCTCCATTGTTCCGTGCTTTTAATTATTAATTATTTTTGAAATACTACACCATATTTTCTTTAGTGTTGGTCGCGTTTTCCTGTACAAATCTTCAGGTAGCATTGCATGAGGGATAATTGTTACTTAAAAATTTAAAATATTACTTTCAGGCAGATGGTGAGAAGAAGATAGAGCTGAAACCTGGTCTCCTGATGGAGCACGACGAAAATGTAATATTCTTTCTCGTCTCAACTGAGCCCATAGTCTCTTATCCAGTCTTTGTTATTCCTCCTTTAAGATCCTCCAATAAGATACTACGGCATTGTCTCCCTTCATCTCCCATCAATCTCATCAGCCTCACACGGACGTGTTCATCCATGCAGGTCGGTGCTGTTGTGGTCGGTTTTGATCGATACTTCAACTACTACAAAGTTCAGTAAGTTGTTCTCACCTTTTGACTAATTTTTTTAGCATAATTGACCCAGTTGACTCCGCTTTGCGTTGGTGATAAGTAGAGCAGCTTAACCGAGAATCAGCTGACAGAAATGTCATCATTCCATGATATTTTAAATTTTATAGCTTAAATAATAAATAATCTCAGAACCACTGATTAAGCTACACGATGACATAAATAGAACTGTGTGAAGTTATCTGAAATTATACCATAAAAAGTCATATCTAAAATCACATCCTAGAAAAGATATTTTTGGGGGTTAATGTTTCCTATATATGTTATTATTAAATGTTAGGTATGGAACGCTTTGTATACGTGAAAATCCTGGGTGCCTCTTCATAGCAACTAATCGGGACGCCGTGACTCACCTGACAGATGCTCAAGAGTGGGCAGGTTTCCTTCTGAACATTGCTCTGAATTTTCCTTTCCTTTATTAGTATGACATTATTTCATCAAGGAGGGGTTCCACGCCTTACTTCCTTTTGACACCATTACTGAGGGCTATGCTCATCATTTGTAATTTATTTTTTTCCGATTAAAAGGGGGCGGTTCCATGGTTGGTGCGCTCTGTGGCTCGACTCAACGAGAGCCTCTTGTAGTGGGGAAGCCCTCGACTTTCATGATGGACTACCTAGCGAACGAGTGAGAGTTTTGTCCCCTTAATGTGATTCAATGAAAATAAATAAATAAATAGATTTGGTTTAAGTTGAGTGTTCTTGGCGATGGCAGGTTCGGGATCAGCAAGTCCCAGATATGCATGGTGGGCGACAGGCTGGACACCGACATCTTGTTCGGTCAAAATGGCGGCTGCAAGACCCTCCTTGTCCTGTCAGGTAATCCCACCTCTCCAAGATCCGGTCGTTCGACTGCATTTCCATTCTTAGAATAGTCCCACATCGAATGAGTTGGATTATACGGCAAGTGCTCCATCTTGTCTTCTGTCTCAGGTGTGACGACCCTCGACATGCTTCAGAGCCCCAAGAACTCCATCCAGCCGGACTTCTACACCAACCAAATATCCGACCTCCTCCCTATCAAAGCCGCCGCTGTTTGAGCCCGCCGCAGCTCTCAGATCTCTTTGACAACTCCAATGTGATGTGCTGCCACCATTCTTTCCTTTGTTTTCCCCTTTTCAGATTCTATCGATTAATATATGCTGTCCATGGCAACATCGATTTGGTCAACTGCCCACATTTTCGGGTCAAATCTCGCGTTGACTTTCTCCTCCCCCTCCCTCTCTCTCTCTTTCTCTCTCTCTCTCTCTTTCTCTCCTCTCAGTTTCTAGGAAAAAATCTTCCCGATAATTGATGGGGTTGGGCATCCAGAGCGACCAGGTTATTAGCTGAATCTAACGGTTTGCGTCACGAGCGGTGTTACTGGGCCGGGCCCGCTTAACTACCTCTGCTTTGAGGACCTAATTTAGCCCAGTACACGTGTATATGTACGTGTATCGGCCCAATATACAAGAGGTGAACTTTTTAGAAAAAGTCCTCCCTTTTTCGCACATGTAAGGAACCCTCGTCTTGAAGCGGGGCTTCGTGAAGTACCCCGCCCTGCTCTCTTGTTATTCTTACTCGTGGATTCTGCAGCAGGCGCAGGTCATCCTGCGCCGCCGTGTTGATGGAGGCCGCCACCGTGCCGCCGGCGCGGGCAGTCGCTTTCGTCCTCTCGCACGACGGCAAGCGATGGCGCGGAGGGAGGCGCAGTGGGGGGAGTCTCCCGCCCTTCTGTGTCTTCTCCTCCCTGTTCCGTCGTCGCTCACCTGACCCTCCTTCCAAGCCCAGTCGGAGCCTGAGGCCTTCCCCGGCAGATCGGAAGTTGGAATTCTCCCTCGACATGGAGGAGATTGCCGAGCGCGCCTCGGCGGACCTACGGAGATTCCGGCGATCGACTGAGGGGAGGGTCCGCCGGTTCGTCTCCTCCGGCAAGGAGGCGTACCACGACCTTCGGACATCAATCAGGGTGGAAGACGGCCGGCGAGTCGTGTTCTCGTGCAACAGATCGTCTCTGGTCTTCGTGGCGGATCTCGTCCTTTGGAGCATCGTGGCGGTCATCTCTGTCAGGGTAATGGCCTGGCTGTCGGTGTGGTTGAGGAGGAACTGGGGTTTCGGGGACTGGCGGGTCATCCGAAGAGACCGAAGTCTCGGTGGGAGGGAGGTCGTCGTGGGGAAGCGATCGAGGGGGAAGGAAACGAACTGGAGGAGTTCGAGGCCGTTGCAGAATCCTTTGTCCCCTCCCCGCGGCGGGAGTGAGATGGGAATTGCGAGGCCTGCTTCGGTGCGTAGCGTCCCTAAGGAGGAGAACCTGCCAGAATGGTGGCCTAGTTCGACGCCTGCATCAAATACCGTCGCACTGGGAAAGGAGGAGCTCCAGAGGGAAGCCAACAGACTAGCCCGAGGTCAGGCCTTTTACACCTTATCCGTCCCCTTAAATGTGTCCAACACGTATTCCCCTAACCCTCTTTTCACACACTTGGGGGAATGATGCCGGCTACGTTGCGACTGGGTGAAGTTTAATATTTAAAAGAGTGATATATCTTGCATGAAGGTTTGCTTCTTTATGGGCATTTATTTTGTCCTCTCTAAAAAATAAAAAAATAAAAAAAATGATCTTTCCTTTCACATATCATAATTTTATTAGTTCATTTATCCGGGGCTAGTTTAGAATTCGTTTTAGTGGACACAATACCGGAACGTCGTATTTTCTCCTGATAACAATTCACAACGAATATTAAATCTTGCAACTGTTAAAACTGTTGAGGGATTGTCTTATCAATAAATAGCTTGGATCTTTAAGGGCATCCGTGCATTTTATTTTATTATAGAGATGAACCATTCCAAATCTGCCCTAAGTCACATCTGAACGGTGTTTAGAAATTTTTTAGAAAAAGGATGTTCAGCATCCCTATGTTTACGTGTATAGCGATTTGTTCTCTCATCAACTCTTGAGATGATACATGGTTGCCTCAAAGAGACGTTTATCTTGGCTTGGCATCCTAGAATCAGTTAGTAGCCTCTTCCTTTATTCCATCTCCTGAAAGATAATTTCCTTCAATAAATAATTGGCCTCCACATGTGTATGCGTGTGGCTTGCATGACAATGTATTTTTCTGTATGCACAGGGTTTTTCTAATCCATTCACAAAAACTCTTCCAAGTAGGGCCAGTACTAAGAAGTTAACAAACTATCTGTCCCTTGTGGAGCTTTCATTGGCTCCCGTTGGGTAATATTTATATTTTCCTGGGATTTTCTCCACGTTATACATGCTTTTTTTATCTCAAAGTCTCATGTTTTCCTCATAATTCATTCGATGTTCAAACTATCTTTTAAGTTTCACTTATGGCATTCATATCTCTCCCCAATCTATCAAGCTTCTATTTTCGTTATTGGCTCTCTTGAAGATTTTCTAACATTTTCTTCTTCCATCATATCATCTTGTAATGGCAGTCTATGATCTTAATCGTCTATTTGATAAATGTTAATTTAACGATTATCTGTTATCCCAGGTGCTTAATTTTTATTTGCAATTTATCGTGTTGAGTGAATGAGAGATCACATTAGAAGAAACAAAATGGCACTGTTGAACCACGGTTGACTTTTGGGTATGAACCTAGTTCTTGTTATAACAAATACTAATCTCTCACAGATTGTTGATTTGACTGGTACTAAATACACCCTCCCCTGTCTTTCACCGTTTGCAAATATGATTAGATCCATCCTGTATGATTCCTCTCATTGCTGAGAATTTAGATGCTGTAGATTCCAGAGTTATAACTTTAACAAAATAATTTATCCAGCTGATGAATTTAGTTTCATGTGCATTGTCACTAGATTTGAGCAGTAGACTGGATATTGTCTCCAAATTATTCTTAGGCACATATTTTTGTCTTCTTATTTTATTATTATCATGATTCATTTTCTTTGGCATAATATTCGAATCTATACATAGGTGAGGTGATCTTTTTCTTCTCCTAGCAGGTAATTTCTCTATTCCCCACTTTTTGAAGATTGGCTTTAAATTCTTTCTCCCTCAAATGGCTACATATCGACTTTCCAGCCATCATGGATAATAGAATGAGCGGAAAGGATTATAAAGAAGATGATATGATACAAGTCAGTTTTCCTGCAACTGTATAGTTTTATCTTATCCTCAGTGTTTTATCTCAACCCAATAAGGGCCTTGAATATCTCCATCCAAGTTTGTTGAATATCTAATCGTCTAAGGTCATCCTTCTGCTCATTTTTTTATCTTTACATTTATTGACTAAATTCCCATATTAACTAGAATCACCTGATATACATCAGGGTGCAATGTCATTTATTTTTTAAACATTGTCAGCCTTTATTTCGGTTGGTTATAGCGAAAAGTATTGGTCACGCATAGAGCCATACCCAAATGCAATCCTCTTATGGGACTACCCTTGCAAACTTTCTCCATCTTGGACAATTTATTTTCAATATATTGCCATCCTTGAGTGTTGCAAATCAATTTCTTATACCTTTCCAAAAATATTTCTGCGTAATTTTTGCCCGTGTTTATCAATGTCTTCTTCTATAAATTTTTGTTGTGATTTTGATATAATCAGACGTAAGCACCATATAGTTGCTCCTTTTTTATTTAAAATTAATTTGAATTTTATTTATGATAAGAAATGAGTAAACATGCAAGTGCCATTGTGCCATGAATAGAACACATTTTCATTTTGATGTAGGCTAAAAAACAAGATTGTTTATCATTCCCTGTTTGCTTCCAATTTAAAAAAGAGAAATATCAGTTCTGTCTATGATAAAAGCATGACGGGGTTGGTTTACCATTGTTGTAGTGTCATCATCTTCCTTAGACATTTTCTGCTTAAAACTTTGCTATTTCTTCAGGAATTAAATGCTCTTGTATTGCTTATTACAAACGGTATGACCTAGGACGGTGAATCCAATTAACTTTGATAATGCTTGGATTATTTTCTAGTCCAGTTAGTGGTGGTTTTCAATAGATCTATGGAATAATTTGATTTTTCATTGTTATTTTATATTATATTCAAAAATTCTGTGTAGCTTCTTCAGTAAACAATATGGCGGGTCTTACTTGGTCCAATTGCTGCAGTTACGTCAGATATGTAGGCTATCTGGTCTAAAGGTCTCCTTTGACACGGTTAATGCTCGTGATTCATTCTATAGAGCATCAGTTGAATTCATTTTGAAGATTTGTTGTAGGTACTATTCTTTCTCCCAGAAGAGTTCCTACTTTCTTCTAAAAGAAGTTTCTCTTTGATCCGCTTTTATTTTAGGTCCTTCCATCATTTTTCTCATGTGCTCTCTTTTTTTACAAGTATTTTTGTTTTTAATGATGCTATAGAGCTGCAGGCCCTACATCTAAGGTTCAGATTGATGGCGAAGATGTCCGACATTTCATTGCTGGGCTTGCTGGCAACATTGGCCTTGGAAATGTCCATGCAATACGAATTTTGCGTGGAGCAGTTGCAGCAACAACACGCTCACATTTCCTGCAAGCTTGGGTTAGATTATACTCTATATATGTTTGGTTCAATTCCTGAGGGTACGTATGATTTTAACTTGTTGAATGTGATGTCTACTTTCGCTGAAGGCTTTGGAAGTTCAGGGGCAAAGGCCAGAAGCATTGGATGAGCTAGCAAAGATCTGTCGCATTTTTCGGATATTTCCTCTTGAAACCCATTCCGTACGTACATCTTTTCTCCTAGAACTACTTAGGCTTGATTCCTTGGTAGCAATGTATTTGTTATATTTTGAGGCATTTGATATTCTTTCGTGTCATCTTTTATGATTACCATCTATTACAAGGGACATAAACATCTGATGGTGTTGTGTTCTTAAATTTTTAGCTTGATTTCCTCAAATCATCACTGATATGGTAGATAACGTCGTTGAAACTGGTTTTGGTGATTTTGATTTGTAGGAAAAAAAAAATCACATTCTATGTGGGGAAACCTAGAGAAGATAAAGGGCTGTTAAACATTTAATGTTGTAGGAAAATCGAAGTATCTGGCTAGCTTTGATCCGGATCTGGAAAGCAATATCGTGTTGCTGGGTCATAATTAATCCTAGATCGTCAAACCGTAATAAATGGTGGAAACTACAGCTGAAACAAAAAAACTAAAAAAAGGGGGACATAAGCAAGCATCAACACGATAGAAAAACAGTTGTGCGCTTCCCTCCTTGTTTGACAGGGTGATTAATAAGAAAGTCAAAAACAGAATATTCTCACTATAGTATTGATGTTGAATGAGTTTCTCTTGAATCTATTTGGGATCCATGTGAGACTCTTTGGAAGAAAAGTGGTAAATCATGCCATATGCTTGGTTGCTCTCCCACTTCTCTAACGTTTATAAAAAATACCTCTTTCATGTGTCACTACCGCTTACCATTGATCTCCATCATCTCTTTCAGCCTACCATTTCATGTTTCTCACAGTTTATTCCTTCTCTCTGTCACCAATTCTTAGCAGCACATCCTCCACCCGCCCCCCACCAATTCATGAATATTCTCTATAAACTGTCCATATTCTGATTCCCGGATTTTATTTCCGAATCCCCAGAATGATGTATTGATAATTTACACAGCACCATCAGTGAGAAAAAGCAATGTAGTGGTTCTAAATTCGAGCAAATATTTGGTCGCAGCTAGAAACCTCCGGTTCTGGGAGTTTGATTATTCTGGGTAAGATTTTTGTAGACCACTCTACCTCTGATTACAATGCAATGCCAATTGGATGGACGGACTACCCACCAGCATGACTTTTGACAGTCTAGTCCCTCACATGTATTTTCCTTTCCAAATTAGGAAATAAAATCATCTGCAGATAAAATCAAGATCGAATGTGCTATACAAAGCTAATGAAGAAAGATGAACAATATCTAGTATATGAGGCTCCTCTTGATTCTTAACATTGGGAGAGGATGGAGTGGCAAAACTCTCACATTTAGGGTTAACTCCAAGAAGACCAAAAGGCAGTACAAGATAGCAGTTTTCTCTTCTAGGGACTAATGACGCTCAAAACGAAATTAGGATCAGAGAGAGAGAGAGAGAGAGAGAGAGAGAGAGAGAGAGAGAGAGAGGCTGCCCCCAGTCACAAATTCTCTTTTATTAGTCTACTGGAAAAGACCTGACCATCCATCTATTACCTCTGCTGCGATTCAGTCTCATCAAGCTAATGTTAATCATGTCCTTCACATATTTCCGTATTAACTTTCATTTCCCTTCTCAATTGCAGCTCTGAGATTGTTATTTCCATATTACCTTTGCTCTGAGATTGTTTTATAATTGATGGAATTTATTAGAAATATTCCGATGCATTTTTTTTCCCTGGTAAGGAAACTTGAGATCAACCTGTGAGACATTCCATGGTTGCAGGCAGAGATGGAGATGATGGCAGGGGGCCTGGAGAAGGTCCTGAAAGTGGAACAAAGGGTGCATCTGTTGAATCTGTTTGGACAAGCTTCTGGATCCGAGAACCAGAGAATTGCTGCCGCTGCCCTTGGTCTGGTAAGCATCATTATTTTTGATGTATCATCTAAGATATGCTATTATAATCCATTTCTTGAGAGCTTGGTTCCATAATCTTTGTAAAAAATTCTACCGCAGTCAGATTCCTCTCATATGTTGACTATTCCATCTATCCTGCTCATCTGTGAGAAAGAAGATATTTTTTTAAAAACCCACTCGCAAATTACTGAATTTTTCATGGGCCGCATTTTAGGGGCCCATTTGGGTCACTGAGGTCTCTCACTTGTGGGCCCCGCGAGGAGGGTCAATGCTTAACTCTACAGGGGCCAGTCCTTCAGCTTGGTAGCCACAAAGGGCACATAAGATTAGCCATTGATGGCTAATCCTTGAACCCCAATTCCTGGCTGGTCTGACCTGCAGTCCTAAAAAGAGGTGGATGGTTTGATAATTGGATTCTGACTATATATATATATATATATACCTGATGGGATTCCAGCTGATAACAGAGCTGTGGGGCATCAAGCTGTGTCTCTACACCAGCAGCAACCGCCGCCGCCCATGGCGCAGCAGGGCACCTTCCACTGCCATGGAAGGCCCACTGCACTTCATGCCCCTTTTTTTCTGTCTTGCCATCTGTTCTATAAACTCGTGCATTTATTTTCTATGATGTCTCAGTTTGATTTCCGTTCATCAAGGAAGATCACTGAATTCCATATCCATCTTCTTTCAGAGCAACCCTGCCCAAACCTGAAGCGATGGAATCAACCCACCGGGATCGAGGGCATGAAAGTTCAGGACCATCCACAGTCCTTCGAGAATTCCACTGGGGGTGCTGATTTTTCTCGCCAGAATGAAATGAGATGAAATATTTTCATGCAGTTTTTTGATGGATTCAGCCGACGAGCATGCAACATCCATTTCTGATCGGGAAAATCATTTTTCTCATGTGTTCCTTCTTTGATTTAATTAAATCCTGATCCGGATTGGCTCGAGGATCTCTGGGTAGCTGCTGCCAAATCGTTCTAATGGGGGTCACTCTGGCTGGAAGGCATGTAGATTGTATTTTTTAGGGTTGCGTTTAAGCTGTTCTAGAGTTCACCGGATTTGCTGGATGAGTATCGGATTGGCCGCGAAAAGGCCCGAAAATGGTATGAGAGAAGGATTTTACAAGGCATGATTAGATATCAAGCATGGTTCAGGTGGGAATTGATGCCCACTTCTAGCTGAGGAATTACAAGATAAGAGAGAAGTAAGAGTACTATTGGTGGCGGAGTTGGATGGAGTATGAAATCTTCCGTGCAAGTATCTACTTATTTCTGTAGGAATATATGTACAGAACAGAAGGTGGGCTTCTGGACCACGCGAAGTGGTGATTGGTAGAAGCTTGGGAGGAAAGGCAGGGGGAGCAACCACGCACGAGACTCGCTGAAGCACAACAGGAGAAGCATCCGATACGAAAACCCAACAGAGAGAGAGAGAGAGAGAGAGAGAGAGAGAGAGATGGAGTTCTCAGGAATGGGGTTCTCAATTGTATCTCAGGTATCGGCAGGGGGGCTGGCGGCGGCGGCGGCAGCGCCGACGGCAGGCTTCTGAACGAGGAGTGGCTGGAGAGCCTTGACTACGATGGTCATGTTTGGCCTGAAATCAGACTCGTACTGCACGCATAGAGCCGCCACAGCTGCCAGCTGCAGGAACATGCACAGCCCTCGTCAGCATCCATACGTAGATAGAAGAACATATAGACGAGATAGAGAGAGAGAGAGAGAGAGAGAGACAGAGACAGAGACAGAGAGAGGGACCTAAGCAGATCCCTTTGGGTGCGTGCGTATATGTATGTATACATATAGGTTACACATAGAGAGAGAAAGAGAGAGTGAGAAATGCATATGGAGAGAGACAGAGAGAAGGATCTTTCTAAGCAGATAACTTTCGATGTATGTATGTGTATGTACACAGATAGATAGATGGATAAATAGATAGAGAGAGAGAGAGAGAGAGAGAGAGAGAGAGAGACCTTTGCCACTCCCTTGGGGGGGTACTCTCCTCGCAGTCTTGGGTCGACGCACTGCTTAACTTTATCTTCACTCAATCTTGGAGTTGCCTGCAGAGAGAGCATAGAACAGAATCAGTCACTTTACAGCCTCAGATAACACGACTGAGACAGCGCACTCAAAGACAGTTGACCGGATAGATAGGCAGCCGATTGGGTCAACCAGACTCACCCAAGTGACTAGACTCTGCTGTCCTCTCGGCATCGTGTGATCCACTGGCTTCCTGCCGGTCAACAGCTCCAGGAGGACGACCCCAAAGCTGTACACGTCACTCTTCACGGTCAGTTGACCGGTCATGGCGTATCTGCAATTCAACCAGATCATAGAAATCTTCAGATTCTCGTCCAACAATTCTATTCCAGGAATAAAAAGAACAGTAGTGGGATGATTAAAAGCCCTCATATCATACTTTATTTTCTCCAAATTGCAATCAAGACACAGATAATCCAAACTATAATCAACGTTGGAAGATTGCCATCAAAAAAAAAAAAGAGAGAAATTGAGGCACAACCCAGCTCTCCATCTAAACCTATCTAGAGAGAGAAACAGAGAGAGAGAGAGAGAGAGAGAGAGACGGCCTGGAGTGGTTCCAATGGCATCCCTGCAATGGACCCGATGTAGTAAAGTAGAGAAAAATGGTGAGGTAAAAGCGTGTAAATCGTGAGGCACAAGTGCCCAAGCAGCATTCTTACTCTGGTGCGTGGTAGCCGAAGGTTCCCAGAACACGAGTGGAATGAAGGCGTGCAGCCATGTCCGGAGCCTGATTCAGGAGGTTGAAGTCGGCAATCTTGGCCTTGAAGTCCTCAAACAGGAGCACATTGCTCGATCTGATGTCTCTGTGAATTACAGCAGGTTGAGCTTTCTCGTGCAGATACTCCAGTCCTCTCGCAGCATCCACCGCAATCCTCACCCGCTGCATCCAGTCCAGTGCCGGACCCGGTTGCGAGCCTTGAACCCCTTTCCTCCCTGAAGAGATAAAGATAGAGAGAGAGAGAGAGAGAGTCCATGAGGAATGGCTGACCAAGCATTGGAAGCGATGTGGGCCCAGACCAAGATATTACCGTGCAAGACGTCATGGAGAGACCCCATTGTGGCATACTCGTAGGCCAGCAGGCGAGTGTTTCCCTCAACACAATAACCCAACAACTCCACATAATTCTCATGCTTCAGCCTCGACACTATGGCGACCTGATTTTCGGAAACCCAGTTAGGAGAGAAGGAGAGAGAGAGAACTGTGCGGAGTAACTTATCATGCACTGGACGAACCTGGGTTAGAAACTCGTTGTTAGACTCGGGCTCAGATGAAGCGTCGAGTTTTTTGACAGCGAAATCTTTCCCATCATCATAACGAGCATAGTAAACCCTCCCATATGAGCCTTCCCCAATCAGACATTTTGAACCAAAATTATCGGTTTTCTCTACGAGTTCGTCCAAAGATAATGCAGGTACTTCGATAGTAGGCAACACGGTCTGTGGTTCAGAGTTAACTGCATTAGAAAGCTTCGAGTTCTTCGGATTCCCTGAGTTCACATGGAGAAGAAGAACCATGAGAGAATGGCCAGCGAGTCTTCGAGGACTAATGAGATAGAAACAAAGCACATTAAGTTATGAACCTAACAAAATTTACCAGAAAAGGTAATGAAGAGCGAAGTACATCTCTAGCTTGTGACAAAGTATCCTACCCGACTCCTTAATCTAGCGCACAAGAGCTTTTGTGTACACTCTTCTCCGCAGGCAACACACCCAGGGAAAGACAAACATTTCGATCCCCTTAGAGCAGCCATCATTGTCACTAAGGTGACAACATCTCTTCTACAGAGCCAAGAGGCTGTCAATGAAGATACGTTTTATAACATAGTTTCTCTCAAGTCTCTACAGGGAAGGCGGATCTAATGAATAAATGCTCCAGCAACTCGCAAGTAGTTTTGTAAAGGTCAACAATGTGTATTAGAAGAGAAGCCCTCCCTCCTTGAGCATTGCAACTCTTATCTATTGCAATATGATAAACAAAGTATTCCGCAAATTTGTTTCATCTAAGTTATTTCCGCCTCCAGACCCTTGAAGCCATAGCCAAAGAATCGCTTCAGCTTGCTCGATCTCTTCCTCCCTAAGGCATCATCTCCCTCGTCCCTAGAACCGAAAGCCTTCACTAATGTAGCATGTTTGTTCTGCTTTCCAGAAGGGCCAAAAAAAAAAGTGTCTCTCAATGGATGAAGTTCTACAGTCCATGTGCTTCCAAATTGTGTCTTTTGACAATGTAAGATATCTCTCCATGGTACTAATCTGCAAGCCTCAGGCACTATTTCTCCAGCACTTTAGCTTCATACTTTCCATTTCGCAAGTGAATAACCAAATCCAAAACTCTCCTCAGATTCCCAGCGTCCATAACCACTTTTTTGAGTTCTAAGATGCACACATGATTGCAAGACCCTTGCTTCTTGAGTCTTTCTCATCCTTTATAAGTTGATATCGCATCATCATCCGGATTTCTCCTTTACCGTGGTAGAAGAATCACCTCGAGATGATTTCCGAAACTTTTAGGAATCTTGAATAATGACGAGTAATAATTCTCTTAGCTATATAGGAATATCCTTACAGACACTAATCTCCCACGAAGTGAGAGTGGCGTCCAACTTCATCCTGCTATCTTACTATCAGATTTCCACGTGAATTTGAGCAATACTTGACATGCGGCAAATCCTTGGAATATGGCACTCCCAAGCGTGAAATTAAAAACTTCCCATCTTACATTTTTTAAAAGTATAGATGGTATGACAACTGATCTTCCTAAAAGCGAACTATTTTCGTATTTACCTTGAAACTGCTGGCCTCAGTCTGACCAAACATATTTACTAGGTATCCATGAACAAAATTGGTACCATCTACATATGTGATGCAAATCATGATTGATGAGAACATATGGAACATATGTGATGCAAAACATGCGCATGATGAGAAGCATTTGCATCCAAGTCATGGTATAAAACGCACGTAAAAATTATGCCAACAGAGTAACTCTTTAACAGGGGATAAAAATCAAGTCAAATCCATGCGGCAGACTAGTGAAGCTGAATACAACCATATAAACAGAAAATTCGATAGAATCAAATTGCATAGGTTTAATTCCTAACAGTCGGTGTAAACTCAATGTTCTCCTTGATTGAGTTATGCAAAATGCAAAGAAAACACTTTAAAAAAACTCTTGAAGAAATTGGACCCTGGTTATTGGTACCTGACCGAAAAGACCTGGAACCAACTCAATAAGTAGGTTAAGTATAGAAGAGCTGGTAATAAGATATATCTCAATCAAATGAGTATGTCCTTCACTTCTAGGGAAAATGGATGCGGTAGAAGCCCGCTGGAACTCCATTGATGTTTACCATGGCTTGAGTGGACAAGAATAGAAGCTCTAATTTAAGTCCTGACAAAGGGAGATATCAACGTTTGGTGGAGAAGTTTCTGTATTGGATATCATTAAGCCTGATAGTGTATATGTGACAAGTGTCATTGGACATTCCATACGTCCTGCTAGGAATATTCATGTGAAGGCTGTGAATAGAACTCTGCAAAATAACCATGGTCAACATGATCACACCAAGAAAATAGGGATTGATCGTCATGTCATTAGACTGAAACTTAACATATGTGAAATCTATCACCCGTAGAATCGTTCAAAAGATTTGGTAGCATATCCTAAATAACTATATAAGCCAGGCATTGAGCACTGAAGTCATTGGTGTCTTTTTATAGTTTACTGGAACCCAATAACTACGATCCCAATTATAGCATGTTTTTTACATTTTCTTCTTACATTCCTGCATTCTCCCTGTAACAGGGATTTACTTAAATCCACATGGGAGATACGGTAGGAGTTGCTTTAAACCATAAAAGTTACTCTAATCCAGCAAGCATTAGTCTCGGGATTCATTCAACACCCAAACGAAGAGATCCCGATAATAGTTCTGCTATATGTCATTAGAAAGATAGGGATCAAACAGATTATATAACTTTATCCTCCTCTACATTGAACCAGAAACAAACAAAACCAAACCAGAAGTAGATTATCATTTGGGGGAAGTCGATAGCTCAATGAAATCCTTAAATAATAAAAAATGAAGTACATAGAAGTGGGGCAGTAATCATACTTAGTTGATGAGCAAAAATTTTAAAAGGACATAATGAATTGCAAATCATAAAGCAAAAGAACAGACAATGTTCCTGGCTATGAAAATAAAAACTAAACCAAAAATAATGTAGGACCATATCTTGTTTAAAAATTTGGTTTAACTGGAAAATAGGGCCTAATACTTGGATTCATTTCCTATGGAGGCTCCTCAGGATAAAGCCTATTTTCCTTTTACTCACAAATAAATAAAAATAAAACATATAGTGATGATTGAGTATTCAGACAAATCACCAAACAGTGAAATTCGTAAAATATTGAAGGGCGAAACGAAGTCTTTTGGGTGGAACACAACTGCTTCTGTGTAAGCAACACATAGGTAGGACACAGCTTTGTGAGTAAGCACAAACCTATCCTATGGTGGACTTCTACGAAAGGGAAGTTGACAACAGCCACCCACCATACCTGCACGATTTAAGAAGCTACCCATCGAAAGGAGAAGACAAATGGTATCAGTTGAAAGGAAGCAGAGTTCAAAAACATCTGACTACGTGGCGAACCAAGGGGAGGATCCAAAAGGAGATGATAAAGCCACTAAGCATGCAGTAGGATTTCAGTAGGATTTAAGGCAAGTGGGTTTGCACAACAGGTAACAAATATAACCCAATGAAGACCAAGCTAAGTAGAAAAAAATTATACAGCAGAAAGCTATAAACGGAGCATACCATCAACATGATTATTCTCGTTGGACTGGTAATAATCATCCGCCTGAGAGGAACAACAAAACAACCGTAATGCTCTGTCTCTCTTCCTCATCTGCTGTCCACTATGGTGTCTCATATTACCAAAGAAAAGAGTTCACTGTATGACCACCTGTCCATCAACAGTGAAGCCATCAAACAGCAAGAAAAGATTCATAACCAAAAAAAGCATATAATTTCGACAAAATTTAAAAAACACGTGCAGATAGCGAACGAGGGTGAAGATGACAAAACTAATCACTCGGACATTTCTTCTCAACAATTGAAATTACTGTACACCTAATATATAAAATCTACGATAATGAAATAAATTATTAAGAGAAAAGGTCTCAACTCCGCGGTCATGTCTGTTCACAGATATCACAATCCGATCCGGGCTTATAATTTGTAAGTCTCACAATACGGCGCTAACATTGTCTTGAATGAAACGTGAAAAAGAAGAAAATTCACCCGTAAACCCTTATCCAGAACATCCTTGTCAACGATTGAACGGTACAACGAGAGACCACAATACGAAAGAAGAAACGATAGAGGAAAATTAATTTTCCATAAATCGAACAAGGACAGAAAGGAAGTAGCGCGTTGTTATCCGTCACAAATTGTAAGCACAGAAACAAAAAAAATCAAAAAAAAATCAAAAAAAGAGACGCCGATCAGATACCTCCAAAGGATAACCGTAGGAAAAGTACAAGCGTCAGTAAGACAAAAGGAGGCGAATTATAATCCCAGGCCAGGAGATGATATGCGAGGGAAAGGGAGAGAGAGAGAGAGTCGTCAAAATCAGACATCGCGAGTACAAAAAATTGTCTCGTAACCTATAAAGTGCGAAACAAACGATCAAGCCAAACTGCATCATGATAAACCTCCCAGTCGGTTCAATGTAAAAAGGAATCGCCACGACACTTGACACAGCGGCAGGACTTAACCTCGACGAGGAAACATCAGCACAAAGTTTTCCTCATAAAAAAAATAGCTCAGACAACCGTAGGAGAGACAACCGGAGGAATGGCGACAGGGATCGGAACGAAAAAATCGAGCCACAACAGAAACCCCGTCAAGTCTCACCTTGAATCATCCGGAGTCTGCACCTCCAGCTGCGCTCTTCCCCTGGGGTTAGGGTTAAGGTTTCCCAGTGCTGCTGAACCAGACGAGGGGAGAAGCAGGAGGAGGGAGGCAGAAGGAGATCTCGGCTTCCGGGGGAGGAACGGCGGCGGACGCGGAGGGAGAAATACGAAGAGAGAGGAGTGCGCGCAGCCCACCTGTCAAAGGAGACGCGGTTTCCCTCTCTCGACGGTTTCCGAGTCATTAAATATGACGTAGTTAAGTCTCCTCAAAGCAATATTCTCGGTAATTTTCCATTTATAGAAATTCGAATTAGTCGCCCAACAGAATGTCAACCGCTCCCCCCCCCGCTGGCATCAATGGTCCGGGCCTACAAACCAGACGGGCCTTCCCAATCGGCCTGTTAGTAACTAAAATTGTATCATTATTATTATCATTTAAAAAATAAAATAATACCAAAATATTAAATCAGAATCTCCCGGGGTCGCAAGCCGTTGCCGAAAAAATGGGTGAATCGATAAAAAAATAAAATCTGCGAATATAAAATAAAAGGGAAATTACATAATCAATTTATAATGGAATGTTCAGAACGTCAATGAGCTGACTAATGCACGACCGACGACCGCGCAGGTCCAGCCTGTTCGCATCAGATTCCGGCTAAAAGATGCAGACAAAGTTGTAAATTAAGTGAAGGATAAGCCCAATAAATTGTTACAGGCACACGCCACGGAGGACGTGACTGGGTAAGCCTACATATAGAGAGAGAGAGAGAGAGATGATGGAGAGGGAGGGGGGGGCTGCCACATGGGCATGGGCTTCCAGCCCAACTCGACGGGCTTAGTGGCCCATTAACACTTTTTTCGTATTCTTTGTGATGAAATAAATGTACAGGGAGTAGTTTCGTGATCTTCAGAGGGAGCAGATTTCCGGTTTCAGTGGAGCGACAGCAGGGGCGGCTACTCATCGTCGTCCCGCTCTCTCAGGGTACCTTCGTCATTTTCACGGCAACCAGATTTCTGATTTCAGTCGAACTACGGCAGCGGCGGCTTCTCATTGTTGTCCCGCTCTGTCAGGGGGCGCCGTGGCGATGCAGCGCCGCCAGAACTCGCCGGAATCGGATGGAGTACCTTCGTGATATTCAGAGGAAGCAGATTTCCGATTTTCAGTGGAGGGACGACAGCGGCGGCTTCTCACCGTCGTCCCGCTCCGTCAGGCAGCGCCGTGGCTATGCAGCACCGCCAGAACTCGCCGGATCTCTGCTCTCTCGGGATGCCGGTTGTTCCCTCCCGCCCCGAATTCCTCCACGGCGCCGCCGACGGCGACGAGACTGGATCCCGGCTCCTTCATGATCCCTCTCTCTCCCATCAGCCGGCGGATCCTCGTCGCGTCCCTCCACCGGTCGTCGGCGGCATACAGGTTGGAGAGAAGCACGTAGATCCCGCCGTCGGCCGGGGAGGATTCCTCGATGTAGTCGACGATCATCTGCCGGGAGATCTGGTTTCCCCCTGGGGCTCTGCAGACGCCCAAGATGGAGCACCAGATGAGGGCGTCGGCCTCCATCGGCATGGCCTTGATCAGATCGAAGGCTTCTTCCAGGAGCTCCGCTCGGCAGAGGAGATCCACCATGCAGCCGTAGTGCTCTATCCTTGGAGACAGGCCATAGACTTCGGTCATGGCGTTGAAGAAGAAGCGCCCTTCTCTCACTAGCCCGGAGTGAGAGCACGCGCCCAGGAGCACGATGAAGGTCACCTCGTTGGGGGCCACGCCACTCTTGATCATCTGATCGTAGTGGTCAATGACTCTTCTGCCGAAACCATGCATCGCCAGGCCTCCCAGGAGCGCGTTCCAGGAGAAGATATTCTTGTGCGGCATTTTCCCAAACAGGTGGAGTGCCATCACTATGCATCCAGATTTCGCATACATGTCGATCATGGCCGTGGATATATGCACATCCCAGAGGATGCCTCTCCGGTCTATGAATTCGTGGATCCATTTGCCTATCTCCAGTGCCCCCAAACTGGCGCAGGCCGAGAGAAGACTGGCAATGGTGACCTTGTCGGGCTCCAACCCGGAAGCCTGCATGGCGCGGAAGATCGCTAGAGCTTCCTTCGGTTGTTTGCACTGCACTAACCCAGTTATAATACTGGTCCATGAGATGATATCTCTGTGAGGCAACTCATTGAACAGCTTTCTTGCATCGACGAGGCTCTCAGATTTCACGTACATGTCCAGGAGGGCATTGCCCACGACCAGGCCGTTCTCCCACCTGAGTTTCAAGACGAAGCCATGGATTCTCCTTCCTGCGTTGATGTGCCCCAGCCTCCCGAAAGCGACAAGCATGCTGACCAGGGTTGCTTCATTCGGCTCCTCATCCATGGCCTGAAACAAGCTCACAGCCTCGTTAAGGAAGCCTCCTTTGACATACCCGGAGATCAAACCAGTCCAGGAGACGACGTCTCTAACGAGCATTTCATCGAACAGATTGCGGGCGTCCTCTGGTTTCCCGCAGGACCCGTACACATGGAGAAGGGCATTCTGCACGAAGATATCGCAGAAGAACCCTAGCTTGAAGATGACTCCGTGGATCTGCCTGGCCTCGCCGATCGCCAAATCCTTCGCGCAATGCCTCAGAATCACGGGGAAGGTGTACCTGTTCGGGAAGAAACCGCTGCCGATCGCGCACTTATACAAGGAAATAACCAGCCTCGGATTCCTTCCGATCGACGAACCAGAGAACAAGAGATTCAGGAGAAATGGAGATCGAAGCTGGAAGGGAACTTGCTGGAGTATCCGGCAGGCGTAATTCACCTGATTCCGGAATCCCGCCAACGACTGGATGAGCTCCGCCACGGCTAGCCTGTCACGTCCGGCCCCAGAGATCAGAAGCCGGGCGTGGATCTGCTTCAATCGGCCCACGCTTCCGGCTCCATGAATGAGGCCTAAGAAGTTCGATTTTACAGCGTAAGCAGGCTTCAAGCTCATTTCTCCTCCGCCCTAGCAGACGCCTTCTGGACGACCTCCGAGCTAGACGAAGAAGAAGATTCCATCGAGATATGTAAATCCTGAGAAGGTGGGGAGCTGCTAAGCTGCAAGGGACGTCCGTGTGAAGCGCCCACCGGCGAAAGATAGCTCGGAGTAATCGTTAAACCTTAGATCTGTAGCCCAATTCATTTCCCATAGAATTGTCGGCCCATTAATAAGTATTCCAGCCCATTAACTGTTCACATAGAATTAGCCGCCCATTAAGCGTAGACTCTAGCCCATTACTTTTCTCATAGAATTACCCACCCATTTAGAATACACTCCGGCCCATTCCACTTCCGATAGAATTCTTCGTCCATTAAGCGTTGTCTCTCGCCCAATAACTTTGCCCGTATAATTATCCGCCCATTAAGCATACACTCCGGCCCATTCCATTCACTACCGGATGGATCTCTGGCCCATTAGCGTTATCCAAATTTCAGCGAGAGAAATCCGGTCCACAGTGTTTGCTGGAGGGAGAGAAGGTGTATAACTGCAATTAAGAAAAATACTGGGCGAGTTCTAACTTTTTTTCGGGTTTTGTAAATCTCTTTAAGTCACAATCATTTACAAGTTTCACGCGTGCAGTGAATATCTATTTTTTTAATAAAGTCACCGATTATTAAATTAATTGACTTCCCACAATGTCGACATAGGAATATGAGAATGACCAAAAGGGTCATTCTTCCAAACCGTAAATAGTTGTAAGACCAGGGATAAAAATATAGTAAAAAATTTAGCTTTAGTCCTGATTAAACTCTTCAGTAATTAATAACTCTCAGACTTGTTATGATCAGAAAAGTAGGTTCTATATTTTTCAATCTTATCTGCTTTGGTCAGGGTGACATCTGTATCAGGGGAATATCCTCAGAATATCCACTTAATGTCATGTCAACTATAGCAAAATGACATGAAAAAACAGAAAAAAAACGCCGATAGAGAGGGAGAGGAGAGAGAAATAATGTTTTGGAAATATTTAAATCTTTGGCAACCCAAAACCAAGTCAACGATCCAAGCCCACAAATAGAAGGGACGAAGAGCTCATCATAGAGTCAATCTTCAGGGCACCCACGACCAAATTTAATTAGTGTAAAGATTGTAGATGTGATGTGTTTGAAATGATGTTTTAAATAATATGTATATCATTCGCTAATTTACCAAGCTTAATGTTCATACATGATTTCAATAATATGCAACCTACATCAGGTAAGCATTACTATTTGGGATCTAATAGTCTAACCCTTGAAAAAGTGAAAACATGTACTTATGTGCAATATAGGAGAACCTTATCTAAATGAAGAACAATTGGCACCATGCCGAAAACCATACATGTAAACGTCAACTCATGTACCAGACAAATTACAATCTTCAACGTTGACATCTCTTGTCATCCAGAAATGGCGTAGAGCATATGACCTTGGGGCTATTTTTCCATTTTTGGAATGAATGAGCGAGCTCCTCTTGCAGTGATGAGCTGACAATTTTGGGGAATTAGAGCTCGAGAAGCCTGATTATAACATATCTGATTAATCCCACGTGGAAAAATAATGGGTGAATGGACGTAAATATCCTTACATATGGCGTAAAGATCTGTGGGCACTGCGGGATTAACTTCTGACGTCTTCGGTCAAACTTCGCTAGCCTCCGCATAAAAACGGGAGGGAACGGAAGATCAACGACGGTTCGCCACGGAAAGCGGACGGCTCGGTGGGAGGCTCGCGGGTGGCGCCGCCGCCGCCGTTCCCTAAGCCGTACTCATCCCCCTCAAGGGGCGGATGACGTCACTGTTAAAATACGGCTTTTCCCGGAATAGTTACAAAAAAATGGGGGCTTCGGCGGAAGAGGATGCATAATTGAATCCACGTCATCCAAGATTTTTTATCAGCTTAAACCAAAGTCAGCGTATTTGATTAGGGTGACATTTGGGCAATTTGGGGGGTACGTGGCAGGAGGAGACGGCGGTCAGAGGAGCAAGGACTTTACAGAAAGGAGCGCCCCGAACTTCCTTTTTTATGTCGGCGGCGGACAATTGTCTGTCCGGAATATGAAGCGCCGGCGAGTTCTCCACCGTCCGATCTAGAATTATCTGCCAGGAAATTTATAATTTTAACCCCATAATCACACACATTTGTGGAAAAGTTCTGAAAAGTCCTATAAATGTTTCTGTGGGCACCCTGAATTATTGAAAGAGTCACTGTTTAAAACAATATTAGTGAAATATTATAAATAAATATAGTACAAGGTTTGATTGTAATAATGTAGCGTCGAGAGGGTGTTGGTGTTTCACTGAGAGCATCCATGAGGCAAGGGAGCGGTGGCGATGGCGACGGAGCTGTTCTCTCGGGCTTACTCCCTTCCTTCTCCCTACCTTCAACGGTGGGAGGACAGGTCCCATGGGGAGAGGGGGAGGGGGGGTTTGCCCACCTCCTCTTATTTATATTCCTGGTCTTCCCTCTCTGTCCACTCCTCTCTCTTCCTCCAAGCCTTCTCCTTGGCGCTGTGGGTCTCCTGTTCCGGTGAAGGAAGAGAATGGCGAGTACGAAAGAGTTCTGGTCGAAGAAGACACTCATCGGCCTCGCCCTTGGCCAGTTCGTCTCCCTTCTGATCACTTCCACCTCTTTTTCCTCGTCGGAACTCGCCAGAAGAGGTAACGTGCCTAGCCATTAGTCTTATCGGCTCTTGGGGATTTCGAAAGATGATCTCCAATCGGAGCAGATGTTTCCCTCTTCTTGGATGCCCGCCTGTGCTCTACAGCCTCGCGAGGGTCTGGCGGGTGGTCGGATTTAATCATCCGGATTCTGAGGATTACTCCATTCATTCTCTTCTTCTTCTTCTTCTCGGTGTGCCCACAGGAGTCGACGCTCCCACGTCACAGTCCTTTCTGAACTACGTTCTCCTGGCGGTTATTTATGGGTCTGTCATGCTCTACCGGAAGAGAGGTCTCCAGGTTAGCATCTGTTCCTTCGCTCTTATCTGTTCCCTTCTGCCACTTTTGATCCGACGGACTCGTTGCGGAGGAGATTCTTTCATACGAATAAAGGCTTTAATAGATCATGTAGATGAAAACTTTTTCTGGTGGGCCTGTTCGTTGTCTGTAGTTTTTCTGTGTGATTTTGCTTCTCAAACACTTCTGCTCATGCCGGAGACAGTTCTAAGGGACGACGCTAGCAGTGATTACCGTTGATAATAGGATAGCTTCCCCTCCTGGCCACCAAGCCGAGGATCAAATTTCATCATCAGCAGAATCCTCTGGTCATTCTCCAGGAAACTGATGCTTGGGTACTATTATCTGCAGATGAAATGGTACTACTACTTGATACTGGCTACCATTGACGTCGAGGCCAACTTCCTCGGTGAGTACATATTTGCAATGAGCCGAGATGAGATTCAATGTTCTATCCGATCTAGCTGTAGATATCTATAACTCAATCACTCTTATATTGGCTTGATGAAGCCCATCATTGATAAAAGTCGTCGATGAATATATGGGGAAAAAAGGAGTCTCCCAGCGAAATGGGAAGATCTACAGATGATTTATGCAGATTAATCTGACTCATGGGTAGTTTCTAGCTTTCAAAGTATGGATTTTTTTTTTCAAAGGCATCTTAGTTATTCAATGCCTTTTTTTCCTCCTGTCTGATCCTACGCAGTGGTGAAGGCTTATCAGTACACATCTATGACGAGTATTATGCTGCTGGATTGCTGGGTGATCCCATGTGTCATCGTCTTCACCCTGGTCTTCCTGAAGACACGGTACAGATACAGACACTACATCGGTGTAGCAATCTGTGTGGCTGGAGCGATCTTGGTTGTGTTCTCGGATGTTCATGCAGACGGCCGAGAAAGTAAGCAAAATTTCTACCAGATCAAATCTGAAACCATATCTTCTGTTTTTTTTTAAATCTATTTTCTTATGACTGGAAGTTTTATCTCATATCTGATTTATTGAATTTTTTCTTTTTTCGTCCAATTATGGCATGCATTTTCTGTTTTCCTTTGTCCTGTGCCCATGCTGATCCTTGCTGCTGTTTTACTTATCGCATAAGCCTCCGGAGAATTTCTACGTGTTCTTCTTTTCTTCAAATACAGTTGATTAGTTTCTCGAAAGTGTGTTTTTTTTAAATTTTTCTTCGTAATTTAAAGTGCTCATCCTTCTTGGCTTTCAGAGGGGAGCAGTCCAGTGAAAGGGGATCTCTTTGTGATTGCTGCGTCCACGCTGTATGCAGTCAGCAACGTCAGCGAGGTAGGGGCTTAAAGCTATACAGAGATATGCGTATTGACCATGCTTTTGACATCAATCATGATCGAAAAGAGGCAGAAAATTCTTGGCCCATCGAGCCAATGGAGATATACCCAGTGGGTAAAGAGGGCTCCCTCTGGAAGGAAAAAACTACTTGGTGGAAGACCCACCTTTGAGCGCAGGATTTGATAAATTAGGTTTTGAAGATAATCATAGATGGAATATACCCTTCTTTTTTGGGGAAAAATCACCCTTTTGGGTTGAACTACGAGTCGTATGAGCGAGCAACAGGTTGAAGAAGCTCCGTGGCTTGAAGATTATTTGTCGTCGCTAGTCAATCATCTTTTACAGATAATCCCTCTGTTTCGTAGAACCCAGGGTCGCCATAGCATATCATCAAGCTACATCTCGATCGTCTTCCACTGAACTTTGCTTTCCGGTCTCTTCTTCTGCAGGAGTATTTGGTGAAGGAAGGGAGCAGACTGGAGCTGATGACGATGCTGGGCATCTTTGGAGCCGTAGTCAGCGCCATCCAGATGTATCCTTAGTCTTGGTCGTACGCAGATTTTTTTTTTTTTCATTAAATTCTGGGATGGAGTTTACCTGATCAAGATGGAACATCAGAACGCAAGTCAAATCAATTTTTGATCCTTAACTACTTGTACAGAAGCATATTGGAACGGGACAAGCTTGCCTCTATCCACTGGACTTCCGGCGCAGTTAGTCTTCTCCCTCCTCCTCCCCCTTGCTCCTTCTCCCCAAGAATAATAACCAACTGGGCATGATTTGTGTTCGTGGCAGACGCTGCCGTTCGTCGGGTTCTCGGTGGCGATGTTCTTGTTCTACTCGACCGTGCCCATCCTGCTGAAGGTCAACTTCCAGCGAGCCCATTCCCTGCGGTTTCCTCTTCCTTTCTCCGGTCGCCGGCGGCGGCAAACTGAGTCAAAAAAATTTCTTTGCAGATGTCTGGGTCGGCCATGCTGAACCTCTCGCTTCTCACCTCCGACATGTGGGGCGTCTTGATCCGCACCTTCGCCTACCACGAGAAGGTTTCTCTCTCCCGAGTAGAAAAGACGGCTCTTTTATTCGAGAAATTCACCCGTTTCCCCCGCAGGTGGACTGGATCTACTTCATAGCGTTTGCAGCCGTCGTCGTCGGCCTCGTGGTGTACTCTGGGTACTTCTCCCTGCTCTCTCATGTCGAGGAGAGAGAAAGAGAGAGAGAGAAGAGAGAGAAATGAGTTATTCAGTTCGATTCGTGGTGAAATGGTGGCTTCTTGCTTGCAGGAGGATGAAGGAAGGTGGAGCGAGAGTCCAAGTGGCGGAGAACGACGGCGCGGGTCAAGGGGATTTGGAGGCGGTGGTCGGATACCCGGTTGGGCCGTCGGTGCCGCCGGAGGAGGCGAGGTCGAAAGACATCGCTGGGAAGGTCAACGGTGCCCTTCCAGCCGCGGCTTGAGAGAGAAGCAGACGATTCTCCTTCTCCATCCATATTCCCTGAGCCATTTGCAGGCGGCCATGGAGGAGGACAATCAACTGAGGACGAATCTGTTGGGGCCAAGAAGGGCCTCAACTGGCGGGTATAGCATACAGGGTTGGAAGCAAGCTTGTATTCACTGTTCTTCTTCCCTCTGCGAATCTTCTTATTTATAGTCGCGAGTAAACATCTCACGAGTAACTTCTGTCAGCATCCATCCAGGAAGAGTTTTCCCGGGATTTATCAACAGGGCCCCTCTAGAGAGAGAGAGGGAGAGAACCGAACGGTGGGCATCGAGCAGGGGAGAGATGGTACCCATTTTCATTCTCCTTCCAGAGGAGAGAGAGAGAGAGAGAGAGAGAGAGAGAGAGAGAGAGAGATAACGGGGGAGGAGAGAGAAAATGGGAAGATTCTCAGTCACCTTGGGGGGGCGTCCGCCACCTTGGACGTGGGCAGAGCCATGGCGTTCTTCTGGTCAACCCCAAGCCACTGTTTAAGCAATTCGAACACGGTCTCGTCCCGCAGCAAGCCCCTGTGGTTCGCAGGGACGCCCATTCTGGCCGCCGCAGGGAGACCATCCGCCTACGGCAGAAGCAGGGGGGAGGGAGAGAAAGTCAGGCCAGTCATTTCAATTGAGAGGAAGGGGGGAGAGGGTGGTCTGTAGTTTGGAGTGATGGGGAAGGAGATACCACCTTCGCTGATTCGGCAGGAACAGTTCCGTCGCCATCTACATACGAATACTCAGGCTGTAAAGTTAAAAAAAATGGCGTCATCAGATGCCAGATTGATATTGAAATCAGAAAAAATTGAACAGCAAGAGGAAAACTGGGATCATCTTTTCTGGGTCTCTCTCTCTCTCTCTCTTTCTCTCTAGTGCCTGGATACCATTTCTCAGGCAAGATTATGCTACATCAATTGGGAGAAACAAATCGCCTACCGTTGTGTGGCAGACTTCAGACAAGTCACCGATGGGTGAGTCTTCTGAGCCGTAGCTGCATTAACAGGCAGAGAAGCATTAACCAGGGCCACACTGAGGCAAGGGCTCCCCATACGAATGCTTCAGACAAAGTCAGCTTTAACTTTCAAAAAGAGAAGCATATTATCATTCGATGGTTCAGTTTTCAACTGAAGATGGTGGATGACCAAAACAGCCTTTTTCAGACACCGGTGGGGTACCCATCAATGTCGCAAGTCTAATCTATATATGCATATATATATGGAGATAGGCTCATTTTGGGGCGTACCTGACATCAAAAGGTGTGTCAAATGATGTCCCGTATATGCTATAGAAGGAGACATTCTCGGGCAAACTGGCATTCTCGAGGGTTTTGCGAGTATCAGCAGCCCACTTGAGAATGGAGAGATTGAAAGGCACCGGGACAGACTTCCCATTGTACTTTACCTATCCATAGATGAAGAAACGGTTGGGGATTTATGTCTCATTCAAGTCTGATACGAGAGAAGGGGAAAAGAAGAAAAGAAGTAAAGAAGGAGAGGAATTGCTTTCTGAATGGAGGGTTAAAATTTCCACGATAGTTAACTGGAAGGTTCCCAATAATAAAAAGCTAAGACCCTGATTCAGGTTTAGCGGGCTTAAGGTAATCTGGGACTTTCAAACTCGCTTTCAATGAATGCCGTGCATCTGGAAATTTTCAAGCTAGACAACTGAAGTGAAAGAATTCGAGGGCAAACGAGCTCCACTGACATTCAAGTAGGGAAGAAATCTACTGCTACGACAACATCCAAGGTCTTCGATATAAAGAAATTGCAGCTATTCTACATGCAGAGAACTTGAGGGGCGGCTTCCCGCGAGCAGTTTTCAATGACTGAAAAGGTAGATCTAGAAAGCATGTTAATAATAGGAAGAATAATTTGGAACATGTTTGGAAGCTGAAATCTAGAAAGATATTTTAAAAAGAATTCAGTAAGTCAATATGCTTGAATTCAAGCACCTCATTGTTCCTCAGCGCTTCTTCAAATAATGTAGTGCTCTCTGTTGAATCGTATGTGTCCAGTTTCACCACAGAGCCATCCTTGCTATCAGGTTGTTTTCTCCAGACATTGATCAAAGGCTTCCGCTTCCACTTGAATTCTGGGTTCGGTAACATTTCGTAGATGGACGGGCATTCAACCAACTGCATCATAAAAGGTTCTCTTGTCTCAAAAATCATGCCCATTGTCAAAGTTTTATGATATTTGACGATTACTAGAAAGGCCTACGAATGTTTTCTTTCTATGCTTTGGATGGATGTTAAATTAATCACTATCCATAAACACAACAAATCTGTCCACTTCCATTGATATTTCTGAAAATCGATTTAGGAGGGATTGAGAATTACCAATTGATGCATGGTCCATCTAGATACGAAAAAGAAGCTCTCAAATCCGTCAACAAACTGCAACCCGGTTAAAAGACAATCATTGATGTATCCTGGTGCACCTGTACCGAAAAGGCCATCAGTGAAGAGTAACAAGTGATTTCCTCTGATTTCCACTTTGTGATGCAAGCTGATTCCGCGATGTGGAGTTAACCTGTCAATGGCTATTGATTACCTTGGAATGGAGTTGCAATGCAAATCCACTTGCTTACGTACTTTTCAAAAACCTGGAGTAGAATTGGGTTAAAATGAAGGCATCGATGACAAGGAATTGAGAAGGTACCAATGAATGAAAATATCACTTACATCTTTGTGTAGGGATAGGAAGCACCGAACAAGTAAACCTCCCATGGAATGTGAAATAATCTCCACTTTCTTCCCCCCTGAGGCCTTGTAAGCCGTGATTAGTTTCTCTTTTAGGGCACTGATAACTTTATCAATTCTGTCAAAAACAATTACCAAGATGAAACCAATATCCAGGGTATAACATTTCATAAATTTCACAAAATTAACTTTCATTTTATGCCAAATAGCTGGTCTAAGAAGATACTTAACCTGTTGCTTTGTCGAAAGTCATAACCAAATCCAAAAAGTGTGGTTCCCTTCTGGTATCCGCAACCAATAAGCATATCAATCATATCATGGAAATGATAAACGTCGGTCAAATGTACAAGTTTTGTAAACTGTATCACCAACGCACAACGTTAAGCTATGCCATATAAAAGGTCCTAAGATTATTGAAAATTATCATACATCAACGAATACAAAATGTTACATCCCGTACAGTTTTGACTAAAAGGGATATCAATAATAAATTCAAGAAGACTAATATCTCTTAATTCAACAATATATATATATTTTACCTCTCCCTGGTTTTTACATACGAGCAATAAAAAAAATAAATCAGGCTGCCGTTATCTGTGTAAACAGACCTTCCTCCCAGCACTTAAGAACAAGTTCTCTTGAAAAAAAAAAAAATCCGCTGAAACATCTGCTTAAATTGTGCAAGGCAACAGGAATTTTACTGCTTTGGATTCAATGAAACTTTTGTCTGTCTGCCTCATCGTGCATGATTATAGATACATATGATTCTTCAACAAAAACAACTTGTTAAGAAAAACTGTACCGATTCACCTAAGGAACAATGATTCAACAAATTTAAGCCTAACATGGGTACAGATGTACTCTCTTCAAGTAAATCACGTCACAGTGCAGCCTCCACGAAGACAAAGTCAACACATTTCTGCCCATGATGTCCTGACTTTCTTATGTCATAACACATTGGCAATCATGTTTTCTTCTTGCACGTGGGGAGACGATTTCAACGCTGATTCAAACTATCAAATCTATCGCAAAAAGAGGGTTTGCGTAAATCCCTAAAATAACCATAATTGTGGAAAAAGCATTACTTTATTCACATTCGTGAAGTAATAAACTGCAAGCAACCATAGAATGACGAGGAAATTCGAAATGAAGAAAGTGAATGATAATGATCAACAAGAAAAACGGAATATTTTTTCCATAATTTTACTTACCCACGATGGATCAAGAATGTCAATTGCATATAATCCATAGTCGTCGTCAGGAACAACAATTTCAATGTGAGGATCTAAACATTCTGTACAGCCTGTCAAATCATAACTGTATGTCATTCCAGTAACTTTGTAGCATAATTTGTAGAAAATGCTTTAATACAATTTCATCGCTAATATTGATGATACGAAGAGATCTTTGGGCTGATACACGGAAGTGATGTGTTTTAGTTATTTAATAGGTTTTTGGTTGAACTTTACGGTTTTTTATTTTTGACGTCACTTGTTAACAATCGCAAATAAACGTGTCATAGACGTATTTCTATTTTTTTTCGTACAGCCATATTTTCCCAAAATTTGTTAGCATTATGAGGACGAAATGCTAACCAAAATTGGGCGAATGAGACCGTCTGTTGACAGACCATCCAGGAGTTCACTCAAAATAAAAATGGCAGCCACAGGTTCGCAATTACTGTTTGCATGCTTGCAGACGGACGGGTTATTTATCCTACGTATGAGAAACACTTTCTATGTTCGGCATGGTATACGTTTCAGACGATGCTAGTCAGCATTCGAAGCGGTTTCCAAACTGAAGAGCGTTCCGAGCATGTATTTTATTGAACCGACACCAAGGATAATAAAAAACATGCGAGTTTGCATTTCTCAGAGGATCAATGTATACGTGTCGGAAACCAGAAAAGTGCACAAATAAACACATGCTTTGCGATTCCATCGGCAAGACGAGAGATAAACACTCACCAGTCTCGGGGTTGAAGAGTGACCAGAGTTTCCTGAACTCGAGGTCCGCCAGCAGGAGCCGCACCCATACGCGCAACTCAGCCCCCGTCTCCTTGCTCCTCGCGTTCAGGATCGACCCTCCCATGCCGGAGACGAGCAGGACCGGGGCGAGGTCCTGGTCACCGCTCCTCCCCACCGACCGCCGCTGCCGTCGCCACCGCAAGCACGAGGCGAACATCCCGCAGCCGCCACCGATCATCTCAGCCTCCCCCGGGGGCGGAGAGGAGGATCGGCCAGTAGCATCGGAGCATATTCTCTGGTTCCTCCGGTTTCAGTGAAGGAAATAAATTCCGTCCCGAGCAAGGACGCTGAGTTGACCAGTCAGTCTGAGCTTTCAATCTCTCCCCCCGAGTTTTCGCGCGGATTGGACCATGAGCAGTTAATGAATACAACGTTGGACCGGCGGCAGAACACTGTTAAACGGTGTCTCGTACTTTCCTTCCACGTGACGCCATCCCATTCCACGCCGACTCTTCATCGTCCGCGCGCGTCACCAGGACGCGCGGTGAGACATACACGACACGGCACCTTAGCATACTGCCAAAGAAATCTTAAAATAGAAACAAATGGAAATGTGGCACGCGAGACACGTACATCCTGATAAAAAGCAACTCCCCGGTTTGGGCCATTCCGGGCCTCATTTTCATCTTCAGGCCAAAGCCCATTGCTAGATTGAACAGGACGCCACATTCGTAGAGAGTATGAGATGAACCCAAAGCTCGACGAATTATGAAGGAGAGGAGATGGGCTTCCGATGATCACTCCACAAACACTTGAATCCGGTCACCCCTGGCGTCGTCGATGTCCAGAAGCACCTTCCCCACTTGAGAACCGTCGACGACGACATCCTTGGCGGCATCTTCCAGCATGTCCATGATATTCACACCTGCCAAGCCTGAGGCAAAGAAGCCGCCTTTTTTTCACAAGAAATTTCCACAAGAAGGCCGATCTCGGGTGGAAGGAGTTTCCATACCAGGGATTATCTTGGTCGCTCCTTCAAGGAAGCCCGCCTGCATGCAAGCACATCAATGCGCCATCAGATGGGTCCTCGTGGGCTGAACGCCCCCCACAGTCATGTTCCTTAGATGCCATGGGGCCAGAGGCTTACAGGAATCCTGATGTCAAGTTTGTCGAACCCATCCCTTGCTGTAATCTTGATCCTCAGGGTGCGGGACCATATTCCAGAGAGGAGGCCCCTGGAATCATATGGGTCGCTGTTCTGGAGCACTTCGACTTTAGGGTATGCTGGTTCGGTGTAATCACGGCTGGTTAGTTGGGCTGTGTAATTATCTGCGCTGGCAGAATTGTCGCCGGTTGTACAGAAAGTAGAGAGGATTAGAGGTGGAGTTAGAGGTATGGAAGGGGGTGTGAGGCACAGAGGAGCACGCACGTACCGCTTCGAGTGGAAAATTGAGAGACAGTGGTGGTGTAACGCTTCTCTTCTTCATAGTAATTGTTGAAGCCGATGGTATCTTTGATTTCTTCGAAAGACGGCAAGCTTCCGGGAGGAGGGACCCGACCGCTTTTAATTGCCACGAGTGCATCCTAGAAATATCGATAATTTGTCAAGCGAGGCGAGGCCCAACAAAGATTCTGACCAAGATGCAAAATGATGCCTGTGATTGAGGACAATGAGGCATATCCTAAGAAATATGGGCATGAATGAGAGACCAAATATGAGGTTGTGTACCCAAGAAATATATTCAAGATGTATTCTTACACGCTCTAAAATCATCTAAGGGATTGCATACATTCTCCAACTCTCTAGTTCAAAAGCATGGAAAATTCAAAAAAATGTAGTGTTATACTTTGTGTGCATCGAAAATGACATTAGTGAACAGATTAAATAAAGATCGTGATTTTTAAATTTCCCACCTGCATTGCTCGGATGGAAACCCCAATCAGGGAGAGTGGATAGCTGACGATTTTAAAGCCCAATTCCTCGAGTTCGATTGGGTTCAGTATGGGGGTCTTGCCCCCACCTTCAAGCATGTTTGCCTACAAGAAAATTTTGGACCCGTTAGCTGCTGGCGTAAAAACTTTGCACAAGCAATATCAAGGCGGCATACCATCTTAGGAAGAAGAGGAGAAATATCACACAAGGCTTTCATCTCTTCTCGAGAAGCAAGTGCATCAATGAAAAGGACATCTGCTCCAGCATCAGCAAAGGCCCGTGACCTCCAAAGTGATTCTTCCAAGGATACAGCTTGACGAGAATCAGTGCGTGCAACGATAACAATGTCAGAACCACTTTCTTCCCGAGCATCAATTGCTGCCTTTATGCGCATCACTGACTCCTCCCTTGAGACTACTTTCCTCCCCTGAGTATGCCCGCAAGCTTTAGGCAACACCTGTGGAAGAGGCACAGGAGGAAGACAAGATACTCTCAATCCTAGTTCTTCATTGCAACCATCAGTATCTCCAAACTAAGAAAACTAGTACACTATTTTTTTTTTTTAAATCTACAAGTGGACTCACCACAGTCAATGTTTTTAAATAAGAATCATCTAAAATAATAAAAAAATAATTTTGTCATAGATAGTTAACCTGATCTTCAAGAATGATTCCTGCAAAACCAGCTTTGATAAAGCCCTTAACAGTCCTCTTAACATTCATATGATTACCATATCCATTATCTCCATCTCCAATAACAGGAATTGAGACAGCTTGAGTAATTTGTGCCCCTTGATCAACCATTTCACCGTAAGAAATAAGACCAACATCTGGCAAACCCAATCTAGCAGCTGAAACTGAAAATCCTGAGAAAAAGAGCCGGCCGTTAGAAATCTTACCCTTTGCACTGGATGATTCTGTAAGAGTTTTGTCATTTTATATCTCAAAAAAACATTGTGAATACAATGGAGGTACACGATGAGGCATGACATGAGTGTTTGAGAAGAAATCGACTTAATTACTAATCCATGGATACAATTAAAAAATTCGCCGCTCAAAATTTCTGCAACAATGTTGCTATTTTCATTGTGTTAAGAATAAAGTGTTAACAGTGACCTGCCTTTCTTTCAAGGTTTCGTCCAGAAGCATGGACAGGAAGATCTTGTCGAGACTTTCTAGAAGGCCGTCCAGAGGCGAATGCACAGTGATTCTTCCCTCTCACAGTTTCTTCTTACCTCACCGTCACTATCACGTGAAGAGCGTATAAGAGGTCATCCATAAAATTCCGCATGCCTCTAATATCTTCATTGAATAATCTGGGATAAAATGTTTTAAAATTATGTTCGTAAAATGCAATTAAAATTTACTTGCTTTATCGATCGTACGTTCGATGAGCAAACTTTAACCTAACAGTATGACAAAAAGACATGATCAAGTAAGCACACATTCAAGAAAGAACGTCCAAATAATAACCATCGCCCCATGCTGATAGAGACGGAAAAAATAAACGCCTATTTTTTCCCTATCGGAAAGAAAAAGTGAAGCAAAGCCCCGGTGGGATATATCAAACACCTACCGCTCGTGAAGCAGAACTTGAATCCCGCGTGCTCAACGAGCTTAGCACTGAGGGCGTCGAAGCAAGCGGGCCCCTGGTGGATCCCTGGTGACTCCAGAATCTTCCGCAGAGCCTTCGCCGGAGGGTCAACCGAAGAGGAGCAGCAAGATATCCGGCCGACGCCATTCCCCTCCAGTTTCCCGAGCGAAGGCCGCTTCGAAGGGAAAGAGGAGGCCATCCGCCGGCGTCCAGGGTTCAATGAAAGAGGCAGCGAGCGAGCGGACGGTCTCCGGGAGCAGGGACATCGGCGAGCATGGCGAGCGCCGAGGAAGGTGGGACTCCCGCTCTGCGCTGCGATCATGGCGGAAATTCTCTCCGAAGGTCCAACTCCCAGAGAAATGGCCCAAAGGGAGGTGATAATAGTTAAAGAAACCATCTATTGGGTTGATAATGGGTCAAACGCAGATTCAGGACGGGCCGAAAAGCCGGATTAGAACTGCCTGTAAATCAGGCCCAGATCCAGGCTTCATCTCTCCATGACGAGCAAGGGGGGAAGTTTAACCGAGTTATTATTATTAAAATATTAATATTTAATGTATAAATGAGAATATCGTCTTGCATTCTTTTTTTTCTTAATTGAATATAAATCATTCATGGTATTTTAAGGGTGTCAAATGGATGGCCCGGCCCAACCAGGGGTCTCATTGAACTGGATCTGGGTCGGCTACGCTATGAAGTCCTAGCTTGCATCGGCCCAAGCCCAATATTTTTATGGGCCGTGATATGACCCAATGTGCCCTAATTACTCATACCAGTCAGTTGGAGGGAGGTGGGGAATATGATTGGGAAAAGGGTGGGCAAGGAAACAGGCATGACAGGAGGCAGGGCAGGTTCAGGGGATCGGGGTGAGAGAGAGAGAGAGAGAGAGGGAGAGAGAGGGAGAGAGGGAGAGAGAGAGAGAGAGAGAGAGAGAGAGAGAGAGAGAGAGAGAGAGAGAGAGAGAGAGAGAGAGAGAGAAGAGGTCAAAGTTCCGGAGAAGGATAGGGGGGGAGGGAGAGTGACAGAGAGTAATAGGAGACGAGGTCCAAGTTCCGGAGCCGATGATACTTCCGCCAAGTCGAGCTTAAAACCCTGTCTATACCTTGTGTTGAAAATGAACCCCAGAAGAAGAACGCGGCGGACTTCCACTTACTCGGAAGACTAACACCGAAAATGTAAGACCCAAATCGATTTTTTTGCGTGTTGACATACCTGATCTTGAATCCATTTTTAAAAGTTGGCGGAAGAGGCGAGGGCTTTTCCAGAGTCTGGTCCGAAGAGGTCAAACTATTGAAGGGTGACGATATTAAGAGGAAAATACGGCACACGAGTGAGTTTTTTAAAATTTAGACAGGTTTCCTGGGATACGGCATTTCATGATTTTCTCCCTGAGATTGACGTGGGATTGACGATGGTGAGTGCAACAAGAAAGAAGGAAACTCCGAGATCAGGGAGTGACGATACCCTTGACTGGTGCGCCTCATGGCAGTCGACTCTCTCGTGTGATTCCGTCATTCATGAGCCAGAGCGAAAGGCTGGTCGAGCTTCTACTTTGGGTATTCAGGCTCTCCCTCTCTTTCTCTAGATATCTCTCTCAATCTCCGTCTATCTGTCTGTCTATCGGACTACTCTCCCAGAAAAGTCCCCGCGGCCCGCTTTGGCAAGATCTGGGAATCTTTCCCGCCAGATCCGTGAAATCCCTCCCGCAAACTAGCGTCCGCCCCGCCAAACCGCCCTCATAGACACTCTCGCCTTTGCCATGCCGTTCGTGGATGACCTCAATGAACCAAAGAATCGAGCATCCGGCTGGCCTTCCAAGATCCGGAGAGGAGCTCGTCCCAAGTGAAGACGAGAACGATAGAACACACAGTGGGATGCTCAAACAGGTGTCTATGTTTTATGACAACGTACAGGAGGAGCATACCATGTAATATTGGAGAACAAACAACCAGAAAAAAATGAAAAACGCGACCATGTCCGGAGGATTCAGAAGGAACCCTAAACCAGCACCTGAGGTGCCACTTATTTACGTTCTTGTTGCGACAAAGAGGCCTACAACGCAGCAGGATCGTGGATGAGGATAAGCGTTGTCAGCATAGAAGATACTGGCCACGCAGGTACTAATCGAGAGAGATCCCCGAGGGAGAGCCAGGCGACGGAGGTAGTGAGCTATCGTAGTATGGCGGAGAGGGAGACGATGACTGTGGGGGTGGGGATTTTTAGTAGTAGGGAGGAGGAGGCGACGGTGAGGGTGGTGGTGGAGACTTGTAGTAGTAGGGAGGAGGAGGCGACGGCGAGGGTGGGGGTGGGGACTTGTAGTAGTAGGGAGGAGGAGGCGAGGGTGAGGGTGGGGGTGGGGACTTGTTGTAGTAGTAGGGAGGAGGAGGCGAGGGTGAGGGTGGGGGTGGGGACTTGTAGATGTAAGGAGGAGGAGGCGAGGGTGAGGGTGGGGGTGGGGACTTGTAGATGTAAGGAGGAGGAGGCGAGGGTGAGGGTGGGGGTGGGGACTTGTAGATGTAAGGAGGAGGAGGCGAGGGTGAGGGTGGGGGTGGGGACTTGTAGATGTAGGAGGAGGAGGCGAGGGTGAGGCGAGGGGTAGTGAGGGTGGGGGTGGGGACTTGTAGATGTAAGGAGGAGGAGGCGAGGGTGAGGGTGGGGTGGGGACTTGTAGATGTAAGGAGGAGGAGGCGAGGGTGAGGGTGGGGGGTGGGGGACTTGTAGATGTAAGGAGGGGAGGAGGCGAGGGTGAGGGTGGGGGTGGGGACTTGTAGATGTAAGGAGGAGGAGGCGAGGGTGAGGGTGGGGGCGGGGACTTGTAGATGTAAGGAGGAGGAGGCGAGGGTGAGGGTGGGGGTGGGGACTTGTAGATGTAAGGAGGAGGAGGCGAGGGTGAGGGTGGGGGTGGGGACTTGTAGATGTAAGGAGGAGGAGGCGAGGGTGAGGGTGGGGGTGGGGATTTGTAGTGGTATGGAGGCGGAGAAGGGTAGTAATAAGGAGGAGGAGACGGAGGCGGTGGCGGCGATGGAGAAGGATGCGTGGGTGGTAGATACCCCTGGGCCATCGCACCACGGACATTACCCGCCAGGAAGATCACGGCCAAGGTGATTGCAATGGCCGCCGGCTGGAGGCGACGACCCCTTTCAGGGGCGTCAGGATGGGCGTAGCCCATGGCTCTCCTCCTCCCCCCACTCTGCGGACTGCTCCACGAGAAGTGTAGGGTGAAGCCGAGAGATGAAGGCTAGCTATCGTTGTTTGGATGAGACCCTTATCACCGAAGAGACCCATGTATTTATAGACCTCGAGAGAACAGCACGTAGTAGGTAGGCAGGCAGATGCAGGTGAGGCCTACCTGCCTACCGAGACCTCGCCAGCGGAGGCATCGTCGGCGACGTGACCCACGGCTTGGAGTGGGTCACCGCGTGGGGGGCCGTTGATGGAGTCTGGCTTGGAAGCTTCTCGTGTGAGGAGCCAGATAATAGAGGAGAGGAGGATGTAGCGAGTCAAGCCACGCGAAGTTATGGGGGCGGTCGTGGAAGGTTAAGGCAAAAGGTGGGAGAAGAAGTCGTAGGAGGGGTGTACTTGATTGACTCTGTCATCGCCAAGGCGTGTCATCCGCCTTTGGCAATGGAGCACTAGAAGTCCGTCGGGGTTGCTCTCCGCGCCTTCGTAAACTGTGGGATTAGACTCTTTTATGAAATACTATGCACTGTGGTTTGCATCTGAATGGTGTTTAGAGATGCAAGGGAATTAAAGTGAATACAACTAAGTATCAAAACTGTTTAAACCTGTATTTTTTTATTAGCTCTTCTTATTCATTGGGGTGTAGCATATTTGTAACTTACAATCAATTTGGTCTCCAAGACAAGAAAGAGAGAATTTTTGAGTGGTTTGGCTCATAGCCTATATGCACTATCTTAGGAGCTTCAACTTTTTGAGTTTTTTCTCTATGTAATTACTCATAGACTTAGAGGCTAATTTGAAGTGACATTAAGATCAAGAACCAGGGTGGGAGGTTAAATTGATCTTATCCTAATATTAATTTAGTCAACTATAATATTTTTTTTGATCTCCTTGATTTGAGCCTAAATTATTATAGATCTTCTAAATTTAAATCTTGAACATTCTAATATTTTATAGTGGTTTAGTCTCTTTGTCTACATCCACTATCTAGGAACATCTCATTCTTGAGTTCTACTAAACCAAACCTTTAGTCAACCACTACTGATTATCAAGATAGGCTATCACAAAATTTCACCCCAAAATTTTCTTTTAGATTTTTGATTCTAGGTGGCCAAAAATTGGTTATGGATATCAACTCTTTTGAGTTTTATATTAATATTTAATCCCATTTTTATCTTATAAAATATAAAATATATTATTATGATTTTACAGAAGACTTGAATCACATCCAAAAATTTGATGAAGAGGAAGTTAAATTTTGCTTAACTTTTATTCTCCTCTTCTTGTGAGGAAGCTATTTGATTACTGAAGCCATTGCCATTATAAGTAAGTTGAGGAAGATTATATTTGAATTAGATTTTTCTCCTCAACTCAATGTCTTCTTGTTGTTATACGTAGATGCGAAGATCATTTAAATTAATATGTAAGATTTGAATAATTGGTTAGAAAGAAATATAAGAATATAAAGATATCAAGTATGATTGTTCAAAGATAATTAACCATTATAGAAAGAAAAAAATATGGAAAAGTTTGATTTAAAATCTTCCCTTATTTTGTGCAATTTTTCAATATTAAAAATCTAAAATTATTTAAAAAATTGATTGGTCGAAAAATAAAGGTATGATGCATCCTTAAATATTTAGATATTCTCTAAAGTTTAAACAATAAATGTAATCACTAAGTATTAATGTATATATCCGAAGCTAACAATTATTACATGTTTGAGAATAATTATAAAACATCAAAACAGAACCATAAATACATATCCAAATAAAGTATTCAATTTACAATTAAATTAATTTAAAAATTACCTCAAGTAAAATGTGAATACGAAGTAGACATACTTGATTTTGATTTAAATATATATATTTTAGCTGTAATAAAAAAATAATTTTGAGAGAAAAAATCATCAAAATTCTAGAATCCAGGATATGAGAATCAAACACATTTCTTAAAGTATATTTAGGATATTTAGCATTACTAATATATATTATCTATAAATTCATATTTAATTAATTTCATGCTTGTGTCCAAGAGATTATTAGAATCATAAGAAAAAGTGAAGCCCTAATAGGAGGAGGTGAATTGAGATTTTTTCTTATTTTTGAGAGTTATATCATAACTATCTATATGTGTTAGTAAATGTGTCAACACGCGTATTATATTAAAACCTCTCAACACTCTTTGACCATGAACATTGAACTTTTTAATGTTACTTCATCCCTCAATTAGGTATTTTCAGTTAAAGTGGGAACTTCTTTCTAGTATTAATTTATTCCTTTCAAGAATGTACGCTGATTTTTACAAGATCAGTGACCTAAATCGTACAAGTTTGTTTCCATGGATACCTAGTACCTCTTAGGGTAAATATGGCTACTAGCATCTCATGACTATGTTTAATACACTATACTCTCATCATGTAATTTTCTTAGAGCCTAATGAATTGCAATAGTCATAGTGGATGAGTTCATCCTTTGTTATATTATTGATCACTAGGATGAAACTTTTTCATTTGTCATTCATTCATATGATGTGAAGAACTCAATGATGAACATTTATTTTTTATTTTTATTTGGTTTTTGATCCATAATTCTTCTCTTATAAGTAAGTTTTCATTTGGTGAAAAATTTCTTATTTAATCAAAAATCTGAAGTTTAAAATACCCTTTTGCTTGCAATTTTCTAGAATGCACGGTAATGATGTTTATACAGTCCAAATTTTGAATCTCCCTATTTTCAAGGCTATTTCCATTCAAATTTTAATTAAAGCTTTCTTACTTGATGGAGAATGATTTGAGTTTTGTATTGGATCAAGATCGTTCAGTATTTTTTTCCTTTTTATCCACATAAGTAACTGATAAGTCTTCATTATCATGAGTTAATAATTAATAATTAATATAGTTTTAGCCTTAAATCATGATAATTAGACTTATTTATGTTAAATTGTGAAAATTAGTTTTCAATTGATTAATGTGTATTTTTGGCTAATTATGTGATTTATACGAAGTTATATGATTTTTATAGTCCTATTTTTGAGATAAATGAAGAAAAATAAATTAAAATAAAATTATAGAAAAAGGGAGGGACTTGTCGGCTAGTTGGGCCCGCAAGAAGGTTTGAAGCGCAGTCGGGGGGAGCCACGAGTAAGGGCTCAAGCGGCTAAGACCGATGGGGGCACGTGTGCGCCACTCTCCTTCCACATCACTAGTGGCCAACCGACTATGGGGCAAAGAGTGATCGTACACGTAGGAGAAAGGGACTCATTACTTGCAAATGTGATATTACTATATATTCATCCAAGACTTTGACATACAAATGATGCGGGACTAAACTCACGTCACACCTTCCTCAAAAAGGCTTTGAAGATTTCAATACCTAAACTAACCCTTAGTTATAACAAAGATATACCATGATGATGTTACTTGATAAAGAAATTAGAATACTTATTTTAATATCTCTCATGCAGGCAAGTGATCGGCACAAGTCCGAATCCTTCCAAAGTCAAAACTCGTACTTTTATCTGATTATCGTGACTTTCTTACATATTGTTAGTGAAAGATTAAGTCGTCAGAATCACTAGATTATCGACAAAAATTTCGTCAATGTGATTTGTGGAGTATTATTACTAAAATTGTTGAACGATTCGCAATAAAAAGATCTCAAATCTATCGAGTAAATTATCTCTAATTGATTGACGAACAAGTCGTCGTTAAGAAGATGACAATCTGTCGAGGGACAAGTCGCCACCTCTTGAGAGAGTACTAGATGCAATGAAGAGCCTCCTCTTGCTATACAGACCTAAGGATGAAGCTCCCTGACACACGTCCCACCTTCATTCAGCTCCTTTCCGTCGGGTTGCAACTACTAGAGAGCTGCAAAGTCGCTATTTTTCTACTTTATTGGGTGACAGGTGCCATAAACGATTTGATGACCCATTTAATTGATCTCTAGACTTCGCAAGAAGATCTAGAGATTGCCCATATCATTCTTGTCCAAGGAGAGCTTTCGAGGCCATTGACACTACACGACAATCCTCCTAAACACTCAAGATTCTAGTACATCGTTGATGCATCGTCGATGCATCGCCGCTGCAACGCCAAAACTCTGTTTTCTTATTTTCAACTTAAATTTTACTTTATTTAGTGATAATTTGTGATTTAAATTTACCAAGCTATTCTTCATTCAATTAAGATTCTTTCTACTTTTACAAATCTAAATTTGATTAATTAAATCTTTTATAATCGCTTACGTAAGAATCATAGGATGGAATTTTATTTCTGCCAAGTTCACATTCGTCGGGCACTGATGTCATCTTGACATCCACACCCTTATTTTTCTTTTTTGTGATTTTTAAATATATTTTATTTTTATTTCTTAGAATAAAATTTATAAAAAATATATTATTTGAAGAAAATTCTGAAAAATTACTTGATATTATATTATATTCATGGATTGATTTAGAAAATTATCACTATTTTTGGATTTTTTATTGAGTTATAATTAATATATTTGTTCAAAAATACTTTTAAATATCTAAAAATTGATATTTTCTAGTTTTATAAATTTTAAATTTGTATGATTTATTATACAACGACTAAGTCACATCAGTAACTGATATGTCTCCATCGAGCTACTTTTTTCAAAACTTGAATATCAAATATTTTTCTCATTTTCTTGGTGATTTAACACATGATATTTTAGAGAACCTGCCTAAGATTATTTTGAAATCATAAATATTGCATAGTACAGTTAGAGAATCATATAAACAAAGATCAAATATTTTTCTAGTTTGTATCAACTTATAATGTACAATTATATATTTAGACTTTCATTTCTACATGTTTCTGGGCACTGTGTACTTATAGCCTCTACGAATTGCAAGCAAGTTAATGGGGGGATTTTAAGCGAGGCGGGGGGAAAGAGCGTGATCGCAAATCGAATCAACTAATAATCTTTTACCTTTGAATAATCCTAAGATAGAAAACTACTT